TACAAAGTTTTATATGTAACTAATTTTGCATAATTCATTGTTATTTTATTTAGGTCATAGTTTATCCAACAAAGAATACTGTTAAAAATACTGGTGCAAGTATTATAATTATCGGTAGTTGGTTATTTTCATTAATAATGGCTAGTCCAATGTTTATTTTTACATCTGTTAGTGTGGATACTATCCGACCAAATGGACATATATGCAGTGCTAGTACAATACAAAGTGAATGGCTTCGTCAAAGTAAATACATTTATGGTATTATTACAATAGTTTTCCAGTATTGTTTACCATTAACGATGGTCAGTTATGCATATATACGTATTTGTTTAAGAATACGTCAACGACAGTTCAATGTAATACGTAAACCTATTCCAACAGCGATAACTTCTGAATTAATATCAGGAAATCAATTAGATTTTGTTGAAATTGAGCCAGATTGTAATTGCAGAGATGATAAATTGAAACAAGACAGTCGATTAACATTAACTTTACCAATTAACAATATACCTGATTCTTCTACAGGTAGCTGTAAAAATCGTGGTCTTCATCCTGTGCGTTGTTATAAACTAGCTGTATCACCTACATCAACATCATCGTGTGAAAACAATTTTAAACAAAAGATAGAAAATTCCAGATTTAAGCTAATTCAACGACGCCAGACTCGAACAAATACATTACTTGCATCAATTACACTATTATTTGTATTAGCTTGGTTACCTTTACATATTTTTAATGCTGTTATGGATCAACGTGAATCAAGAATACTTAAAGAACCATTCGATCTTACCACATTGCCACAGCCAGATATATTAAATAAAAATAATACAGAGAATTATCTTTTTGATGAAACATATAAACTTTTAAATTCAAAAATGAATACATTCACATTGTTACCAGAGCATAATCATACAGAAACAATTATAAAAGAATATGGTATTGGTAGGAAAATTACACTTATACATTCTTTTTGTTTATTATGTGTTCTTGTATCAGCTTGTGCAAATCCTGTTCTCTATGGTTGGTTAAATGAAAATTTTCACAGAGAATTTATATTAATGTTTCCAATGTTATTTCGTTCAAAAAAACAAGTTTCATCAGTCACAATAGGTGTGGACCATAATTATGTTAGTGTTATACAATGAACAGTTGTAATTATTATAAGTATCATTTACATAAATATTTTCAAGTATATATTGATTATTTAATGTATTATATTATCTTAAATGAGCTGTGAATGAAGCACAATGTATTTTATCGATTCATGTTTCTTCCATTCATACTGGTGAATTTGACCTATTAGGCATTCACTGTTGATTGACAAGAAGTGTACATAGTCTTCTTTTCTTTTTTTTTTGTTGTTGAATATGATGTACAATATTTTGACGGTAATCGTTGAAGATCTCTAAAGAAATTTGATCACTATCAGCAAATTTTTTTCAAGAAAAATCTATAATTTCCTGTGACTTATAAAGATTTGAATTTCGTTAACAAGAGAAGTAAATACCATCATTGTATATTATAATAGAAATATGTGGTATGACACTATAATAATATTCATATTTCTGGTTCCTTCTTATTTGTTTTTGTTTTTACTTTCGTCAACTAAATAAAAAGTAATTTGGGCTAGATTAATCGACTGCGACAGTTATGTTTTCTAGTTTGAGTTATTATCCAGTTCACAGTAATATAAGTTTGATACGATGATGAATTAAATATAATTCATTACTGGTATCAGCGTAAATAATCAAACTAACGGTATTTTGTGTTCAAGGAATAGAATGTCGACGAAGTTTGATAGTTGTACATTTACTAATTATTCTAATTTAGAAAAATGCTTCAAAAAAATATTTCTTATTTGGACGTCAGGAAATTTGATAACTATGTGTCATACTCCATATAATAATGATTTTTCTATAATATAACATATAGGAATTTATTTGACTATTATTAGAAATGGAGATCTTTTGGTAATTATCTTTATTCCGTCAACAAAAGTACAGATTAGAAATGACTACAACTCATTAGAGAAGCTGACAGCATAAAAATGTAGAATATTTCAGGTCAAAGAGATAGGCAGTGAAATGCTCAACGTCTAAAAATATGATAAGCATAGATTTGAAGATTATTAGAATGGTTCTTATCTTCTTTTATTTGCTCATCCCATTTTGAATACTAAATGATATTATTTGAATAAAATATCAGCTAAGAGCAACCACTGAAATGACGTCTTAGTATTAACTGAAATACCAAAAGTTTACGCGGGAAAGTATAGGAACGACGATGACCGTACTATATCTTCAAGAAAAATAGTTTCTCTCTATATTTGATCTTAGTCAAATTACTATTTATAGGAAGAGTCGGATTCTCGGAAGCGGTTGCTTATTATTTATCTATTGATATGACTTTTCTCTTTACCGGTGATTCATTCACTATGAGGTAGGGACAATAGATATGTTGATTTCTACTGGTTTGGGGAAGAAGCTTGTAGGTATCTAAGATTCATAACGATAAGAACAATTCCCCTCAAAGTATTTCTACAGGTTCAAATTACCTCTAATCCTCTCTAAAACAATAGATCAATTTCAGCTACTTTTCTTAGTATAGTGAATTAGTGTATAGTGTACACCTTGATTGATAAATCATGGTAATATGATTAAATTTATTCCCTTTTTGTTCAATATGTTGTTTTGTAATTCTACGTGTTCACAACCATAACACATAAATCCTAATCCTACATTCTGTTCTCAATTATTCGCATGAATTTATAAAACATTTTTTATCATTCACTAGGCTTTAGACATAGTTTTTGATTAATAAAATGTAGCATTTAATCTTCATAAATATTCGCCGCAAATATATACTTCATTAAATACAAAGGTATATTGTAAATCTAAATAACTAAGGGATCGTTTAGTCAATTAATTTGAACTACTAAAAGCCTATTTATTCTGTTTGACTAAACAGATGTATATACTGGATCGAATTTTTATTTCTATTCAGCATACACCTTTTTCTGTTTATTCTTTTTGTAGTTTTATACATTTTTTAATCAGAATCGTTTAGATAAACAACGTATCGATTCAGTCACTTCAATCATGTCTGATTTTTTATTATATCAAATATTGTAATCTTACTTATCATATAAATTATTTTAACAGATGATAACTGATATGAAATGTCCGATTTAGTCTTAATAATATCAAAGATCGACGAAGTAAATATTGTAAAATATACTTTTTGATGGTGTTTTGTCCTCTGAGCTGGATGGTTTGGTCGTGGAGCTTTCATCGTTCTTCTGAACGACATCATCAGCACAAACTTCAGACAGAATATAGTGTTTGAGTTTCTTATACAAATGATGATGCACTGCATATATATATATATATATATATATATATATATATATATATATATATATATATATATGTATCGTGTTTTAATTTTTCTTTTCCAGTTAAGTTTATTAGTGGTTAATATTAAACGATGCCCTAATAATCATTAGATAAGTAGAAGCTGAAATAAACGAATTATTGTAGGTCATCTTTATTAAGTACTAGCAATAACTGAGTTACCGCTGAACTTTTAGGTTTTAGGTTGAACCCTTTTCATGTTGTTTCAAAACTATATGACTTCCTCAACTGATTGAATTTAGGAAATATGGACCACTTGATTCTAAGTTATTTAATAATAAGCTTACCACAAAAACTTTTAGTTATATGTTCAACTCAATATATGTTCATGATTGCGAAGTTTTATAACATAATTAACAGCTTTTTATTACATCTTGCTCGTTGTTGATGCTTCAAGTGATATTTTCTGAAGTGAACATTACTTACTTACGCCTGTAATCCCCACCCCATGGAGAAACATAGGCCGCCCACCAATATTCTCCATCCAACTCTGGCCTGGGCAAACTTTTCCAGTTGTTATTCATGCTTTTCATATCTGCTTTTATTTCCCGACATAATGTGTTCTTTGGCCTTCCTTTTTTCCACTTCCCTTCAGGATTTCAAGTTAGGGCGTGCCTCGTGACACAATTTGGTTATTTCCGTAATGTGTATGTTATCCACTTCACAATTGATTGATCACTGGGTGGTGATCAATGTCATGCTTGTCTAGTCCTTATTAGTGCAGATCAAATGCTATCGATCATGTTGCAATGTGGCCACCAGTCTAGGTGGCTCGACACTGCGGGCATTATATATTGAGATTTAGATGGTGGTTGGAGGTAGTCAACAGGAAACCCTGGACCCGGGTCTCGTGCTACTTGGCACTCGTCAGCAAGGTGTACCTGTAATCTTGAGGGAACTGGTGCTCCCTGGTGGATTTGATCTCGTGTCATCCAGCTTCACAGTCAGAGACGTTACCACTGAGCTATCCGAGTTGTGACTAACCTCCTGTAGGACTGAGATGTAATCACTGAGTTTTCTATCAAAATTTTCCTTATATATATATATATATATATATATATATATTTATTAGTAGTACAATTATGTTATTTCTTTTCCGATTATATGAAAAGTTCAACCTTAATTTGAAACTATTAATATTACTTAAATAGACTGATAAACATTGTCTACACATTGAAACTGTACATTTTTCAATGAATTCATACCATTATAAAGTTATAACTAAAAGTATTTCATTTAGTTAACGTTTGCTTGAAGATCTATAGACTAGTATCATGTTTATTGCTATTAAGAATATTAATACAGTATTTGAGTTGGTTGATCACTTTGAAATATCACAATTCCTTCAGCATAAATTAATATACACTATGATTCACCACTATTATTCTTGTATAACACATACGACACATAGGGTTTAGACATGTACAGCGGATAATGGTCAAAAAGATCACCTTACTATAAATTTTTCATGGAAACAGAAAAAGATACTATAAGTATGTTTCAAATAAATTTCATAACATTCGAGTTTTAAAGTACAAAATAAAAACGTTACATCAACTGTTATCTATAGAATTAAGGTACACACATTCAAATCATTCGATATAACTTTGTGATATATTCGCTGAACTTTCCTTTTATTAATGAACCACCAAAATATCTCCATGAAATGATTTCTTTTAGGCTGTTAAAAATCTCATCAATTGGTTGATTCTATAAATAGGCATATGAAATAAAGTAAAATGAATTTGATTTAGTGATATAGATAAAGAAAATATTCACTTAAAGGAAACTACATTCCCAGATCTTACTGAATTTCCAAACATCCATTACCTGTTTAGAAAAACGACTCGTCATTAAATCTATATTGTCAGTTTAGGGGTTGTGGAGATTGTTAAGTTTTTCATTGAGATCATGAACCGATTGATGTTAGGCCACCATTGTAAACCTGGGAGCACTGGACGGCCGTCTCATCCTCAGCAGTGCCGTCCAGTGGTGGTCTAAGATCAATCGGTTCATGATCTCAATCAAAATCTATATTGGTTTGTACGCAAATTTACTGTTACTTTTGTATTTACCTAAGTGAACACTTAAAGTGAAAATTACTAATAGTATTTTTCTAGTATTACAAACTTGATTAAATACTACCAAGTGAGACGATGCTACTTTAATTACATCCCTTAGTCATAAGATGGTTAACATCAATCTTAGTTTATAAAAAAAGAACAGCCAAATGTTTTATTTCACTTACTATTTGTATAGACAAATTAGGGACCATAAATGTAAATTTTGTTGATCCATTTTTATCTTGATCAGAATTATGCACAATTTTACCAGTTCGAAGAATTTTATCAAATTTGTCTAACCATAAATTGAATTCATCCTAAATTAAGTAAAAAAGGTTGAATTATTAATTGGTAATGTGGTGTGTGCTACTTATATTGATATAAGTAGTACATAATGCGAGTCAGGGATGTAATGTCTGGCAGCAGAAGATGGGGAAGACCAAGAAAGGAAGAGAAGGAATAGGAAGCAATTAGTATGGAAATGCGATAACAATGAAGTTCGAGACAATTACTGAACATTTTGCAAATTAAGTATTATAGTATGATTTTTCTATTTTATCAAGTAACTCTGTAATTGTGTGCTTAATTGAATTCGATTGTCCCCACCCGTGTTCTGTTCACTACAGTAATACTATGTAGGAAACTACATCCGTCTTCGAAAATATTGAGAAAATTTAACAAGCTTCTCGCTGTCACAAACGGTTATGTGGAGATTATAACAATTAAAAAACCCTTTCAAATTATATTAACGACTATGTCAATGGAAAATAGTATTTATTCAGTAATAAAATTCGATTTTTAGTAAATTCTTTCTAATTGTATATAGATACCAAATAAGTAGTATGTAATGAACAAAAACAGTTAAACGTTATGTTTCTATGTTATTGAAATGTATAAATGATAAATTTAGGCGAACAGATTTTTATTTAAAATACTAACTCATTTAGATTGTGATTTCGGTAACTTGTTTTCTCTATCTAAATTTATTGATCAGTGGCTTCTCTGAATCAGCCACCCATATTAAAATTGTGTTATCGGTGAGACTATAATTTTTAGACGAACTAATCAGGTATAGGATTACAGGTTTCAAATTTTGGCGCAAACTTCACTCATACATTTGGATAAATAGAGCTTTGGCATTATAGCTTATGTCAGTTGATGGTGAAAACCCTAAATCTAATTCTTAATCCTAACCATCAACTGCAAAACATAATTCTATTTCCTCACACTGGTTTATAACCTTCATTTGGTCCTGGTTATTAGGCGGACATTCTCAAAGTCACTTTAACGTCGCTTGAAAGGTCGTCCGTAAATTATAGTTTCACCGTCTTACCTAACATTATTGCCAAATTTTAACCTTAATGATTTTTCTTACCCATGAAAGTACGTTAGAAAACCCTCGGTAATATTTATGTGCATTATTCAATAACATGAATCGTATAGATGTCACATATATATGTAATGAAGTTGATAAAAGATAACACTTCGGTATTTCACAGAAGAATGATTAACTGAATTCAGTAAAACTCTAAGCAGTTTAGATTACTCTATTGTCTACCACATTTCGTAAAATCACATTTGTTTTAATGCTGAATTATGTAGCAAGCGAAAATTAAGTATTAAATGATAACTAATAAACCGATGTTAGTTATTTCTAACGATTAGAATGACATATAGAAGAATATATTACAGTTAAAATTAAGTGATGATAAAGTTTTGAAATATTCTTCATATATTTTGAACTAATTTATTCAGTTCGTCTGTATCAGCTATTAAAGAGCTATCCTATATAAATACGTATTGAATCCTTTATGAGAACTTACCTGAAATTCCAGATCGGAATGATTGAAATTTTCAGAATCTAATGATTTATCATTTGTTTTAACAGATGATGATTTCAATGTGGTACTTTTGATATTTATATTTGCCTTATCTCTTTCAGAGAAAATATTGGCTGCACTGTATTTTATCACTATTTTGTTGAATTGATCTATCATCTTAAAAAATTCATCACTATTATAGAATAAAACCAAGCGTTGTTGATAGAGATGTGCTTCACTAGAATTAAAATAAATATTAAAATGAATACATCAATCAGAACGCATAATTACACCATAATATTTTTTTTCAAATTTTACTAAACTCATAATTCTGTGGAAAGATTGTCGACAATCTACCATGAAAATTTAGTCCAGGATCATTACTGTTGTACATCGAGTTGTTGAAAAAAAACTAGTGATAACAATTGAATTCTTAAGAAACAAAAGCCAATATAGCTGATTTTGTTTATTCATTAGTTATATTTTAGCTTTCTCATCATTACTGTTGTATGTATGCTTTTTTTAAATATGAGTAAAAATATAAATGGTAATTATATACCCATTGAAACTAGTATAATACGGTAATATATTCATCACTACTCACAGTTTTGCCTTTGGTGAATAGCAACTGATTAGGATCGGTAGGCACTTATAAAAATCGCTATCATTTTCAAAATTATTGATTGTTTGCATCAATAAATATTTTGATAAGCTACTTCCTCCACGTCTAGTCTCATTTTTTATTTTAATAGGCGATTTGGGCTCGAAATTCATATTGTATGGTGATATGTATGATTGAATAAAATTTTCATTTTCTGGAGTATGATCATTAAACCAACTAAATGAAGTTTTAATGATATTAGATAAATTGCCGAACGTTTCTGTTTCTATAGAACCATTCAGTTCATATAGGTGAACTTGGAGTGATGTAAATCGTTGAAACCAGTATTCTGCATCTTGTGAATAGTAGGGAACTGCTGAAATAGGAATTATTACATTCTGCATCGAAACTTTTGTAATGCAATCTTCATTTTGACTTTCTACAAGTGGTTTTCAATAAAATTAAATAAATAATAATATACTTGGTAAGATTTTTAACACTATTTTATAATGTTTCTAATTTCTCAAATGAAGTATTTTAGACATTAGGTGTATACTCTGCTTTCAGAATTCCTGTTTATAAATTAATTTTATATAAATCTCTCATCAATTATAACTTTGATAACCTACCGTTAACTATACTGCCTCAAACTCAGTTAATTATTCAACCAATGATAAACACTATTATGTATAAATTTAGGAGAGGACACTTGTTCGTGTAAGACCACTTTATTGAGTCGAACTACCTTAAGATAAGTTCCGCAGATTTGACAATTAACCAAAACATATATGAGGATTTACTGATGAGTCCGTCATCGACTTGGATTGATGGTATCGACAATTTTCCTCAACATCAACTTACAGGGTATAGTTGAATGTGAAAAAGAATCATAAAATAAAGTGGCAAATTTAACGCTTTGAATACTTAGTTTTAATAACTAAAATCTGTATAAATATAATTTTAATTAGGTAGGGGTGATGTGTACGAAAGTTTCCTATCTGATCTTAATCTATGACCTAAATCATCTTCAGGTTATATAGATCTCGAAAACTGCCTAAGTAGACAAGTTTACATTATAGATTCAACAGGTTTCGATGATGGATAAATGTGTTACACATGGAAAACCAATTTTTCTGCACTGTTTGTTTAACTGGGAGTATACAAACATTGACCAGTTAACCATTTGTGTAACAGCATAAATAATAAATTATTTTATTTAATTAAAATTAATTGGATTAAGTGGGAACAAGTCTGAAAACCCGAATATAAATACTCCGGTGATTTGTTTCCCAACATGTTCCGTTAAGTTTTGTGGTTTCCTAAACAGTTATTACCACAGTGTATTTAGAACTGCCACATACTGTCCAACAGTAGCATGATTCTTATTTTCATAAATTATCGATAAACTGAGATCATAGTACTTATGGCCATGAATACCACATTACTCTGACACCGATGATGAAAAATTAATTAGAGGTTGCTGATCTAGTGATTTAAATCGGTCTAAGAAATCAATAATATCATGTTTTATTTCACATTACGGTCCTTTCTGTGAGGATACTTAGTCAGCAAATTCAGTTGTATTGTTTTTGTATGTATAAAATCTGTAAGAATAGGGTTGCACAAATTTCTAAATTTTATTGGAATCATGAACCAATTTAAGTTACACAAACTTTGAAAACTCAAGAGCCGTGGGTGACCTTCTCTTCCTAAAATGAGAATTCTCAGAGGTGATCATCCATCTTTCATTGTTTTCTGTGATAACCCTTTCAACACTCGATAGTGACTGACCGTCATGGACCAAATAAAGTCAGACTCGTGCACCATTAGATGTTAGCTCAGTGGTTACGGGTTAAACTTTCTCGCGAGATCAAGGTTATGGAGTCCGATTTTCGGATGCGGCGTTATGGTTTCGTGCCGCCAAGAAACCCTATATCAAAGGTAAATGGACGTCCAGTGTTTACAGATTCCTTACGATTGTCTATATTTGATCAGTCTGTGATTTCAAAATATGAGATTTCATTAGAAATAAGTAAGCAGTAGGATGAAGTGGAAACAGTTAGTGTACAGATTTGTTATTCGGACGTAATACTATTGAAATAAACGTAATAACCCTTGACGATGGGTGTAATATAGAAGCAGAATAAAGTGAAATAATGATAAAATTGACTTACTAACTAGATATCTGAAAGAAATTAAAGACAAAATGTCACAGAATATATTTATATACAAAGGGATTTATTGATTTGACCTGAAATAGCCGAAAAACTTAGATGTGTTCACATTAATTATAATAAATGATATTTGACTGATATATAAACAATTCAATAAGTTATCAAACAAAATTATTACTTACCTACTTATTTACTAAGTAAGTAATCAGTGCATAATTTCTTACCTTGACAATTGCTGACATTAGGACCTTTGATATTCTGTTCATTTCGTTCAAACAACTGTTTAATATTTAATACATTTTCATATAAAACTGATTCATACAACTTAAGTATATCCATATTTAGTTTAATTTTCTTCAGCTTCTTCCATTCATATTTCTGATTAATTAATAATTGATTTTCATCAGAAACCATCGAAGTAGAATTGAATACAACATTCCAATATTCACTGACAAGAGTTCGATTTTTCCCATAATCGAATAATCCATCAAATTGATTTGATGGTTGAATTAAATTTATTAACTCATATTCATCATCATCTGAATAAATAAAATAAATAAAAACAATAACCAATGGTTTACTGTAACTTTCATAATAATCTAATATCCTTCTTTTGATCAAGTTATGATAATAAAAACAAGATATATTTGTATATTTCATGATAAAGCTACTGAATCATTCAAGAAGAATGTATAATGATAAAGTTTATTAATTGCGGATTAATACATCTCATGTTAGTTCAGACGTAATTTTCTGTTTTATTTCTTTACAAACTAGATGCATTTGTACATCGTCAAGTTTATCAGCGTAAACAGATAGTAAACTAAATTATTCCTGTTTAAAAAATGTTTTTAGGGATCTAAAAGTATATTCCCTTTCATTTTCTAAAACGTTTATCAAGCTTTAATTGAATTAACATGTCCAATATATCACAGGAAATATGTTCGTTAGAAATACGTTGTAGTAAACAAAAGAAAAACGTGGATAAACTCTACTGATATATCCAGGATAATCTCCTACACTTATCCTCTCAGATTTATCTCAGTAGTTCTCTCCAGATCACCCAACATATATATTTTGTAATTGAGATAAACAAACTCAAATAGGCAAACAAACTCAACAGATTCAACATTTTTCAAATACTATAACTTACGTTTGTTAAAAAGTGGTTTTTTCACAGATTTTTATACGCCAACCATTGTAAATTCGAAAGTTGTTTCGTCTTAGTGTGGGATTGTTCAACAATGCACGTAAACAACCCTTCACCCAGGAATCAAACCCAGTACGCTATGTCTCGCGCGTCAATGTCGAACCTACAAACGACTGAGAGGGAATTCAAAGATGCTGTTGTCTAACTTTGATTGATCAACGATGGTGCAATACCATCTTGTTTACATGCTGCAGAGAACTATCTCACACTCTACAATAGCTTCATTTCCACAGTTATTTGGTCAGTACCCTAATCTCTGACATTGTCCGGACATTCCATCTACTTATAATAATTGTTGCACTGGTTGTTAGAAAGCGTATCGACCTCCTCAGTTTGAAGGAAGCTCGGTTTTCAACTTTTTGCATGACAATTCTTCTACATGACGATCTCTCAACCCTCCCCAGGAGAGAACTTTTGTTATAGGATGAAATTGATAACCCTATGCCCAATCCCCCTCCTTTACTCGCATTTGGTACTGACAATCGCCCTAGAAGAGTTCCATAAAACCTTGTACCTATATAAATGTATTTCCATAATATTACAACAAAATAAATTGGAAGAATTCACACCTAAAATTCAATTTCTACTACTAATAAACTTTCTCCAAATATTTTCATTGTTCCTTGAAGACACTAGTAATAAGGTAACAGAAAGCGAATCATCTTATGTTAAGCTGAAATCCACTGCAATCAAATATTCGTTTGTTTTTTTTAAAAAAAAAGAAAAAAACTTTTTTTCTTGATCATAACATCTTTATTGTTTGCATCTAATATCATGTTAACCAATCAAAATATTTTCCTTTTTTTAATTTTAAAAAATAAATTTAATTAATTATATTTTTTGATCGTATTTTCTTTTTATTTATTTATGAATTCAACAAATGAATTATTGAAAATCAGTTCTATCTTATTGTTTATTTTAATTAATTTAATCGACTGACCTCATTTATTTGACTAACAAATTCCTTTCAATATATATATATATATATATATTGAACATGCATCTATTTCCTAAGGACAGTGTACGTCAAAACAGTTATAGTTAACCGGTGAAGGATAGTATAGAACATAGAATTATTCTAAATGTATAAGATATTGCTCAAATGGTTACTTAGTTTCTAATGAAGTCGGTAATATTAAAATTAAGTATGATAGTATTTTGTATGTTGTATAATGTCCATGAAAAAAAGTTGTACGGTACTGAAACTGTCAACACCTGTATTCATAGCATAATATACAATAATCACTGGTTTTACATTATTTATGTAAACAAAACTTACAATATAAATATGCATATATTAAAATGAATGATTTAAAATAACAGTTGAAGGGAGTAAAACGTGATCATGTTCCAATTTTTAAAGTCAAACGAAGAATATAATAACTGTTTTGTTTCATACTACATACTCACTTTCACAATTTAGGAGTTATATATCTTAATAGAGTCTACTGAAAGTTATTTACATACCTGGCAAAATTATCCGAATGGAATCCAAACACTTCTTTCCTACTAAGTCAAATTGATGCATAACTGACGAATCATCTTGAAACGCTTTATCAAGTGCTGAATTTGTACGTTTGGGTGATTCACTTTTAGATATTTTGGGAATTATTGATTTATTTCTATTGTTTAGTTCAGTTGGATGTAGAAAACCAGTAGATTTAAGAGTATTTGATGACGAACATTGTCTGCGTTGAGATAAGAATTGATCAATCATTAATAAAATATTCCAAATACATAAACTAACAGATTGAGAAAATCTACCAAACGAATCATCGATCCCCTCTATTTCATTTGTTGATATCGCCTCAAGTTCTTTTTTCGATAGTGATGTTTTCAATTTCTACATGTTAAGTGAAAGAATTCAGATAATACATTGAATGATGTTAGCAATATTATATCAAAGGAATATGACATTAAAAATTAATTCAGAGGCCTTCTTATCTGTTCTACGATAATTTTTTGATAGCTCATTAAAGTGATAATAAGATGCCTTAACTATCATTTAACAGACACAGTGGCTCAGTAATGTGCTTAACTAGCTGAAGTCAATATGTTAAATCATAGGAAAATTATTTTGGAAGATCAAGATAGCCGTGAGTCTGAATTTCCCCCCGTAATATGTGTCTTATGGATGAAAGATTTCGGCGAATACTAAACATATTATTTCGAGTATTTTTATAACTTCCGTATGCGTCTTGAAATATGAAAAACTTTATATACATACATTGAAAAAGATCTAGAATGTTTGGGTGTTTAAGACCTTAGGAAAGAAAGAAGTTACTTACTTAGGGCTGTTACCCCTGAGGAGAAGCATACTCTGCTCATCAGTATTCTTTATAGAACTCTTTCATAGGCAATCATTTCAAGTCCTTTCCAGTTGCTATGCATTCTTTTCATATCTACTTACAATTATCGGTGCAATGTGTTCCTTGGTCTGCATCTTTTCCGTCTCCCTTCAGGATTCAAAGTTGGCGCACGCCTTGTGATAAAGTATGGTGATTTCCTCAATGTATATTCCATCCACTTCCAGTTTCTCTTCCCAATTTTCTCTTCAGATGGAATAGCACTGGTCCTCTCCCACAGTTGTCTGTTGCTGAGGATAAGCGACCGATGGGAACTGAGTATCTTGCGCAGACAATTGTTATTAAATATTTGTGCCTTCTTGATAATGGTTGTAGTAGTTCATGAAGTTTCAGCTCCGTACAGTAGAATTGTCTTGACGTTCATGTTCCATCCTATCCGTCTATCGTATTCCGTACTTACCCTCAGATGTGTTTGTAATCCAGTCTTCGTAAACCAGAAGAAAGAGGAAGGGGAGAGTAGGGAGCCTTGTCTGACTCCGGTCCTCACTTGGAATACGTTTGTCAGCTATCCCACGTGTATGACATTGCAGTGTAGCCCAATGTTTAAATTCCGGATGTTGTTGACGATTTTCTCAGTTACACTACAGCGTCGAAGAAATTTTCACAAGGTCCTCGTATCCATACTGTCATAGTTAAGGACGCTGATGTATAATGACGAGTTTAATTCAATTGATTGCTTAAAACTAATTCGTAGTGTCGCGATTTTGTCTGTGCATGACCGATCCTTACGGAATCTGACATGTTTATCTCAAAGTTGAACATCTACTGAATCTTTTATCCGGCTCAGCAACACTTTGTTAAAAATGTCTACTGGTACCGATATTAGTATGAAGCCTCTGTAGTTTTCACGTTTGCTCAGATTTCCTTTCTTTGGTATTTTGATGAGGTGTCCTTCTCTCTGATCTGTCTGTGGCACTTGTTCTTCCTCTCAAATCTTCCTGAATAGAACGAGGAGCATTTTCGCAGTCATTTCTATATCTGACTTCAGTGCTTCGGCTGGAATGTCGTCTGATGGCCATTCTGATTTGTTCGATTATTGGTGGAGTGACATCTGTGGATAGGTCTATGTGTGCAACCTCTAGGTCAGGTGTACCAAGTGGGCTTGATCTACTCAAGAGTTCTAAATTTTCTACCTATCCGTTCCTCTGTTCTTGAATTGCAGCGAATGGCCTGTCTTGCTTGTCCTTGACTGGTATCTCTAGTTTACCATAGTTCCCGGCTAATTTCTTCATTGTGTCATATAATTGTCTAATATTTGCTTATCTTGCAGCTTTTTCTGCTGTCGCTGCTAGGTCTACCATGTATTTTTGCCTATCTGCTCTTATGATCTACTTCACTTGCTTGTTTGCTTCTGTGTATTCGTTTTGTGCCTTGACTTTCTCTGTTATTGTTCTACTGTTGTTAGTTGATGTCATCTTGCTCTACTTATATCTAATTATTCGAATTGATTTAGTCGATGAAAAATTACAACTTTACATTCGGGTGCTTTTTGACCAGAAATAATGCACCGAAGATAAGGGGTTGCTTGTTCGAGTGCTACTATCAAATGTATATTGATATTTTTCTCATGATAGTGGTAAACTAGTTTAAACAGTCGATTGAATTATACTCAATTAAATACATAAAGGTCTATTTTCATAATCCATGTCTAGTCTTACGTATTAAGAAGAAATAGAATCTAATTAATTTTCTTCGTTTCCATAAAACGTTTATGTGTAAACATTATTGTTGCTAAGGTATGTTATTATAGTAGTAATACCCTACACGACATGGATATTTATTATAAAATTAATTAACACATGGCTTAATTAAACATCTCTCTATATACAGACATTTCGCAATAAAACTGAAAGTTTAATTCTATATTTTATGTATGATCAAAACTTTTCTTTTCAATTAACTTCAAGTATACATTTTTTACATTAAAAAAAATGAAATGAATACTGATTTATATTAACTAGATATTTCAAGGAGGTATGCTTACATTATCCATGATGTTCTGTACATGAGTAGTTGCTAAATGTTGACATTTTCGTTGAACATATACTAATTGCCAAAAATAAACTAACATTATTTCTGTTCTGTGTTGAAATCTTTTCCAAGAAAACAAAAAAAAAGAAAAAACGAAACAAAAATGTTTTTCAGACATACTTGAAGAAATAATCAATTGTTTTATGTTGTGTTTTTTTTAATATAAATAAACCCATTAGAACAAATTGAATCATCTTTAAAGTGGAAAAATGTATTTGTAACGTCTCAATGAATGAATTCAATGTAAAAAAAGAATCTAAATAAAACATATCAATAGCATATATAATGAAAATCAAGTACATTAAGGAGTTAAAATCTTCTGATTAACTTTTCTAGACTGTTTAGTTGAAAGGAAATATAATGATTGTTTAAAAATCAATATTCTCCGAAAGTCAACATATTCAGGGGAATTTCTAGATTTTAAATTAGTATATCTACACTCTATGAAATTGATAGTGGCCAAAAATTTGATTACTAGAATTCAAAAACTTGTTACTGAAGTAAATGACATAGAAATGGAAATGATTTTAATTATATCTACTCTAATGATGAAAAAATAATTAAAAATGAAGAAAAAAAATGTTATTATTAAAAAAAGAGTTAAGCAAAAAGAATGGGTTAACACAACGGTGACCCCATACTGTCGAGGCAATTTCAAAAGAGATCAGAAGGATTTTGACTCTTCAAAATATAAGACTATTCTTTCGAACAAACAATACTGTAAGATCAAAACTGGTAAGAATCAAAGATCTAGTACACAAGCAGGAACAACAAAATTGTGTTTATGAAATCAAATGTATTGACTGTCATATATGTAGATGAAAAATCACAACTGAATGTGAGGGTGAAGAAACATAAACTATACTGAGAGCACATTCCTAAATCCTCAGATGATACAAGAAGACTCGGGAACAAATTAACAATAGTAATATATTTGATAGAACTGGATCATACAGTTGATTTCAATGACACAAGAATCCTTCAAAAAGTTTTAAGTGAAAAACTAACAGCCAAATCCAAACAGTATTATTAGGAGAGATGGAATAGAATTAGTTGTGCCATGGCAACTAAAAACTAATAAGTAGGCCTGAACTCCTTATTCCATTTTATGTATCTCTTATTATCTGAATAACAGAGATTACATCAAACGGTTCTAATCAGTTGTCTTATCTGAATAGGTTAAGCAATTAACTGGAACATTAAAATGATATAAACATTCAGTTCCAAATACATACTTCCTCTTTGAATTCGTTCCTTTATCTTGTTTATTTATCTTCATTTTATGCATGCTGGGACATTTTTGATTCATATCATATATAAAAATTATGTTATCTTTAAATTCACCGACCAGAGACAATATATAATGAATGAAATTTCTTCTCACTTACATTACACACAATCTATTATGTTAAAATTTTTCGTTTCACACCACATATATGTTACACACTAATGCAACCATCTAGTTTAAACCTTGTTAACGTTAATTGGATAACTTGTACAGTATACAGTGAACTGGAGAACCATGTACCTATTTATATTCGAACAAGCTTGAACCAGAATGCCAGGTGAAACGTTGGTTTTACTGAGTTTTTTTAAAAATACATTCGTCCTCTTTTATGTCTCACATCAACTCGACACACATATACTGTGAAAATATTCGATCATCTTTGTTCAAATTCATAAAGAATTGCTAACTAATATTCGTGTGCATTTGAATTAACCAGTAGTTCAAGAAGAACAAAATGTCAAAACTATCTAAACAAATATACAGTGATTTCAAATGAATCATATATTTGTAATATCCCAATGAGTAAGAAAATTAGATTTTCTGACCTTTCGTGACTTAATTTAAGCCACTTTTCCAACAATATAATCTGATATCTGATCCTCAGCATCGTACATCTCTTGATAAAACCGTTTTAGGAGTACAGGGTATGAAAATACTTGTATGTCGACCCTCATTTTATTTTTATGCAATCATCCATATTTTAGACATAATGTCGTTTCTTACTATAATGTTTATCTCGAAAATCAGTGTATCTTCTAATTGATGACAATTTTACAGCTACGATTAGTGCTAAAACATGGCCTAATAAATATCCTAATTAATTCTAAAATATGTCACTGTTTTTCAGATATGACTATGTATGTAAATTTAGGTCTTTCATTTTACCACAACGGGGGTTTCGTGGAGATTTCAGTAATTTAATATTTGAGTTTATGACTCAATTAAGGCTAGACCACCATGGAAAATCTGGAAGCACTGGACGACTGTTTCGTCCTATTGTGGAACGCATCCACGATCCCGCCCACGGGACTCGTACCCAGGGCGTTCATTCTCAAGCGCGAACGCTTAACCTCTAGACCAACAGTGTTAATGCCTAACTGCAACCAATGCACGGACTTGCGCCACCGTCCACCATTGTGTTCGGTGAGTTACTATCTCATAACAGATCCCGTTGAACTCCATTGTTCACACGTTTCACTAGAACTCCAGGAAATACCTCTTGAAGCTAGTCACCAGCGAGCACATGATGATTTTACCTAACAAATATATCTAAAGTGTGCTAAACTTTGTACGAGTTTCTACAGTTGAAGTTAACCTCTCTTCAGCTACAAACAAACAGACATCTACCTACCAAACTCAAACTAGTACTGTTAACCATTCTGTTGTTTAGTTTATATAAGGTTTTTAATTCATTATACTGGCCTTTTGTTCGAATTAATTTCTCTTTTTTTTCTTCTTTTTTTTGAATATTTACCGAAAGACAGATTCTTTTGAACGAAATCTGATCATTTTTCTACTAAATGGGATTATTAAAAAGTCAGTTGCTGTAGTTATTGTAAACCTGCGAATATGTTTCAATACATACAATAACACTGTGACAAACAATAAATAAATATTAAAAACAAAGATATATATGTATTATCTCAACAGATATCTCCGTTTGTAATGTCAGTCAACAGTTTAGCAGTGGACGGTCTCGAAAATAAATAAGATAAACGAACTATGATATTTCACTATTTTAAAATTTACATCTAAAAAGGTCTTCACGTAAATTCATCTTCATGTGCTTATCATCTAAATAATACAATCAATTCTGAACTAATAATTTTATGATAAATAAAAAAAGGGAGTAAAACATTTTATAGTTTGACCTACAATTTATCACCCGTAACAAATGCAGAAATGCAAATTGAACGTAACCAGCTTTGAGAAGGTGATTGCCAATCAACTTTATTTTCTAAAAACAATCTCAATTCTATATGACCTTTAAAAAAAAATCCAAATGAATATTATCTAACTTAGAAATTAATAATTTTAAACAAACACAAATTATTCACTGGACAAAACTACATTAACTTTAAAATAACTTACATAACCGAATTAAAATGAGAAAATTTAATTATTTGAACATATAAATACAAAGGGGCACCGAATACATATTCGTAGCACAAGTCACTTGATTTGTATGTGGGATGTGATACTGCCCAACTGCCCAGATCGAAGCAGATGATTTTCTTAGGGAGCCACGCTCGGAGCCTTCGACCTAAAGGTCTGATCCACAAGGCAGTGGAGCAGAATTGGGAGATGTAGTCCTATGGTAACCGATGACCAACGATTGGTTCATACGCCAGTTCTTCATTCAGGATACTGGAGCCCATGTGCAAAATTGGTTTGGACTCAGGGTTTTCTAACGCCCCTAGGTGGACACTCTGGATGCACCTACCCGGTTAAAGCGCCGGACATTCACTTTTCGTCCTCTCGATTTCCTAAACAATGCCCTGACGAGAGAAGGAAGTGCGTAGGACTTTCATTGGGGTGGCTGTATACACGTTGCCATGTGAGAGTATTTTGAAAGGAAGAGTTGACTCTCCCAACCCTCTGCTGTACCAGGGCATTTGGGGGCTATAATAACTCAGTTGCATAATTTGAGTAGAATTTCGTCCATAAATCATCGGCATAAACTTTATCCATGATAATGTCTAGTAAAGGAGAAGTGTCTTGCCCATGAAGAATATATACCTACTAATAGGAACAATGAAATATCATGTTTACTCAATTGAATAGTCTTGGTATAAAACTTAGAACAAAGTTAAATAGAAAGGAAAACCTTCACCATTAAGAAGTCTTTATATGATGTAAAGTTTGGAAATAAGTTATATTGTCTGGTAACAAGTGGTGTATATAGGATATTAGAATCTGTCAAAAATGAATTATCATATTTTTTCATGAAAGTATCCATAAACAAATATAGAAATAATCATCCGGATTATTTTTTTCATTTGCTGTCACAAATTAAAACTGATCATAACACACAAGCATTAAAATATTGAGCCATAGGTTTGTGAGATAGCTGATGTTATCTCTTATTGATAGAAGTAACATATAAAGATATAGTATGTAAATCTACAGACTGGTAACCATTGAAAATGATTAAATATTTTGTTTACTTATAGCATAGTAATATCGTTTAAATGTATATGGTACTTTTATGATGGATAGATTCGATGGTGAGCAAACAATGTATTTAGTATAATTACCCCTGAAAATAACCTTAGAGATCTTAAAACAGCCAACATCGAGGTCTACAGGACAAGCTGTGAATCACTCCTGTCTGAAGTTAGTGCTGATTATGTCATCCAGAAGAACGATGAAAGCTTCACGACCAAACCATCCAGATCAGAGAATAAAACTCTATCAAAAGCTCTTAAAAAATTTTGTTATTTTCACCTTATCCTGAATGAATTATATATGTAATTCAACAGTATAACCGAAAAGTATTAACTCTTAATACACAACTAATGAGAATATTATGTTAGTCTTTGAGTTAGAACCATCATATTAAATAAAATTTAGAAACTTCATTATATTGTATGCTCCAAATATGTGCATCGATGTATTATTAAACAAAATGGAAAAGTTAAATCTCAATTGTTTATATGAAATATGTCCTTCAATTGTTCTTAATAAACAAAAGCCTAACATCGTATAAGTTGTAAAGCCTTTATTATTCAAGTATGAAGGTTATTATTAGTAATGATTGTCATAAATAAATATTTTGATCCTAGTTATATGAATTTTCGTCAATATTAAAAAATTCCTTACAAACATTTTGTGTTCTGAAGAAAAGAAAGCAAGATAAAAACTAAATTAATGAATGTTTTGTAATCTTTTAAATTGAACACTTTTGATATTTCGATAACAGTCCGACATTAGCTTATTTTAATAGAAACCCTTATAATCACTGCTCAGTTGACAGGAATATGGAGATTAGATTATCTAGAACGGAAATGTTGACACGCAATGATATATCACTGGTTGAAATCATGAGTCAATCAAAGTTAGACCACCACGAAAACTTGAAAGCACTGGACGGCCGTTTCGTCCATGGTGGTCTAACTTCAATTGACTCATGATTTTATCCAGTGAAATATCTAAAATCTCCACAAAAACCACTTCTGACGCAATGATATAGTCTAAAAAACCATTGATATTCAGGAAGGGTTAAAAACTGAGCATTTCTTGCATGGAATCCTCAGAGTTGCTCACTAAGGAAGCATTTAAAGATCGAAATCATGGCCTTTTTGGAGTCGTAGTAAACATCTTACACTTGGACTAAGTAGTCACCATTCAGGTGTTTATGTTTCCTAATTTAGTCAACTCGATAAGGCTGAATCCCATAAGACGCATTTTCTCACTAAAATACGGAATCATCTCAATGCTACCTACTAATACGAATGGAAAAAAATGATTTGCTCAGATTTATGTACATTTCAGTTTCATTTGAATTCCACTTCATCGAGGAACAACAATTAACTTTAGAACTCAGTAATAAAATTCAACAGTATTGCATTATATCGTCACTTGATGGTAATTAGAATTGTATACAATGGAATACAAAATAAACAGCCTAAATTAAGCATGCACCTCTAGAGACTTGAACATTATGAGTCTGGTCATTAGGAAGGTGATGGAAACTCCTTATTGAGGAGTCTCAGACTTAGATAAAATGATTGTCAATGATTCTTAATTTTCAACTACTCACTTGATCTCGTTCTGCGATAAAATCTTACTTTAATAGAAATAGAAATCAATAAAAACACCTTATTTTAAAGGTGTGAGTTCATTTCTAATCAACTTTAGGCGATCTTTCTAAATGGTTCATCGTAGTTATCATATCACTCTGCATCATCTATATCTATAATAACAAAAATCGGATGGAATCGTGATACCGTAATGATCACATCTATCCCTATAGGCAGGTACAATTTATTGATATTAAGTAGTCTGAAAATTCCCATAGAATATTTAAAAATAAAGAATAAAAAGAATGAATGTTTGAAATAACTTCACCATCAGACGTTACAATTATAAGTCCATAATTATTATGTTCATTTATCAAAGTTAAAATGAATCATCTTTTATAAATAATTGAATAATATAAAGAATTACTAGAAACATTTTCAAGATAATATTCAAATCACATAGATAATTAATGAAAATATCAGAAGGGGTTTTGTGGAGTAATTTCATTAGTTAAGATCATGGGCCAATTAAAGCTAGACCACCATGGAAAACCTAGAAGCACTGGAGGGCCGTTTCGTCCCGTTGTGGGACTCCTCAGCAGTGCACATCCAGGTGTTTTACATAGCCGTCTAGGTTCAATTGACTCATGATCTCAATTACTAAAATTATTGAAAATTTTAAACTCTTCAAATTACCTTTGATAAACAATAATTCACTTTCTATATATGGACAATTTGGTGGAAGATGTTTTAATATATTTTGAGAAAAAATTAAAACACCTAATGCTTCATCATAAATTTGATCGGAGCTCATATGTAACAGTGTTATTATTCTAAAATAAATACAATAAATAATTATATAATAAATAAACATAAGAGTATTTCACATCATAAAATGTTTATCTAGACAAATCAAAGAATTCAATTCATATCATGTAATAAACTGAATTCTTCAGTGATATCCAGCTTTTATCATGTTTTAGAATATTCACTGAGATATTGAATGGGATTGCCTTCAACGCTATTATTCGAATAACATTATAACAAGATATAATCAAAGAGGGGTTTTGGGATATTATAGTGATTTAGTAGTTGAATTCATGAGTCGATTGAAATTAGACTGTGAATGCACACTATTCAAGAGTTTCATAATAGGACGAAACGGTCATCCAGTGCTTTCAGGTTTTCCATGGTAGTATAAATTATTAATTATTATTATTACTCTTTCGAAATACTTTGATATAGAACGATAAGTTATGATATGAAGGGTTGATGTAAAACATCATAAAACAAATTTGTTATACATATACTTTATTTTGTTACTTTTCATATGAGAAAAGGAACTTAACTGTTTTGAAATGTTTATGATCTATTTTTCTTATATTCAAATGATGATGAGAATTCGTCAAACATCTACAGCTAATTTCTTACTTTGAATATAAAGTAATTTACTTGATTTGATTGATCTGTAATGTTGAACTAAAGTATTTGCAATTAGATATTACACTTATGTAATCTTAATGTCCTGAACTTATTGATTGATCAGCTGTCATATAGATTTTAAAATATCATGAGAATATGTTTATTTGGTAAAGTTTCTTACTGAAACTTTTATACACGTTCACTTGTGATCAAGTGTTTGATGAAAATATTAACTTTTTGTAACTGAACATTCAAGAGGTGTGTTATAAAGTCCTTTTAATAAAGTTTTTTAATAGATAACTGTCAATAATAAGTAATATACAAAGTATTTAGTATTAAATGATAGAAACTTATCCTACATTAATGACAAATTTTAAGTACGTATAACACAATATTCCACAATTTCGCGTAGTTAACGTATATTTGTCTCCATACATATTCAGAGAGGCAGAGACAGAGAAAACAATGTGAGTTCAATGATAAACAACACCGTAAATCAATGCATCACAGTTTCAACGCATGAACAAGCACAATCAATGTATACTTACACTTGATATTAAAGTTATTTATTTTGTAAAGTAGATATATGAACGTTTACTTTATAAGAAAACCTGCTCAATATAACACAGTATACTTTATATTTCCTACCACGTATTTTATTTATAATACTGACTTTAATACTAAAATGTTGATTGTATACTTTTGTTTTTACGAAACATTTAGAAAAAAGAAACCTTAAATATATTAGTCAAATAATATGTGCTGTATATGACAAGTAAATACAAAGACTAACCTAAATATTTCAAAATTAAGAACAAAAAAAAAGTGATAAATGACCAAGTTCAAAGAAACATATGGTATGTAAAGAAAAATAAAAGTTAAACAAAATGATGTCAAAAACTGTTTAAACCTTGACCTAATTCAATACATTGGACATTTAATACTTTAACACTATTTTGGAAAACTAAAAATAAGTTTTTGAAAAATATTGTTTCCTTTTATATTTGATCTAAAACTTTATTGATTTATTGGTGGTCAGATTTTAAGTGAGTTTATGCTTTGATGTGTTATTTGTCAAAATAACATCGTCTATTCTTTCTAACTCAATAGTGTTGTGTGTAAGTCATTTTGATAAAAGTCATGGACTTTATTACAAATCTAGCAGACTCATAAACTGGATCAAGGACAACAAATACTATGGTAGACAAGTTCGTGTTCAATGAAATATCCAACTACAACATACCATTATAAAAAAACAACTAGTAAATATATATTAGTTTTATGGAGTTAGATAAGAGGTGCTAGCCATCTTGCTAATATGTTTAATATTCTTTCGGTATTAATCCGAGAAATTATGAAGCACGTGAAAGGATATTATTTCAATTTTTATTATTTGTTTGAATCTTCTCATTGATGTTTTAGACTACAATTGATCGGTCTCTCATCGGCATATGTGCATCCTGGGCGGATTGCCTCGATATTGCCCTAAGTCACAAGCATTATCAGTAAAGAGTGGAGGTGGCTTGTAATGGGATGCCGGACGTGTGTTTCGTCTTATTTGGGACTCCTCGGCCGAGTGTACCTGCATTCCAGATTTGATGTTCACTCCACGACTCACTTCAAACAGACAGTGCGAAGTGAATTAATACTTCACCCGATAGCATAAGCTAGTGGCCATCGGGACTCAGTAGCTAAGTGGATAACGTGGTACTGAGTTCTAGTCACAGAGTAAAATCAGCTTCTAGATGCAGGTACATCTAGCTGGCGTGTCTCCAGTTAAACGGAAAGCGCTTCCTAGATTCCACTGTTAACCACCACCCATTTTTGAAGATATACTATATCCACTGAGACAAGTGTATCCTGTGAATTCATTTAGAAATAGGTGTAACAATGTTCAGACGTGAGGTTATTTGGTGTAACTTCCGATAAAAATGACTTGTGAAGTGCATACAGAAATTGAAGCTTTTCAAACCAAATTTAATATGCTGTCTAAGCTTTTTTAAGGAACTTAATTATACTCATTTTCCAGCTTTACGCTCACAAATGGTATCCCCACAATCAGATCAGAAATGTAATTACCAGATTTCATCCTTCAGAAACAGAATTCTGAAACATTTCGAAGATTTAAAAGCATGTAGAATATATTCTGATTTACCGACTAATCGGTCTCTGTAATGACATTGGAAAAGATAATCATGGTTTCCAGATTAATTTATTAAACTTGTATTGTGACAACAGATTGAATGAATATTTCACACAAGCAACATTGAGTGGATTATGTTGATTATTAACAAAGGATAAATACTGCATGCAAAGTGATCCTCTTGATCGGTCAGCTAACATTTGTAAACAAGCGTATATGTGTATGAAATTCAGTGTGTTGAAGTCGAAATTTTAACTCACAGTCAATCATGACATCTTAAAGCAATTCATATTCTTATCATTACATCACACTGATGATATATTGATCACGGATACACAAGTATAATTGATCAGGTGATATTATCAATTCCAGTTTCGTACATAAATCATTAGCATAATTTTAAGGAAATTATAGTATTTAACATGTACAATCTGTCTCTGTTCATGTGGTCGTTTGATAAAGATGTTTCTTAAACTCCTGTCAGAATTGCTAGAATTCATAATTCAACGAATTAAAAACAAACTCTTTATGAAAAAGGTAGCAGAGTATCAAGTGAAATGAATAATAGTTCTTTCTGGTTTACCAAGTATACCTACCTACAAACACAATATGCCATTTTTTCATTTAATAAGATTAATCTGATAATTAAATCCCAGTAAGTTTCGAAGTACCCGAACAAATATCACTGAATTAGTGCTTCGTACTACGATTTTGTTCGTATTTTATGAATTGATTTGATGGAATGTAGATATCACAAAGTAATAAATTGTACAAATGTAATTTTCTATTTTACTTTCATTTAAATTTTTGTTCCTTATCTAATCACTGTGTAAAACTAAGTATTAATCTATTCAGTATGTGTTTTTGCATGAATTTATCTTACTGGCGAATATCCGAATTACATATGTGCATACTATTTGATTTCAAAGAAAGAAAAGAAAAAGAAAATCTCTTATATCAGTCTTTTTCGTTAGAACATGTACTGTAATCAACTAAAATATCTGTTAACACAAACTATTAGTTATATGAGCGTCACAATTTAACAGAAAACTAACCTGATACAATCAGGATGATTATTTCTCATATTATTGGCTTGTGGAATTAAGGAATGTGTGGATTTGATATCACCAAGTGATAACAGAATAAGTGAGACTCTTAATCCAATTTGAATTAAATTTTTCCAATTTTTATGAAGAGGCAGTCTGATTTCTGCTATTGTATTTTGGAATAATGAAGTGTTTCTGATACCCTCACCACAATTGTTCAGCTATAACAATGATAAGCCATCTTTATAAAAATTGCAATAATGTTTACACGTAAGAAAGTGTAATAATCTGTTTGAAAGTTACAAGGTTCACAAATTTTGTTGGGAAAGTTTCCTTTTATTCTGTGTCTATTACATTGAAATTGCGATTCCAGATAACGTACTACTGTGTTAAGGCTATATGTAAAAGTATTGCACTTACTAGACTTAACATGTCATAAAGGGTCGCGCAAGATCATGGATCGACTGAAGTTAAACATTAAAACCGTTGAATGCCGGCTTAGTGGTCTAAGGGTCAAGCGTCCGCGCGTGAGACCGAAGGTCGTGGGTTCGAGTCCGGCGTGGATGTGTATTGCTGAGGAGTCCCATACCAGGACAAAAAAGCCGTCTGGTGCTCTTATGTTTTCACTGGTTGTCTAGCTTAGATCGACTCAAGAATTAAACTATTAAAAACACTACTATCTCTGCAAATCCCTACTCTGATAATTAATAACTGTCTTTCTTTGTTGCCAAAAACTTTAAAAGAAAAATAAATATATATGAATGAAACAGAACACTAGAAATAAAGATGACATTACTTTGTGTGTAAAAACGAAAAATAATCCGTGTATTGTTATAACATAGTTATTAAGTGATATCATGATTGTCGGTATAACGCAGCTTCAACGAGTCAATTTATAGCCAGGCTTCTAATGAGTAACATATATTTTTACATCATTACAGTTCATGTTTCAGAATTATTGATATCAAAATTTATGACATCAAAAACATTTTCCTTCAGATAGTAAACGCTCAGTTACGTAAAATTCTGGATGATTTTTTAATGACAATAATAGTTAGGACTCTAAATAAAACAATATGAATAGTGTTATCTATACCATATGGTATTCACAATAACAACAGTGATTATTATTACAATAAAAAAATCTAGTTTAACATACCTCTTGTATTAGTATCTTCTGTACATTCAATAGTATCTTCAATCTATCTTCCAATTTAACTAACAAACTATCGTCGTTTACTGTTAATATATTCTGAAATGATTCTTGTACTACTGAATCACTTTCACGAAGAATATCATAAACAAGTAATTGATTACATTTGTTTGTTAAACTAATTTCCTCTATCTTATAAAGTTGGTTAATAGGAAACAAATATATCGAAGGGTTATAAACTGTCATAGTACCAAATATAAGATATGAAATACATAATTTGAAATTTAACGACTCTTCATAATGTAGTAAATAATCAACCTTAACGTATTTTGTTATTCTGTTTAGTGGAAAGGACTAATTATATCACATGAAAACGCCATCACATCAGAATACTAAGTGAAGACAAAATGCTCATTTTTTAGTATTTTCACAATAGGGTACCTTGTTTATTTACTTAAAAACTTTTGCTTATTTAAACCTAGCTTGGACTGAACTACGGAAGAAATGTACCCGACTAAGTAAGTGGTCTTTTAACTGAGAAGCATTTGAAACAACCACTGATATACTCAATTAAACTTCCCTTGAAATTCATACCCGTTAGGTGATTGGCTATCGGACTCAGTAACTAGGTGGTTAACGTGATAACTTTTGAAGCGGACTGTACAGCGTTCGTGGCCCGGAATGAACATAAACTCTTTAATTCAAGTACAGCCATCTGACAAGTTCTAAATAAAACGAAACGTGCGTCCTGGTTTCCATTGCTAGCCACATTCCATCTATTCTATATCAATTTTCGTAGAATATTGGATGATATACAGTTGCCAAAACCATATGCCAATTTCAAGCGAAATACCATGCGAGTTATTTTATCAAATATTAATAATCTATTGTTTTACCGTTAAAATGATCACATATCACATGTAACCCTGAGTTACAATTAGGTATTAGGGCTTCTAGCATCTTGTAACCTGTATGGTTAATCCAATACATGACAAACAATAAATAAACACTGTTACTGGAAACGTTTGTTTCATGTTTTTTAGATTATAACCAAATTTAATTGAAATTACGGTAAATATTCATGTGATAATAAACAAATAAAGTATAGTTGTGAGATTATGGACTATGCTACTTGTCTGCTCAGTTCAAGAATGAAATGTAAATAAGTGACAAATATTCATATAATCCGACTAAAGTACCCAAATAACGAACATCTATAAATAAATAAAAAAGTGATCACTAAAGATTATACATTATCTCAGAATCGTCCAAATATACAGCATCCTTACAACAAAACAAGTATGATTATGATTCACTTAAAAAATGAAATCGAAATTAAGGTGCTCAACTCACATGCCATTACTTAACCCAACGAAACTAAGACCTAATTATCATATTTAACTCTTATCAGCCCATTACAATGTATGTTTCTTAAACAGATTATTTCGATAAAGCTCACAAAAAAAGAAACATCTAAGTAAAATGGTAATATGAATATGATCAAAACAATTAGAAAACATTTTTACGGAAACTAAACTACATTTTAATCTAACATTTTCTGATTGTATAAGATTGACATACATACATAATTGTCTTCTTCTTTAAATACAAGATTTTATGCTTGACATAACACTATTCTTACCAACGTAATTATTGGTGTTGTTTTTAATACAATACATTCATTCATCTACTAAGATGTCTATTTATGTGTAATTTAATTCCAAAGGAATTTCCTGAAAAAATAATCCATTCAAGTGTGAATACAATAAACAAATATTGAAGAATGAAATCAGTTTCGTGTAAATTAATTGTTCTTGTTAATGCTTATTTTTTGTTTGTTTGTTTATTTCTATTTCAGGAAGTTTCATCATAGTTATGTAATTATACGGTTTATTATTATCATTGTTTTATTGACAAAAACAGAAAAAAAAGCACACAACTTAAGAATTTGCCTGCTTCTTTTTCTTCTCCTCCTTTTGTTATCTTCGTACAGTTATTTATTTTTGAACCTTTATATGTTTGTTCATTAGGATTATGACAAAGTAAGTATTCATTGTACACAGTTTCTTTTCTTTTCTTTTATTTTTTAAAAATTCTAATTTCCGTAAATCATCTTTATTCACATTACATGATACAAATATACTTACGGGTTTATTTTTCTACTTATTAAGTAAACAAACAACTCCGCTTGGAGCCCCTCTGGAGATACTTTAGTGTGGCCTTTTATTTTGTCTTCATTTAGATCGAATGATATTTTTTGACGGGCTCTACACTGTAGTGGCCCGGGATTTGACTCCAACTTGATTGTATGAATGATTGTTATTGAAATATATATGTCGCCTATACTCATATGTCCTTATCAACTTAATCTGCGTTCAATGAATAACAGAATTAAATAAGTCAAACAACGAGAATGAACTTTTGAATACATATATTTTGTATATGAAGCGAATGGAATAGAGAGAAGCAAAACGACGCGCAGCGGAGATGGCGGGTAAGCCAACTACATTTAGTTTAGCGTTAATCAATATTTATAGTCACACAAAAATAGGCTACAGACATGTGATGAATAGGATAAGATGTGTACACACATATATGCTCATATAAAAATAGTGAAGATTGATAAGCGAGTAATTGACAAGGTCAAATGTGACTCAATTAGAATGAATAGACTGGGCTGTTCGAAAGCTAAATTAAGGTATAGGAGCTTAACATAATGACCGACACTACATTACTGCCGGCCTCAAGCCCGCATAAAGGAGGGGGGTTGGGTATAGGATTAGCGACCCCATCCCGTAAAAAAACTAACTCACTAAAGACGCTAGGTAAACAAACAAATAGATAGATAAATAAATAAGCAACAATAACAAAACATCACAATATTATTTACCATAATATTGGTAGTTTTTTCATATCCTAATCTATTTCTAATAAATAGAAGTTGATTGTTAAGCAGAGTAAATTCATTCCAGTATTCTTTAAATTTGATTGTTTTTGTTTCTTCTAATGCAATTTTTAAATTGTCATTTTCTTCTGGTGTTTCATAATTTTCTGTTTCAGGAAGTTCTATTATTATTATTATCATTTATAAAACAAAATTAATTGAATTAAATTATTCGTTAGATATTATGAACATATTTTATTCAATAGGCTAACTAGGATTTTCCTAACCTTCTACGAAATGAATAAGTTAACTGAAACCAAAATTGTTTCTATCATTCATTTTATGATAATGTTTATGTTACTATGGATTTATATCATTTAAATGAGTCAATTGATTAATCACCATGTGTAAACATTATCAATGTAAAATGTTTATATCAAAACTTTTAAGAATAAGCTGTTTCAATATGTAATAATGTTTTTCTACACAATCGTAGTAAGAATATACCAATACAGCAAAATGAGCATCATGAATAATGCGTACGTTTGATTAACCTATCTCAACTTTATTCATTACTAAATGAACATATAATTTTTCACATGTCACTCTTGACATAAATTTTTTTTAACATAACATATGAAAGTATAGCAGACATTTCAAGATGGTTTTGCACTGGGTTAAATGGTGAAAATCAGAACATTTTCGTGTTTTCTTGATGCGGATGAAGAATAACCCCATAGTATATATATATATATATATATATATATATATATATATATATATATATATATGGTTAGCAGAATGGAGTGCAGTAAAATAGCTTAGTTCGTCTTCTTGTTGTGTTGCTGACTATCGTTCGGTTCGCCGGAACTAGGTGATATGATAACATCTTCAACGTAGCAACTATCAAATAGCAACAGGACTTTCTAGATGAAAATGAACCATAACTATGAGATATTTAGCTTGATTTCTGAATGAATGTCACTGTATATTATACTTATTTCTACACTTCTAAGTATATCGGTTGAAATCTATGTATCAATAGTCAGGCATAAACATTGTTCAAATGATCAACAAACTGTTAATGATTATCTTTTTTACCATATGTACTGAATTTATTAATATGTAAGTTACGATCTGTCTGAAATTATGCTGTTGTACTATAGTATTCATTTTTAAAATCTAAAGGTGAATCCAATGATCCAAACATAACACGTTATCCAACAATAGATGTTAGTATTACTTTGTAAATCCTTATCAACAATTAAGTTGGCTAAACAAAAACTGTTTTTTTTATCAGACGTTTCTTTCCGAACTGTAAGGCCTGACGTTTTCAGGAAATAAAAAAGTTCAAGCTAAAGGAACCAATTTCTGTAGAAATTAAACCATAGTCAAAGATATTAAAGGAAAGTATCTGACGCAAGAAGACTTGCATTTTTCGTGATCGACGATCGCTTATAAGATATGAACTTAAGACGCTCTGAAATAACATTTAGTAATAGATAACACCGTATTATGTACTTTCAACAGTTTTGTTAAATATTTGTTGAGAAATTTTATCACACGGAGAGTTTCTGACAGATTTAGTAATTTTTTCAATAAAGACCATTGTACTAACATTAAAATAAACTAAACTTAGCCTCATCACTTAGGGAGGTAAACAATTTACATTACAGTACATGAAGTTTGTTTAGAAGTAACAAACATTTGTTATAGATTAAAATAGTAAAACTATTCTCAGTAGTTCACTGTATATATACAGACAGTAGCTTTACCTTATCTTATTAGTTTATTCATACCTTGAAGTATCCTTCCACCATCCACTTCATATATCTGACAACGAACCAATTCTGCTCGACATCGAAACCATAAACTTAGAACATCTTGTTGGGTCATTTGCTTTTGAGTCATATTTGCTGGATGATTTGACGTTTTGCAGTTTTTAAAGTCATCTAAAATTATTTCGTCAAAAAGGACTATCAAAAGTAAGCAAGATCTTTGCGTTTATATCTTATAACATGTTAAGTTATAGCTCTCTTACATCACATTAAAATAATGAACCGCAACCCAACATTATAAATTCGTGTAAACCAATCGTTATTGAAATAAAACGCACGAATGAAATATAAATCAAGCCTTTTTCTCATTTCCGCGTACACAGTAAACCTTGGATAAACACCATGAAATGCAGGAATTATTAACTCGAGAAAAAATATATTGTCACTTCTATGATGGTTGTTATGTTCAATTTTACAGACTCCCATCCCTATCCTTTCTATCCATTTCATAAAAATTTTGCCTTGATTAAGTTATTGCTATATCCATGCTCTTTCTAAGAACATTCCATTCTCAAAATTTATCTCACCATGTAATGCAACCAATTCATTCCCACCTAATAGTCTTTGTTTTAATGACATGTTTAATTAATATGCAAAACCCTCGCAATCAATTTGTTAGTCTCATAATTTTATTTGTCTTTTCTTCTCATCGCAATATCAGATAAATATCTGTACAATAAAAAAACATCAACTAATTAACAATACAGAAGTAGAACATAATTTCTATTGTACTGCTCTGAAAGTAACTTCATTGAAATCTAGTCGCTTGGTAAATATTCATTATGTCACGCATCATTAAAGGTGTTTCTTTGATTTTCAACTTGATTTTTACATTTGACAATATACAGTATCAATAAATGACGTTTAAACTTCGACTAACGAATTACATTTTAATTTTTTTACAAAATGTATTTTACAGTAAATTGTTATCCCATTTTATTGTTCTAAAGTACATGGTCAATGAAAATAGTTTCTATAAGGGATATAATAATGAACAAAAAAATATATTCCAAAATTATATATTCGAGTATATTCAGCATGGATTTAGTGAATGAACATCTTTTTGTCTATGTCAACTCATCGATAAGTCTGGCTTTCAAATTTCTGCATATTCAAAGATTAATCACAAATCTCTCAAATTCTTTTTTTCAAATCTTTATGTAAATTTATTCTATTTGTTTCATATTCAAAATTAAAACATACTCTACTTAAATAGTGTAATATCGACAAACACAAATAACAACACTTCAATAGCTGTGTTTAAGATACAGTGAATATGGAATAGAAACAATATTAAAATCACTCATAGAAGACATTTTGATTTGTGTTTTAATCATGTACTTTATCAAGTAACTATGTTTATATTTTGTTATTATTTTCATTAACAACAACGAAAAACAAACAAACATAGAAACTTGACTAGGATACTTTGAATTCGACTCCCAAAATTCATATTATTTAGCTAATTAATTAAATTAACTTTAGTTTCTTTCTTTTTTTTACATCTTCACATAAAGACATTTTACATCAGCTTAATTCTTATAATTTACACTAAGATAACTAGTTATTTTTAGCATTGTTTCCAATTTCAGGTCAAAAAGAAAAAAATGACAATGACCTAGAAACCTAAAACTTATTTTTTCAGTGAAATATATAACTTATCTTGAAAAAGAAAAAAAGAGTAAAACAATAACAACAACAACAACATAGAAGTATGATTATTTAAATAATTTGAATGAATGGAAGATTATCGATATGTATCCATACATTAACTAAGAGTTACTTACCGTACAACAAAAATATATGGAAAATACACACACACACACAAAACCAGATTAAGTTAATGTTAAGTTTTGAAAAAATATACGTATAAATAGAATATTTTTGATTTGTTTCAATAGTTGATCAAATATATTCGTTTTATAATCCTAAAGAAATTATTTTCCAAGAATGTTTATGAACACTAATTAGGAAGATATATCAGGATTTAAAAATGATGCTTCATCATTGATTTATATTTTGTTCATTAGTTGTCATGTAATAATAAAGTCACAGACTATTTAGTTTATTACTAATCTACATAATTGGACTATAACTGTAGTGAACAACAACATGAGTGAGGACAATCGAATGTATTCGAGCACATCTCACTAAAATATGAGACCTATATAGTAAATAGTTAATTTGCAAAATATCAACCCATCGTATCAAACTTGACTGTTCCTTTTGCAAATATCAGTCCATTGTCTCACATTTCATTGTTCATGCATTTTCATACAAAATGCTCTTCGTGCCCATTCTTTCACTTTCGATCTTCTATTGAAATACATTCTATGTTTGACCATCTTATATACTAATTATGTGGATATAAGTAGCTCACACAACATAACTACTTAGTTCCTTTTCATAAATAAGTTTAATTTTTAAATATTTTATCAAAAACTACCGATGAGTAGTATCCAAATTCGTAGATCAGTTGGTAATCCGTAGAAATATTCTATCATAGATTAAAAGTTACATTTTCATTTCTTAGACTAAAAAAACCATGGTTATTAGCATTTTAAAATTACTACAGTAATAATTAGTAACCAATTAATGAATAATGTTCTTAAACTATATCATTACATTAAAATTTTCTATATTTACAGACCAATATATTAATACATTGTTTATCTATAATAAATGCTCACTCATTAGCATTAATATATTTTGAATATATTTTAAAATATAAGCCATCAACATTGAGCCAGAGCGTGCTTGATGTTGTGATGTTAATAATTTAGCAAGTAGAATAGCAGCTTCAACGACTACCATAAGTACAGATTGATCTAAGGATGGATGATCTGAAATCAGAAAAACATAATCATTAAAATCATGTTTACGTTAATTTATAATGATAATTATTCAGTGTAAATAATTTTTTGTCATAAGAATCAACTACGTAGTACTGCCGCGAAATACGTAAAAAAATTGCACTATGGTCAATCGATTTTCCGAATCGGTTATGTTTTTTTACATATTTAGGTTATATGAGCCTACCTAAACTTTGACATACGCAATAAATGATTACCTTGAATGTTTTCATCGTTTTAGACTAAATATGCGCTATATACGATAAACAGAGATGACCACCATGTAAATGAGAAGTATCTTCCGTGAGACACCAAAGTCTGATTCGTTCATATACTTTTCAATAGCGTTAGAAGTGCTTTCGTATATTTGATCAGAATTTGGTTGTGTCTATGACTAGCTGTATTTATAAAAATTATCTGTTGATACTTGGCTAAAATATTTTCAGGTCGTTGCGTTCACTTTATTAGCATTTGCTAAAATGATGAAGTCTTTACAGTGAAGGCAGCAGTTGAAAATCAGTAATATTTTCATGATTTTTTATTGCACCTTATATCAGAATAACTAACTTCGTATTACCTTCCAAGTATACATTACAAGAATAAGACTAAACTTTCACAAAATACATAGTGGTACATAATCTATAATTTTTGAGTAGAACAATATGAGAACAGTTAGTTGGAGAAAGATGGCAAGATGCAAGAATAATTTCTGAGCGGTTCTGACCTCGTGGAAATAGATTCACTAATGACACCAAGCCCAATATTGCAGGTTAATTGACGAATAACAGAACTATACAATAGCTAGTATTAAACATCTTAAAAATAAAACTATTACTTCATTGTGACAACAGTTAGTAATGTAAACGTTTATTAATAGCAGATTGAATACAATCACTAAATTATGACGTTAATCCATCCTGAATTTAAGCCTTACTTCAACAAGACAAAAGTTTATATATTGAAAAATGATTTATAAAAGAGATAGAGGTAAAAATAATGAATAAGCCAAACCATAATAAAATTTAAATGTTAAGCCATTTAACACACAGAATAAATTCATTCTTTCTAAACAAACAGAAAACGTTTTTCATACTCTAATAATCATGAAAACGTACAAACAACTCGACCTCACTATTATTTAACTGATTCTAAACACCATATAAAAGAACATAGTAAGTGTTATATATTAGTTTCTTAAATATCGAAATAATTTCATTGTCGTACAATAATATAGCCTAGCAATAGGTACCAATACCAATGTTGAACTTGAATGTTTCAAATAAATTGAGCATTCAGTAGAGAGTTAATAATAAACATTTTTTTAATAGTCGAAGTCATGATTCGATCTAAGCTAGACCACCTTGGAAAACCTAGGAGCACTGGACGGCCGTTTTGTACTAGCATGGGACTCTTCAACAGTGCGCATCCACGATCTAGCACTCGGGAATCGAACTCAGGACCTTCGATCTCACGCGCGTCCAGTTCTAGATTTTTCCTAGTGGGTCCAGCTTAGATCGACTCATGAATTCAACTATTATTGTATTACAATTTTCACAAATATACTTTTGTTATATTCCAATGAGTAGAAAAGTTATACTTCTTTCCTTTTATGACTTAATAAAAGTCACTTCTTCAGGGTAAATAAATAACCAATATTAAATTAATACAAGTTTAGATAGTACGAAGGAAACATTGCAAAATATTTTTTAGTATAATCAAAATCATAATAAGTCTGAATATGTCAATTTCATTTTCTTCTTAGTCAATTTGAATTTGTATGACCTGTTATTGTATTAATTTGGGTGTCAGGATGTGGTTATGAGTAATGTGCACATTTGTAAAAAGAAATAGTGGATTGAGATTGTGTGTGTGTATATATGTGTAAAGATAATGAAAATAAGATGAAATGTGTTGTTTGTGATAATTAAGCAATACAGTATTTTATAATTAACAATCAGTTACTAACGTGACAGATAATCTCCATTATTCATAAAGATAAAAAGTAATCAAAACCCAATTTCATTTTGGTGAATAAAAACAATGGCATTAGGATGTGTTAATTAAACTTTCTTATTTCAAATAACATAAATCTAAAAAAAGAGGAGTTAATTCAATTCAAAGAAATTAAATCATACAGTTTAAACCAAGAAACCTATGATAACAATTTTATAGGTATTAACATATCAATTTACACCCTGGATACCATTGTAAATTATATTATCTGTCATTGGCACTTACATAATTTTGTTTAACAGATGATTTTCATAGATGATCAACTTTTATTCAAAAGTATTTTTAAAGCCTTTATAGGAACTCCAAATAATAACACAATATATGATGCTTTATTATATAAAGATTGATTGTATAGTTCATGTCACTTTATGCTGTTGAAAAATGATATGCTGTATTCTAAATAAATATTAAAAGAACTCTAATATTGAGTAATTTTACGATCATTGTTGTTTTTCTATTTTAAAGGTTAACACTTGTATTGTGGTGTGGGTTACTTGTATCCACATAAGTAGTATATAACAGTGGTCAGTTATAGAATGTATTTTAGTAGAAGATTGATAAAAAAGAACGGGAACAGAACGCAATTGGTATGAAAATGCATGAACAATGAAATCTGAGACTATGGACTGATATTTGCAAAAGGAACAGTCAAGTTTGATACGATGGGTTGATATTCTGCAAATTAACTGTTTACTATATAGGTCTCATATTTTAGTGAGATGTGCTCGAATACATTCGATTGTCCTCACTCATGTTATTGTTCACTACAGTATTACTTCTAATACAATACTTTATTATTGAAGTATTTAAGTAACTAAGAAATTTAAACAAATAGATTTAATCTGTATCCATCTTATTATTAATCCCTTAACTTATTAGGCAATTTATCACCGCGTTCACAATTTTAATAACTGGATTAGTATGTGTGTAGCTAATTTTGTATTACCACTTATATATATATATATATATATATATATATATATATATATATATATATATATATATATATATATATATATATATACCAATTTAATATTTTAAATTTAATGAACAAACATTCACACAATGAGAACGGTCACTCAACATCATTTTACTTATGATTTTGATGAAGTTTTGTGCTGATTATGTCGTTTGAAGAGCGATGAAAGCTCCACGACCAAACCATCCAGCTCAAAGAACGAAACTCCATCAGAATCATCCACCTGAGCTACAAATCTTCTCCACCATCTCAAAATCATTTTACTTAGAAACGTCTAGGTGACTTTATTACTTTCATGTTAAATACAAGGTGTATCTGATGTTTTTATTTAATACTTAATCACTATGCAATAGTGAGATAATTTCACATATTTGAAATACATTGATGTATGTTAAGCTCAAAGGAATAATGCACTATAACTACATTTTTAAATATTTCTTTATGCTATTAATTCTTATTTAACCTTATCAAACATGCAAACATAGGAAATCTTAACAGGAATATTATTTGTTCATTGTTGTAGACCTTCACTTCTGTTAAGTTTACAGTTTTATATATTATGATAAAAATTACCATTTCAAACAGATCTTAGCTCTAGGACCAATTGAATCTATGTTTTATGGCCAATGTTTTCTAATCGTTCATAACACTAATACCATTTGTTAATCATCATACTGTAAATTAAACTCATAATAATAAGTTCATAACCAAGTCAAGATTATTAAATATTTAATATTAAATATTTAATATACAACTTGTAGAAAAATAACTTCATTCTAATTTACGGATAACTTGAACGACACAAACATCATCAATGAAATTAAACAGTATTATGTAAATAAACCCTTGTAAACTAGTTAATCATTAAGCAAAGATGAATAGTGGCTAGCAGTGGAATACAGAACGCGCGTTTTGTTTTGTTTGGGGCTTGACAGCTGAATTTGTCTGCATCACAGGTACGAAACGTGCGTCCTAGATTCCACTACTAGCCACTATCCATCTTTGCTTAAATAGCTTGTGAATTAAGGCTATATCGAGGTAATCCGCACAGGATACACATATTTCAACATGAGATTGGTCAACTGCAGTCCTAAATGACAATGGAAAGATACAAATAAAACAACTCCAAGTGAATTTGCTTAATCATTTCTTTTGGAAGATTTATTTTACTCAAGAATGAACAATATAATAATTTCCTTTATTGATAAGCCTAAGTTTTCTCAAGTATTTAGAAGCACTCTTGATTTATATTTCCATGACTTATAAAATCTATTATCTAACTAATCAACAATATATAATGATTACTGAAAATAAATATGAATAACAATAACTAAGAATTTGATGTTAGTCATACGTACAACAATTACTAATAATTTCTAATCCACTTTGAGCAACTCTCTTCGAAGTGTTCTGCAGTTCAGAAGAATATTATTCTTTCCTATCTATAAACACTTGAATAAAACACCATACAATAAAATTGAGCTCTTTTTTTCCACAAGAAAGCAATTCATGAACATATTATCGAATATCTTGTATTTTATTTGAGTTTAATAGAATAGTTTCAAGTAAACCATTAAATCATACATTATTGTTTTTTTATTATTATCGTATAACACCTAACATTTTGTTGTTGATATTTTCAATTTAAAGAGAAACTATGATAGTAGTATATGCAAAGATGAATATTGGTAAGCACTGGAATCCAGGACACGCTTTTCATCCTATTAATCACTCGTCAACTGGATGTATCTGCATCTCATAGTTGATGTTCACCCTGGGACTCGAACCCAGTACCGTTTGTTTCAAACGCCATCGCGTACAGTATGCAAATATGCCAATAAAAGTCTAATTAATTGCAGTATTAAACATCAATGGAATGATTCAAATAAACAATATCAAATGTCTTTTTAATTATAGTCATTAAAATAATGTAAAAATAAACTACAAAAATACACTTACTTTCATTACAAATACTATTTATCATTAGTTGACAAACATCAGATCCATAATCAAAAAGTAATTGTTTTAGATAAGATTGAAAATTTGAATGATACATTGAATTTTGATTTTCCATTTCATACAATAAACGAACAATATTTTTTTCTACTATAAAATAAACCAAATTCTAATCAATACTGACTAGATATTATTAATGCGATTAATTTAAACAAAATAATGTTCTTCTGTCTAGTTGTTAAGACGAGAAAAAACAAAAATTCATTTTACATTTTCTACAAGAAGAAAGTATCTAAGTCTTAAAATAGAAGAACATTTTCATGTCAACATTTCAACATGCAATTTAAAAGATAAAATACATTCACTATTAAGTAGTTTCAAATTGAGCTTATCCATTCGAAATTATGCATAGATTAACAGTAGATAAAAAAATCAATGTTGAATAGATTTACTTTTTACTTTATTTACTTATACTTCCTACTCCTAATTGAGCGTAGACCGCCAACCAGCACTCTCCAACCCACTTACTTCTGGGCCTTCCTTTCTAGTTCTATCCAATTGCTGTTCATTCTCTTCATGTCTCCCTCCATTTCTCGGCCTAATATGTCCTTTGGTCTTCCTCTTTCCCTCTGGCCTTGAGGATTCCAAGTGAGGTAGTTGCTAATAGTGTCTGGCCAACGAATCCGAAGTATTTCGCGTAAACAGCTGTGAATAAACATTTGTATCTTCTGGATGATGGCTTTCTTAGTTCTCCAAGTTTCCGCCCCATACATTAGAACTGTTTTGACAGTTGTATTGAAAATTCTGACTTTGGTATTGATTGACAGTTGGTTTGAATTCCAGATGTTCTTTCGTTGTAAATATGCTGCTCTTGCTTTGCCGATCCATGTCTTCACATCTGCATCAGATCCACCGTATTCATCAATGATGCTGCCCAAATATTTAAAGGTTTTTACATCGCCTGGAGCCCTTCTTGAGCTAATGTCAGTCCCAAGCTCGGATAAAGGAGAGTTGGGCATAGGGTTAGCGACCCTATTCCTTAGAAAACTAACTCGCTAATAAACGCTAACCAAAAAATTAACTAATTCAAATGTTGAATGAATTATTGTAAGTTAAATTAATAGAATAATCGTTTAATTGTTTAAGTCCATTATGATCCGGAATGTTAGAGTTACACACATGTTAACTACTTATTGATACTATGAATAGCTGATCCATTTAAATGATACACATTTCCTTGTTTACAACAATAGTGTAAGACTATGTTAACAAGTTAACTAAATCAAAATATTAAAAGCAAAACTAATGAATATACAAATTAAAGATTATCTGATTGTTAGATGATTTATATTTACTTCTAAATTGTTCGTAGAAAAAATAGTTGTGGAAATTTGAGAATTTTCATTTCAAAGATTGTACACAAATAGTAATACTGTCACAATAGTAAACAATTCGAAATACAAAAAATAGTTTACACCTAGAATAAAGAGATCGAATCTCAAATTAAAATTAATTACACTATCTAAACAGTCAATTTGAAATTGAGGATTATAAAACTATTAGGAAGTATATAAATTCTACATTTTCAAGATGGTCTTTCTCATAAAATTGAACCATTAATCAAAAAGATTTATTATTAATGATTCACTTCAAATGCATGTTTAAATTTCGATGAAGAAATACAGAACTATTTTTTGAAGATAGTATGGGTCACTAAGTAATTTTGATTGTATAACCGTTGGAAAGTTAATTGAACTGATTAGACTTTTTTTGCCAAATTTGAAACTTCACAGTAGTATGCACTCATGTCCATAACTGAGAGCGAAGTGTTGATGTTATTTTTTTACTATAACATTACCTGAAAACTACTGAGAATCTATGACACATTTAAAACTGAAGAAACACCATGAACATTTTACGGTGAAAATAATTTTTCATAGTTTTCACATATCATTTGTCATGTACGTTGTAAAATTGTATTTTAGTAATAGTCTGATTACTAAAATTTGTTTTTCACATCAATGTACATACATTGTGCCAAAGCAGATATATTCATAATCTAATTTTTTAAGCAACAGTCAAATAGCTCAAAACCTCACAAAATGGTTACATATAGATTATTAATCTGAAACTTTAGAAAAGCAAAATCTATTTAAATGGTTGAGATCACGAGTCAATTGAAGCTAGACCACCATGAAAAACCTGGATTCCATTTAAACGAACTATTGAATAAACATTTCAGTCAATCAACAAATAAACATGAATAAATTTCGACAGAACAATCAGAAGAATTAGTTGATCTGAAAAATTTGATATATTTGCGCTATATATTTCGAACAATCTGGTCACACATATACTCTAAATAAGAAAGATTAGTTCAGCGAAGAGTTCTCTTTTTGGCGAATTCATTTTCAAAGCTGTATAATCGCAAATATATATACTTATTTCAACAGGATGATAGTAATACTGATAATAAACTTGTTATACATGGTGACAGTGAGGTTAAATAAACAAAGGTATTAAACAATTTTTAAACAAGGAAAATTTAATAATTGTTTGATTGTTAATGGCTGGAGTATTCATTGGGAAAGGATGGCTCAGCATGATAAACTAAAGTGTTGAAACTGAGATGAAATGTGATCGGAATGATCGTGGAAATAAAAACAAACCAGTTGGGGGTAGAAGATTTAGAGGGAAGATGGAAGGTGAAGCAGGTGGCTGTAAAAGAACAAGAGTATGAAGAAAGAGAAAAATTTTGATACATTAAGACCATGGTAGAAGAAGAGGTTGTACCAGTCGCTCTTGCACACACAATTCTGATTTTTGCAGATGTATGTCTATTGCTTCGGCAATACAAATAAGATGCAGTCTAATTGTTTTGGGGAGACTTCTACTTACCTTGTAGATGACTTTGAACGCAGAGTCTGTCTTGATTGAATGACCTGTGTTCACAAGGTGTTCGATTATAAAACTTCTTATTGAGCCATTGCTTCCTACTTTTTCCAAAAGAATTCAAGAACATTATCCGGCGTGGTTAAAAAGAGGAGGCACCGGCTCAATAAGGAAAAACCCCAAGGACACAAATACTTGTCAGGTCATTTTCATATGAAAATTAATAAAGGTCAATTAAATCAAAGTTCAAGTAAAAAAGTAACAAAGAGGATAGAAACAATTTTTACATTGTATAGAATGAATAAGAAATTGTCACATTATCCTAAGCCATAGAATGACTTATGGATTATCAAGGTAAAAACATGAATAAATTAAGTTTGATCTCATAGACGTGATTATAATTTTTGATAAAATAATTCCAGTTTGTTTTAGTTTCTTCCAAGTTCACAATATTAATCAATAAAAATATTTTAAAAAAACAAAAAAATAAAACAATATGTCATGAAATAAATACAAACAAACTAATGGTATATACTAATGAAATATTGTTTACCTTGGTTTTTAACTTTACGGCCACTAGATTTTGTGACCTGATTTCTATTAGGATTTGTAGATGATATTTGGTTTCTGTAATAATAATAATAATAAACAAGTTTACATTACTTACAAACTAAATAATTAATCAGGAAAAAACAACTTTCAACTGTAGTCAACTGAAACAATTTTATAATTGAAATCATAATTTAATGTCATGTGTTTCAAGTCCTTCTTAGTGCAGATGGAATGCTATCGACAAAGTTGCAATGTGGCCACTAGTCTAGGTGACTCAAAATTGCGTGTACTATGCTGCGATTAGATGGTGGTTGAAGGTAGTCAACAGGAAACCTTGGACCCGGGTTTCGTGCCACTTGGCACTCGTCAGCAAGGTTTACCAGCAATCTTGAGGGAACTGATGCTTCCTGACGGATTCGATCCCGTGTCACATCTCAGTCCTACAGAGGGTCGGTGGCGGCCCGGATAGCTTAGTGGTAACGTCTGTGACTGTGATGCTGGGTGACACACCAGTTCCCTCAAGATTACACGCACACCTTGCTGAATGAATATAGCATTTGTCATTTAATTATTTAATATTTTTATTGAATATTTGATCAGGAAATCAATACAAATGAATTGGTTAATATGCCGTTTTTCAAATATCTTAAAGTAATTTCACAGTACCATTAGTTAGATCTGCATTTGTTTATATCAGTTTCAAACGAAATAAATTATGAATAACTTAATACTACTTATATGTTATTTTCAGCATTATTTAGATTTCAACAATTCATTAATTCATAAGCGAGAAAAATGAATCAACTACCAAGTGTATTTTTATATACAAAAGTTCACGAAGTTCACTACATAACCAATATTGATGCCTTTAATTTCTACAGTTAATTAACTATAGACAGCCTATTTCCTTTAATTTGCCTTATTCCGAACATTTTGTTTTAAAATCCTGTATTTATATAGTTATTTGTGCAATGATATATCTTACTCAATTATCATTTTCTTTGGTAGATAAGGTATAGATTTCGCGATTTCATAGCAAATTTCGGCGCGAACCAATTGTATTTCACAGAATAATATAGAACCCCATTTGTGAATTGTCTGTTTTGACAACTTGTTTGTTAGTAATATATTCAAACACTGTAAAATAAATATTCAAATAAGGGAGAATAATAATGACGTGAGTTTTTTATTGACTGTTCGTATAATTTTAAATCAACTCTAGTTGTTAAAACCTTTCATTAAAAGTAAACAAACTGTTAATAAAGTAGAAAAAACGGGTGCAAAAAAGTACCATGATAATGTCCTTTCAAATGCGTTACGTCTTCTGGGCCGTATGGTATAAATGTAGGATCGTCAAGGTTATTCAAGTTTGCACGATTAGCGCCTACACCAGTCAGAAGTAATGTTTCCCACAATTAATATACAAGCATTGAGTCAGTTCATTCTCTATACGCTGATAGTCACTTGGTATTTTTATAGCATTCTTTCCATTATGTTTCCTTGTCTACTGTTCATTTCTCTTGATCATTGACCATGAAATTCATTAACTGTCTTACATGGATTAATACATCCAACTAGTATCATACTATTCTTGGAATATATTTTGACCTAAATCCCATGACATCGCATAAATTTCGTAAAGATTTTCTGAACATAAACAATCTATTTATCTTAACTAAACAGTTATTTTTTATGTTAATTAAGATACGGAGACTGAATTAAGTCTCTTTTTTAAAAAAAGAATATTAGTTTTGTCAACAATTAATTAAATAAGCTTTTAGAACTAGTTTTTCAAAGGTATGAATTACCAATTACTTATCATAGATTATTTATTAAACTTTATTTGATCATTTAAAACATATTACAAAGAAAAGTATTTGAAGTTAATTATATTCATTGTATTACTCTTTATAGGCTTCAATTTATAATTTGCTCTATTACAATATTTTAATTAAACTCTAATAGATTATTATAAGATGTTCTATGAATTGATACAGATGTAACATAATTTAAAGCTGTATTATTAATACTAGAATAACTAAACAATATGTAATAAGAAAAATGTTTAATTTGTTGCCATAGCAACGGACCATTATTAAATAATATAACTTTATTGTTAACAGATAAAATAATTTAATTGAAATCTTTATATATTTATAATTAATCTGATTGACAGTTTCATTTATTGTTTTTATTATTATTGAAAGAAACAATGAAGCATGAAAAATTGATTGATTCATTTATTGTGCATTGTTCTTTTTTCTTTTCTTTTTGTTAAGAAGTTAAGCAACTCTATTTCATAATTACATGATTGTTATAGTCATTAGTTAACAATACAAATTACCAGTGTGCATCATTTTAACACTATTTTATAAAAAACAAAACACAGTAATATAGTAGAGGAATCGATTCGTTGTACGAATACACATTTATTATTCAGTAAAAAAGTAGGATCTTATTAATCCCCAACATCGTAGTAAATGAATGAATGCGATTTTTATACTATTAGTATTCTAAATAATTGTAGACGGTTATGATAAATTTTAAATATCAAATATAGTAATTTATATTTAGATGAATATAGAAGATATTACATTATAAGTCGTTTACATGAATAAACATAGAAATGAAGTTATGCAGAATGTAGGTGTGTGGAAGAGAAGCTTATTCTTTAAACAACAATAATGTGTATCTGCCAGATTAATTGCTTTTTTAGAATGGGTAATATAGACCGCAAAAAATGAGCTGATGAGAAATATATCATCAAAGATTATTCTGCTCGGATGTTTTAAGCATTATATAATTCAATCAAGGGTTAATTCTTATAACATTTCATAAATTCTCGTTATATTTATTCATCGCAATCGTTCTTTTCAAAATCATCTACACACTCAAAAGAATTGGTTCGAAAGTTGTGTAAATAAAGAAGTTACGCATAGCAGCAGATCCAACAATCCATCAAGTAAACCCATTATATATTTACAAAAACAACATGTTTAATCTCTCATTTACTCATGATCTTAAACTTTTCCAACTTTTCTTTCTTCTTTACACTGATTTTTGTTCAAAATTATTAAGTAGCTATATCTGCAACATTTTATCACTTTGCTCTTAAAATCCATCAAGTGGACAATTATTATCCATCTATAAACTATCTTTATTCATACACTTTTGTAAACCACTGGATCATTACATAATATCTTTTCTACACCAAGAGTTGTAGCAGGTATAAATGAGTAGTGGCCTCATACAAAATTTCGTATCCATTATTGAAGCATTTTTCCTAGAGAACTAATCAAACGGTTAGCACAATCCATTCAAAAGCAATAAAACACTTTTAAAGTAATCACAAGATATCAGTTTGCATTATATTATAATTTGCCTATAGCTTGTTCTTATTTCAAAAGATGAAATACTGATAAATTATATTGTGTTCTATCATTATTGTAATTTCTATCGACATAATAAATTGTATGATAAACCTTTTAAACTAATTCAAAACATATTTCTTTTAAATAAAGAGATATACGTCACTTTTCGACATTTCTAGATCAAAAGTTCAGATATAAATACTTAGAGTTTACAAAAAAGCATCATACTAAACCAAAATGGTAAGTGAAAAATGTTCAACTATAAACTCTTGTAATGAGAAAATTAGTATTGATCAATGTTCTATTTGTTGTGTACTTTGGTATATATATATCTTATTATACGTGTATTACTTACGAAAAATCATCAGAAGAAAAAGGTGTCTTTGGTTTAGATTTTTGTATACTTTAGTAGTATTTTGATTATATGACTATATTGATCATCAATGAAAAACGGTTAAATAACTGTATTCAAAGTTTTGGTTGAATAAAATTCAATCCGAAATGAATTAGTACTTGGATAAATTTATTTGTAACGTACAATACTGAAGATGATACTTTTCATAGTTGCATAGATTCCAAACATCAAACCGTTGTTTCAATAGGACTTTGACTGATGCTTAAAGTCACGAGCTTTTCTTAGTAACTTTACTATCAAAAATGCTATGATGATAGATTAGTTCCGTTCGGCAAATGGAACATAATGACGCAATCAGGTGCTTTTCAATGAATTAAATGATGATATAGAACCTTATTTCTGTCACAAATGGCAGTCGAACATATGTCATTTATATGAACATTCAATTTACCTTGAGTTACATACATGCGCTATGTACAACAATATGGTTAACAGTGGTGCAAAACAAAGATAATATGACTAATTTTCTTCTGAGCGCTGAATAAAGTCTGGGGGTTTTAATGAAAATATACCTCATGCTTTAAACGACCTATGAATACTGTTTCGGATATCCAGTCAACGAAAATCGATTATTTTACTCTCAGTTATTTAAAATCATCACAGATATAATGTCGGCTTTAGTGGCTGCATCCAACCTATTGTGGTTCTATATATATATTCATCTTGACAAAATGGTGGACATAACTGCAAACGGACAATTTAAGAAAATATGCTTTTATTTTTCAGGTGATTTGAAGAGCTATAGGTCAAGTTGCCAACATTCCCATCGTTTCTATCAGCAAACTAACAAATGGTACTAAAATTCAGTTAACTTTGTCCCAATTACTAGTTTTAAAAAAACATTGCTTATTTTGATATAAACCCGGAAATACATTTGTTACAACAAACATTATAAAAGAAACGTGTTAGAGAATACGGTCAACATTATGAAGTTTAATAAGCAGAATAATTAGAGGTAAATTCTTCTCGGTCATTAACTCTATCGATAGGTTCTGAAGAATGAAACGACTTTGAATAAAAGGCTGTGATCAGCATATCACTATTATCATAGTCAATACATAATTAGTTCATAGTAAATATCTCTAATTCAGTAATTTCAACAGTTTCTTAGTGTATTTTCTCTCAAATATATTTGATCATTCTATCTTCACGTATAAAATATTACAGTTCATTTAATGAGATTATACAAAATACTATAATGGTTCAAGAAATCAATTACTTTGTTTGGTCTCAGTTACTATGTCGTTATATTCACATTTAACTTTTATGTTACTCGGTAAGAAAAAAAAACGTTTTGAAAAGCAAAACACATTATGAACATGTTTTTTTTTCGGTTCGAAATAGCCAACATTTTTTTGAATGATTCGAATAAACTTTAATTAGGAATACAAGTTAAGCTTTTTTAGAATTGTTCATATCAACTATCGAAATTAAATCTTGAATCTTTGTGATCATACCAAATACTTTATTGTTACTCCCAGTTATTAAATTGAATAAATTTCAATAAACAATAAAGTTGCACATGAACAAAACACACTAATTTTTTTGTTTTAATAATAGTTTTTAACTTAATCTTAATAATTCAAGTCTGTATAATTATGTAAACAAGCTTTTTAAGCAAAGATGGATAGTGACCATCAGTAGAATCCAGGACGCACATTTCGTCCTATTTGGGACTCGTCAACTGGATATACCTTCAACTCAGAGTTTACGTTCACTCCAGGGTTCAAACTCATTACCTTTCGCTTAAAACGCCATCGCGTTACCCACTTAACTACTGAGTCCTAGATTAAACTGACCAATAGCAGTCCAAAATAACAATAGGGCGATACAAATCAAACAACACCAAATGAATTTATATAAACAAGGTTTACAATTTTATTTTATTACACACTGCTGATTGGTTTGAATCTAGATCACATAATATATATTTAATCTTTGGGCGTCAGTGTTTATATGTACCGGAAAAATTTATTTACTTCTTTTTACTCATTATTCGAAAAAGAAGCATATGTTAACTTATCTGCTGATAATGGCTAATACCATTATTTATGTAAATAAAAACAAATTACATTATGAAATACCAAACTCATTTTTATTATATAATTTCATGATAAACTAAGAAGAAGAATATAAAATACTGTGATAAACAAAACAACAAAGTTGGAAATGGAATATTCGTTTGAAAGAATAATTTCATACCTAAATTCTAAGGAATGAATCATTAGTAATTAGTCTTGAATGTTATGATAATATTAGGTATGGCTACAAAGAAAAATATTACTTTCATGTTAAATTAATCAAATTCTATAAATCCGTAAACGACTAGTAATACATGGTGGAGAAGATTTGTAGCTCAGAGAACAAAACTCCATCAAGATTAGTAATAGAAGAATGAAATTTTTTCTAAAACAAAATAATTCACTAAACCTTATGAAGTAAACAAACGTTTAGATATTTTGTAATTCTATTGAAAGTATATATCCTGATTTACAATGCAGTTGAATTATTAAAATAAACTGAATACATTTTTACATTTGGTAAAAAGAACCGATCGAGCAAAGAATATACTTTCCAATTATTTTTCGATCATATATATATATATATATATATATATATATATATATATATATATATATATATATTCATTTACAACAACGAAACAATACTCATCAAGTAGTTGCGTTACATAAATATATAATGATACATTAATTATATAATAATATTGAGTAATTGGAAGAAAGAGGATTACAATCATAAAAGTAATTTAATAGTTGAATTCATGAGTTAGTTAAAGCTAGACAACCATGGAAAACTTGGAAGCATTGGACGGCCGTTACGTACTAGTATAGGACTCCTCAGCAATGCGCATCCATGATACCGCCTCACTGTTCAGTTCTCCCAGATTTTCCATGGTATTCCAGCTTAAAATGACTCATAAATTCAACTATTAAATTACTACGACATCCACAAAAACCCTTCTCTAACTATGATCACCATGTGCTCACTGATGACGGTCTCCAAGAAGTATTTCCTGAAGTTTTAGTTTGAAGCCGTGACCGGTTGAGTTCAACCAGGTCTGTTGTGATATACAAACTCATTGATGTCAATGGTGGACGGAGGCGCAACTTCCTAGATTGACAGAAGTTAGATTTTAACACCCTTGAATGCCGGCTCAGTGGTCTAGTGGTTAGGCGCCTGGCGCGAGACTGATAGATCCTGGGTTCGAATCTCGCGGGGCGGGATCGTGCATGCGCACTGCTGAAGAGCCTTACAATAGGACGAAACGGCCAATCAGTATTTCTAGGTTTTCCATGGTAGTCTAGCTTCAATTGACACGTGAATTCAACTTTTAACTTAATATAATGTCCACAAAAACCCTTCTTTGATTGTAATCAAAGTAAATATTGGAAAATATTTTTGTAGTTATATAAGAACCAAGGGACGAATATTAAAATTATGTAAAGTAAAAAGTGGAAGATATTAAAAAAAATTAAATATTTTTGAATGAAAGGGTTTAATCAGAGTTCAGTTCAAACCTCGCTTCCATAACGAAGGTCATGGTAGCGAGAGTGGTTGTGCACACATCTTTCAGATGCAAAGGTTAGGTTAGCAAACATTGATTCCAATAGCTTTAGAAATGTGCAAAAGACGAACTCATAAACCAAGAGGGATGGCGTTCTGCTATGTGATGACAGACTTGCCGAACTGTACGCCATATATAACTGGCTACATAAGAGCAGTTGAATTAGTAAATATGCATGTATGTGACTAATTCAGTTAGTGTGTCTTTGTTGACGGTTTTTATTATAGGTAGGTTATTTGAAACGGCATCCAGTTTGGCTGTAGTGAATGTTTTCTGTATCGTCTTTCTTAACCATTAATTCGCAACTTCTTCGGTAGCATCACTTAAGAATTGCAATTTTCAGAACATAAATTTCTTCCGAACGGTAGATAACTATGATATTTTCTTCATCTTATTCATTTCTTCGTTAGTAGATTTAGTCGGGTATCCACTGCTATTAAGCACGTTAAGAATATTACTCAATCCATCTGCAATGGTGTCATCAGAATAAATCATTCTACCGCGATGTGTCAGAATATTTCCCAATTTTTTCTTATGTCTGACTGGTACAGAACTAGGAAAATGAGTATAATGTCCAACTGTCGACTTTCTACTCATCCCTCTTTTTAATGTCCCATCTGTGATGATGGAACACCCAGGTAGAAAGAGCAATTTATTATTTAATGCATAATGGTTTAGTAAAATGTGAAAATCATACATCATTCGCACATCTTTGAATTGTCTCTTACAGGCTTCATTGTTTCTTCATTCCTGTCGTCATATTGATTGCTATCAGCTTAATTTTCTTTTTTCTTCATTTCAATCTCCTCAACCTTCTGCTCAAAGACATTCTGCTTCCAAATGGTGTTGCACATTACCTAAATACTCAGACATAAGTAGCCAAAGCCACACGTTTACTCTTCCTGTTAGTATGATATCTGGAAACGATATGCTATCTTTTTCATGTTCTTTTTTCTAATACTATGAAAGTGTCATCTATATAGTTCTACTAAGGTATTACATGACTGATCATTTCTTTACATTTACCTAAGTGGTCTTGTTACTTTATTTTTTAGGTACCTTCAGCTCTTGCACACTATGAAATTTGTAAATAAATAGAGTGTTAAAAAATAGAAGAAGTAGCATTATAATCAAGTAGATGTAACTGACTGAACAAGAAAACAAAAATTAAATTATGCACAAGCTTGTTTTCAAGTAAGCTTTTCAAACAAAAATAACCTCATCAAAGTAGGATTCATAATTCACTATCCTGAGAGGATACACAAAAGAAGAGTTTATCACCTTAGATGATATATGATGATATACACCATTTAATTACTGGCAATTTTAATCAGCAGTAAATTCTAAAAAAATCCAGTAAGTATTTAACAAAACAAAACTCACTTCTTGCATTTTGATATCGTCGAAATTTATCAAGGAAATATGACAATCATGTGTATCATTGATGCTGGATTGTTCTTGTAAAATAGCACATAATTCAAATAGAGATTGTTTTAATGCACCGATGCCAATAAGACATTTTATTTGGAATAATTTTGCTTTAAATTCAAGTTGTATATTTTTTAATAGATTTTTACCAATGTAGTAGAATAGGTAGACAACTGGAAATGCCTTTAAAATAAATTTATCAATCATTATTGTACTATGATTGTAAAACTATACACATTTTAATCATAGACTTAGAATCATTCAACTTAATTTCATTTGTTATCATGAAATAGTAAAAGATCTGTGAACTAGTCATCTTTGCCATTTGATAAACATATTTCTAACTTATCATCTTATGATGCATAGAAATGCAAAGAAAGAAATGAACACATGGGATTATTTGTTGTATATGAAGTTGGGTTTTCTTTAGCTGTACGTCGTTGTATATCGTAAGTGATATGGAATGTTATACATACGAAATTTATTGTATCTGTGCTCAGTTTCTTTAATTACTCACATAATACAAGGTTAAATAGGGTTAAATTATGTTAAATACTGACAATGTCGTAGTATTCATTGTAAATCTATTACTCTTAATTGGAGATCTACTTGTGCTTATTAGTGTAGACAATAAATTACTCACATTTAAGCGAACAGTTAAACATACTTTGATCTTCATTACAGGCTCTAGCACATTTTTAATGATACACATGTTGTTGACTGAGTAATGAGCAACTGAAAACGGTTATTTTTATGATCAAATTCAATATATCTCTTAAGTAGTACTTAGTATTATCAATGCGTTATAGTTAGTGAATATTGTAAATATTGTAAATGTTGGATAACTGAAAATACCCAATCTACATTTAAAAAAAATACATTTTACTTAGAAACACCTCTGAGCATAATTTCAGTTACTTTAAAATCTGATTTTGAATTGTAAGGATATATCTCAAATGAATATTCTTAATAAAACCTCATATGTATCAACAAATAACGTTTGATTAATATTACTTATTCCCTAATTTTCTCAAGATAAATTGAAGATGCATCTTTAAAGCAGAGATATTATGAACCTAATGAATGAATGATTAGAAGTAATCAGAATAATGTTTATCATTATCAGATGATAACGGTCATGATAAGATATTATCAATGAAATACATTACATATAATTCACATGTTTAATATTTATTGATTGGTTTAAATAATGTTATAATATGATCTCGACTATAAAATTACCCTTGGAATGTTATCGCTTAATAGTTTACGTGCAGAAAATTGTCACGAAATCTTTCTTCTTTAATCTAAAAATCATCAAAATTGTTTGTTGCTCTTTTCTAATTTATGGCGAGACTATAATTTATGGACGAACCAATCAGATATAAGACGACGAGTCACGAATTTGGGCGCGGGATTCACCCATACCTTTGGCTAAATAGAGTTTTTACATTACATCTGATGTCAGTTCGTGATGAAAACCTTAAATCTAATTTTTAATCCTAACCATCAACTGTTAGTGGGAATTCTAACTGCCTTATAACCCTCATTTAGTCCTAATTAGTAGTTGTTCACTCTCAAAGTCACTTCAGCATCGCTCAATGGTTGTCCATAAATTATAGTCTCACGTAATTTATTTATGATGTATGAAGATTGAAATAAAAAAGGCAGAAAACCAAATATTTATGTGAAAAACTCATTACTACCCAAGAGAAATAAACAGAATAAATTTCCGAAGTTTACTTATGAGAGAAACAAAGTATTAGGGTGATAACAAGAATTTCAGGAAAAAATAGAACTAATTGTTTCTAAAATAAGTAATATATTGTCAATTTCGAATGATTCTTCCATAAATCATAGTAGGAATTAACTAAATCGTTTGACTGATCATTTCACTGTAAAAGATTTACCTAATATTCAGAATTATAACAAACATGTGAATGCTTACAAATGATCACAAAGTTGTTCGTAGCAAATTGATGCGTTTAACTAACTCTGAACTAAAAATAAAACTACTCATCTACCTCTACAAAATAAATGAAAATAAATTTAGATGGCTAAAAGAAATGTGCTTCGTAATACCTTAACATTTGGTAAATATAACATTGATTTTTAAGTGATGGTGGTAACAGAAACTATAGCCAACTTCCTTTTCTATTTGATACTCTTAGACCTAACTGCATTTATTCTAATAAAAGCAAATAGATTCCGAGAAAATAAAAGTCACTACTAAACATCAAATCAAAACGTTCAGGCCTTATTAGATAGTTTAAACGCAACGTTACAGACTATCGTCTCATAGTTATGCACAACAATCATCACCTAATAAATAATTAGAAATAAAGTTTCAGTAGACTAATCATGATACAATCATTCAACTGTTTCAACTAGTCATTGAATTAAACAAAACTTTTTCCGCTTGAACATCAAACGTATTGTAAAACCTTTGATTGTAAATACTAGACTGTCGATATACACCTATTTAACAAATGTCTAGAAAAGTTCGTAAATATCATTGATCAGTATCTTACTTCAGTAAACTGTTCATGAGTTATTAGATAATTCAATGTATTGTTCAATACATCAACAACATTGTTTAGATCAAAACAATAGTTGGTAAAAATCTGATCCAGTTTCAAAATTCTCAAGGATTCAGTTGAAATAGAATTGCCATAATAATCAATATCTTTTCTTGCACATGACAAACTACCATGTAGCATCGACTGTAAAGATAAAATAAAGACATAAATGTATAATATTGACAATTAGCTTAATATACTAGTCCTTAGGTTTAAAAATTTCCTAAAACAATGTTAATAGTTTAGATATTTTCATACTGAAGTTTCATTACTACAACTAAAATGTTTTGCCTTTTGATTTTTTCACTGAAAAATAAGTTTGTCACCATGGCAAATAACGAAGCGTTGTACTGATCAGATATTTTGTTACGTATAATAATTTTACTATAGTCCTATTAATTTTATCTATTATAAAGAGTGCTGCTTTCCACTCAAGTCATATAATAACATATTTTAACACATGTAGAACGTGTTTGCAATCAAAATATAACCTTATATCAGATCATAAAGTAATTAAACGCTAGGGAGCATTTGTTTAATTCTGGTTTGTGACTTCTCAGTAGTGAACACTTGCAAGTTCGCAAAAGATTGACCACAGAAATTACTGGCAGATTGCTTCATGGTCAGTTTAGAAAACAACCAACTCAAAAGAATTATAGAAAACTTCCACTTGTATAAAAGGTATGTGGATGATAACTTCATCAGTTGTGACAACAAATGTAACTTAAGTGATCTCCTAGAGACATTTAATAATTGTCACCCATCAATAAAATTCACACTTGAAGTTGAAAGCAAACAAAATATTCACTTCCTTGATGTAGATATGACAAGAAAACAAGATGGTACTTTAAAAAGATCTATCTACAGAAAACCCATGTGGAATGGCCAACTATCACATTTCTACAGTTGAGTTCCCATCAGCCGAAAAAGAAACTTAATAATAACTCTCGCCACAAGAATACGAAGAATCTGTAGCCCCGAGGTCGTAGAGGAAGAATTGAGCCTTTTAAAAGAGATACTTATCAAAAACGGATATCCTTATATATTCATTGATAAGAACATGAAGCCAAAAATGCCAAAACCACAAACAATTACAGTAGAAAAGAAAATGTTATACAAGAACATCGATTTCAAAGGTGATAGAGCCGCATATATCTTAAAGAGGAGAATTTTGGATTTTTTAAAAAGAACATTCTTCGCAGCAAGATTGCGGATATTATTCTCCAGCCGATCACTGTTCACCAATAATCTGAAAGATAAATTATCGTATCTGACCAAATCAATGTGCATTTACCAATTTACCTGCTCTTATGGAGCTAGGTATATAGGTCGTTCGATGCGTATTTTATCCAAAAGAATTGAAGAACATTGTCCGGCGTGGCTAAAAAGAGGAGGCAACGGCTCAATAAGAAGTTCTATAATCGAACACTTTGTGAACACAGGTCATTCAATCAAGACAGACTTTGCGTTCAAAGTCATCTACAAAGTAAGTAGAAGTCTCCCCAAAACAATTAGACTGCATCTTATTTGTATTGCCGAAGCAATAGCCATACAACTGGAAAAACCAGAGTTGTGTGTGCAAAAACGACTGGTACAACCTCTTCTTCTACCATGGTCTTAATGTATTAAAAAAATTTTCTCTTTCTTCATACTCTTGTTCCCTTACAGCCACCTGCTTCACCTTCCATCTTCCCTTCAAATCTTCTACCCCCAACTGGTTTGTGTTTAATTCCACGATCATTCCGATTACATTTCATCTCTGTTTCAACATTTTAGTTTATCATGCTGAGCCATCCTTTCCCAATGATAATTTCCCTATCTATCATTTGATGAATACTTAAGCCATTAACAATCAAACAATTATTAAACTTTCCTTGTTTAAAAATTTTTTTTAATACCTTTGTCTATTTAACCTCACTGTCACCATGTATAACAAGTTTATTATCAGTATTACTATCATCCTGTTGAAATAAGTATATATATTTGCGATTATACAGCTTTGAAAATGAATTCGCCGAAAAGAGAACTCTTCGCTGAACTAATATTTCTTTCTTATTTGTGTTTGTGACAAATGCTATTAAATTAGCGGCTAATAGTCTATATTTTCAGGTTCAATCTCGACTATAGAAAATCAATGAAAAAGTATCACAATTTACTGATCTAGGTTGGAAAATCTAGTACTCACCTTGAATAACGTTGCACAGATCATTTGACTTTTGTATACTTGATCATTTGAAATAAGCGAATACCTAAGTAAATGTACCAATTATTACATAAAATATTAACTAACTTGCACAATAATCCCATTACTAATGCACCAAGCAAACAACCAGATATACCATATCTTTGAATAATTCTAAATGAATATCTCTTCATAACATTTTCCAAATCACAATTGTTTATCATAAGATCGAAGTTGTCAAGTGTATTTTTTTGTTCAAATAAGATATCCATGATTATTAAAGCTTGATGTTTAGCCCGTCTATTAAAAAGGTTAATATAGTGGTTCAACTCTTACTTTATCTGATCAACTATTAAATAGAATCTTAATAATTCGAAGTGAATTATCATTTCCTGTAAAGTATTATTGTACGGTGTTAATAATTCTAAATTTAAAAATCAATTAATTAGGATATTTGAATAAATTTAATTCTAATTACCCAACGCTTCATTATAGAATTTTATTGTATGGTGAATTAGATTTTCGTAAGTTTTTCTTTCTAAACCTTCTTTTGAATTTATAACAAACAAAACTTTTCGTTCCCATTGAGATACATCATTTTGCAAATCAACTAATTTCTGAATGTAATAAAAATAAAATATTTGCCTGGTTACAATTATACGATCTTTACATAATAACGAAATTGAGTATACACTAACTGTAGATATCAGAAGGGTTTTTGTGGAGATTTTAGAAATTTCACTGATTGAAATCATGAGTCAATTGAAGCTTAACCATCATGGAAAACCTGGAAGCATTGGGCAGCCGTTTCGTCCTAGTATGGGACTCCTCAGCAGTGAGCATCCACGATCCCGCACTCTGCGAGATTCGAACCCAGGACCTATCAATCTCGCACCAGGCGCTTAACCAACTAGAACACTGAGCCGGCATCCAACGGTGCACTGCCGAGAAGTCCCATACGGCCGTCCAGTGCTTCCGGGTTTTCCATGGTAGTCTAGCTTCAATTGACTCATGATTTCAATCAAATAACTGTAAATACTTTTTATCCAGTTTATTTTTATACTAAAAAATTAGAAAACATGTTGGTAAAAATATTCTATATGAAGGGTACATTAAAGTTTATTCCACTGAAATCTTTACAGCATAAAGCATTCAATCTAGAAAGTTGAAAGCATGTATAATTATGAAGGAAGATATATATGTGTGAAAGTAAACATTAGAATTCGACACATTTTTTCTCATTCAGTTTCACATATTTACTCAACAAACCGTGAAATACAGAATCCTGAATATTTTTTAAATGAATTCATGTAACATTGTCTATTGGCCATCCTTGTATGAATATAATCATAAACAAGTGTGTAATTTTTCCTGTACCATATATATTTATCGTTGCAATGTGGGTAGATGTTATAAAATTAAATAACTGATATTCATGGAAAGGACAAAACTCAAAGTTACCGAATCAGTGTACAATAGAAAAGGACTTTGATCATAAGACAAGGGTATATAACAGACTGCATATTTATTGAACATAGTGATAACACTTCAGAAATCCTCTTTATAAATTTACATATTATTACATATCGAATTCTGAAATTACTAATTCCAATAATCTTTTTGAAGAACACTTTTTACTATTAAAAGACAATTTATTATTCTGTTTAACTCCTGTTAAACAAATTAGATTCATGTTCGGATGTTTTATTTAAGAAAAAGAATGTCTTGTCTCTCAAGTTTTACGAAATTTATCGAATTCATAGACAGTTACAGGATAAATTTCAAGGTCATTCTATAACATACGAAGGCAAGTTATTTCATGATCATAGCAAACAGTGTACGATAAGTAGAATAGTCTAATACTGTGTTCTTTAACCATTAATTAAAACAACATAGATGACAGTGATGCCATCCGTTTTTTTTTGCGAACTAAAGACTACGTTACTAAACTCATCTACGCAATTCACATTTATCAGTTAAACTTATAGTAGATAAAAACGAATGGAATTATTCGCATCCAGTTGTTGATTTAAAACTTTCATTCTTACCATAACATAGCTGCAGTCATAATTGGTGTTTAATTGTGTTTCATTAATTTCTTTCGTTGAAAGTGAATGTAGTAGATAAATGACAAGGGACTGGTACAATCTTGCTTGATCCATTTTATTCATAATTCCAGAATAATGCAAGCATTCTGCTTCTTTTAATTCATCTTCTATGGTTTTTGAGTTTAGAGGTAAGAATATATTACATAATGCAATTTCTTCCTCTGACATTGATTTCGTCTATAAAATATACAAAAGGAGATAAATGTTTCAAGAAATACTTTCTAATTATTTCCAATATCCTAAAACAAGCAACTTTTATCGACTGCGAATATACTGTAGGACAAACGTGGCAAAAGAAAACAACTTCATTTGAAATTCATATTATAAACAAACAGTTCTATAGTATCACATTTAAATATGATCGCCTGGATCATTACAATGTTGGTTACCGGTAAATTGTAGTAGTATAACGGACATTGTAGTGATACCTTTTTCATGGTCTAATTAAAATAACTAAGAAGAAGCCATTCGTCCTTGCATATTGTTTCATTCAGATGTGAGCTACATTATTTTGCATTTAGAATCACTTACTGTGTGAATATTTAAAACTAATTCACCTGCTAAATGGCTACCAAAACCTACACTATCAAATGCGCTCATAGATATGATGCTCAATAAATACAATTTAGCTAATCGATTTCCCTATTGTGTAAACAAACATTCCATTATTCGTAAACACAAGCTAAAAAAGTTAAAATACTTTAATGTAACAAAGAAATCAGTATATTAGCTATAATGCTTAAAATATTAAAGTATTATCCATAGTCCACTGTTGAAAGCTCTACAGATAAACTTAAGTTCATTTAATATTCTTCCCTCTTATTTTTAGTGGACAAGTAGACTAATACTTTTAATTCCGAAATTCATTTTCATCAATTTTATCAAAATATTCTCTTTACATCAATTGCAATTATCCAGTCTATTTTTTTGTACATTGACTATAAAACTGTCATTCGATTTAAATTATCTGAGAAACTTAATTTTCTGTACAGAAACTGATCAAAGGTGTGAAATGAGAATAGCATCAACTTAACCCATTGTGGGAAAGTAGCAAATCAAATGTTTGGATTTCAAGGTTATAACATTGTCAGACGGTCGCTGATACATAGACCCTTTCTAATTTTATCAGTCAGTCAGCTACAATGTAGGATCAGGCACATATATGCATCAGTTCAAGTTTCCATATCGCATTAGCACAGCAAGATGAAAACCGGAATCATAAAAGTAGTTAGTTCAGAGGTGGTAATATACAAAAGAAAGATTGCAATAATGATATAGTACAGGAAGAAAGAAATAATTCGTAGAAAGAGAAATATTGAATAACTTTAATCTCTTAGTTTAAGGGAAAACATAGAGTGATACACCTACGCGATTGTGATCGATTCTGAGCCATGTCACCAGGAGTCTCCAACAATTGGTTACGATAGTCACGCGGACCCCAACCAAGTAGTCTGCATCTACCAACATGGCTCAGACTGGAAGTTAGTGACTTCAAGAACTGATGACACGCTTTGGTTTGACCGCCCCTAACTTTCTTCCAACCATTCCCAACACTAGTCAGCATTGCGCGTCGTGGTAATTAGTGTTCCGACATACGCATCACATGGCCCAACCATCTTAGTCGATGAAGAATCACAACCTCATCAACTGATTTACCATCATTCCTTAATATTCTGTGTCTAACCTTGCTATTACTTACTCAGTGATCCCAGCAGATGCAAGAACCATTTCACGTTTCGCAGCCATAAAGTAGATAGACAGATATCTCGCCTTCGCCATAGGTGACGCAAGTTGGAAAAAGCCAGACGAGCTTTTCGAATCCTAATTTTATATAGATTATTGAACCAAAATCTACTTTGTTATTCTAGATACTAAAATACCTGTCCACCTAAATGATGCGATATAATAATCTTGTGATAAGCATCAAAAATTAATAAAGTTACAGTATTCTACCATCTAAGTTTACTATTTTTATCGGAATAATATAAATGGGTAATAATGTCCTAGACATAAATTGAAATAATGACAAATCATGTTGAAATAAAAATATGTTATTAATTTGTACACAATAGGAACAATTCAAACCTCTATTTGTTTTGATATATCGGATAAAGTAAAATAAAGGAAAGTAAGTAACAAATGAAAAGAAAACAAAAAATGTACTCGAACTTATCAATCGTATTATCAATATTTATTTATAGAATCTTTAAAAATCCTCTATTCTATTATTATTATTAATATCGTTCTAATCAGTCATTTATTTTCATTTCATTATATTATCATAGAAGTTTGTCAATAAAAACAAAAAAAATCTGGTCACGAATGTCCACAAAGAAGGTTGCATACTCCACTTTTTGTGTTGTTTACTTTTATATTCAATAAACAATATTATTATCTATTGACTGATATTATAATAAACTGATGGATATTACTGATGTGGAATATGAGTATGATAAGCTATAGATGTATGATTATACATAAAACAAAGGCAATTTTACCAACAACACCTCAAACAGTATATATATATATATATCGCAATCATGCATATTCTATTCACAAAGATTACAACGAAATCGAATAAACAAATAGATATACACTCTAAATGAATAAATGAATGAATGAATATGATATAAGATACTTCTTGAATCTATTTATACAGAATAACTGGCAAATATTTGGTTGTTGTTATTATTATTGTTATCACTGTTGATATATTTAACGCCCATATGGACTGTTACAGTTAGTTTTGTTTACTAAACAAAGACAAAGTAAATATAAATATCTATGTATACTAAGCTGAAATAAACAATATTAAAAAACAAAAATTGAATAACAGCAATAATAATAAACCAAACAATAGTACGGCAGTAAAAACAATAGCAAATGATTATTACAGATGTAAGTAACGGAATAAAAGATAGTGAGAAGTCGATTGTTAAAACATTCTTAAAATGTCTTTTAATGATTATATCACTTTGAAAAATTGAAACATATATGACAGTCAATGGTTGTCAGACTATATCGTGAATCAGTTGAAATATGTACAACTGGAAGCCAACATGGTGGTCTAATGGTTCAATTGAAAAACTTTTTAGTTTCGCTTTTTGTCTTTGGTAATGTTTGATATTTGTACTTCTGAGGATTCGCATGCTTTAATAAAACAATTCTCCAATCCTCCGTAGTTTTTAGAGGTAGCCCAAATGAGAGCAGTCTGTGATGAATACTGCTCACAAATTAAACTGGTTTAAATGATGTCTTTAAATCAAAGCTACTTCAGGTTATAACGATTTTTGTGACATTTTGGAAAACCATACAAAAAAATTTCGTTGTTCAAATACATGAATATTGGTAAATTTCAAAGGTAAGTACATGCCTAGCTGCATAGAACTAACTGTATAGTAGATGTTAGATTACTATATTATTAAAGTAAATTGAGTCTTAATGACAATTTAAAAGAATGGTAGTTTTTACAACAAACACTTAGGCTAATATAACCAAGAAACTAACGGTAATAATTAAGTTCCTTTATTTATCTGGAAACTCCCACTTCCAAATACGTTAACCGTCTACAGTTTTTTTTATTTTTGAATCAAAGAATCAACTTGAATGAAATATACTTAATAGTTTGGCTACAAGCGGAACAATCGTTGAAAAGAGTCGAGGAACAGTTGAATATTAGAAACCATTCTATTGATGTTTATTTGCAGTATTTTAGGATTTGAGGATATAATGTCACTCAAAATACTTTAGATCTAAATTTACATATAACATTTTGCTCATTCACTTCTTCAGCTGCAAACTTCAGAGTATATTTGGTTGAAACGTTGTAAAAAACTATAATAAAACATTGAATATTCATGATTTTTTAGCCAACTTACGTTTGAAATTAATTGGTCATCCTTTAAATGGCTTTGTGGTATAAGCCATCCGCTCATGCGTACTTTAGGCTGTACAGGTTTTACTCCTTCACTTTCCTGTTGTGAAAAATCAATCCAAATAATGTTGGGCTTTTGAATGGTATCAATAACAGTGTCTTTTGTCCACGGAAAAGTACCTTGTTTAAACGTTCTACATTGATTTATTAATTCCAAGAATTGATTAGATTTCAGTGAAATACCAAATGTATCTGATTTGTAATTATTGAAAAAGTTAGTGTTTTCTAAAGTAAAAGCTTCTTCTGATTTTGGCTAAAAATAAATATGTAATAAGTGTATACATTCCCTGTGAAGTTTCGCAAATAGTATTTTTTTTATTATCGTGAACTAAGCATAGAAAACAATATGAAAACCATCCTGTTTATCGTTTACACTTTCGCAAAATTTGTTCTAATTATCCGATCATAAACAAATTTACCTCCATAATGATGGTCACCATTATTTACTATAATTTTTATGAATAAACAAAAACTTTACTTATTATTATTCAATGGTTAAGATTATGAGTCAGTTGAAGCTAGACCACCATGGAAAACCTGGAAGCACTGGACGTGGATGGTCGTGGATGCGTACTGCTGAGGAGTCCCACAATAAGACGAAACGGCCGTCCAGTGCTTCCAGGTTTTCCATGGTGGTCTAGCTTCAACTGACTCATGATCTTAACCACTGAAATTACTACAATCTCCACAAAACCCATATGATATTATTATTCAGTTTAATATGATTCATTTACTTATTTGGAAACTAATTGACAAACTGACATATGCCAGGTATTTTGTTCGTAAGTGATAGTCCACAGATTTCATGATATTATAAAAAAATGTAAATAAATTATGTAACGTCATGTTATTTTATGAATAAAGGCAACAGGTTTCACATATTTCACAAGTTGTGCGCAAAAATAGAACAATGAATCAGTAGTTAAGTGTTAATCATTCAAACTAATCAGAATGTTTGACTCAACAGAATAAAAATCTGAACATCATAACTTGATTGGTAGACTTCGATCAGGACTAAAAAAGACTTGAGTTCTGCAACATTAGTCATTGCTCAGATATCCATCAGTCATAAGGATATTTGAAACCTGCGGAAAGTCAAATGCATTCCGAAGATCTCTGTGGTAAGATTTGAAACCGTGAAGTTGAATGATACGAGATCGGATTAACTGTGGTAAACGTGGCTGATATGTGTCAAATAGTACAAAACCTAGGCCCAGGATTTCTTGTCCGTTACCTTTAATTACTTGACAATACAACATTTTAAACTATTATTTCTTAGGCAAAAGCCATTAAACATACTGAAATCCGTTTTATAACTGTTTTCAGCAGAATGATAATTTTCATTGAGTTTCCATTTTTTCGCGCAAAAATTAGCTGTTAAAAGTTCTAATGACTTACTTGATTATGTAAGTAAACTAATTTTGGATCTAGTTGTCCAGACACATTTAAGCAAGTCTTCAGGTGACGTAGAGGTTAGATACATAGAAATTAGCACTTTTTTGAATAACTTTCACAACATATGCATGAAAAAAATCATCTATATCTCAACTGTTTTTTTTCAGAGCATTGTGTTTAAATGACGTATGAGTTCCGACATACCTAATTGTAAAAGGCAAGTCTATCTTACTGACAAAATATTACCATTGGTTACGTCAGCCTTATCATATCCACTAGTTAAAAATAGTAAAGATGATTTAAATTAGTTTGTTCATTATTAAATCCAAAATAAAATCAGCCTAAAACTATCTAATCATTATTTTACTAAATTGAATAGTCATTTACACCACAAGACCATATCAGTTGTTTATTCACAAGTTAAACATATGAATTATTCGAGTAAGAAGTGCTTGCACGTAGTCATTCAGTTATTCTTAATCTAATAGGCTATTGAAAATCGAATCCATCAAGAGGGGATGGAGTTTACAATGATAAATTTTCAAGATGAAATGAAACACACACTTCACAGTTTAATTTTAGTCAAACAAGCTAACATACATGAAACTTAATTGTAACTAGATATCGTCACTTCATTTTAATTTCATGCTCATTAAGTCGAGCATACTTTTCTTAAACAGTTTGTTTAGTGAAATTATACAACTGATATCACCACCGCGAATCTTTAGTAATCAATATTTTCAGACGGCTGTTTCAACATAGATTGACAGTTCTTATCACGGTGAACTCAGGACCATACATATAACCAAACCCAAGTTCTTTTAGCCTCGTTGGAAGTGCAAAACTATCAGAGATTTTAATAGAGATCCCATTATTCATTTTTCAAAGTTCAGTCGATTCGCGGTATGATACAATGATTGTTTTATTTAATCAGCAAATTTTTAACTCTAAATTTAGTTGTTCATACTAGTAATTAAGATTTATCTTGAAGTTGATCAGTTTTAAACACATGATTGTTGTTTACTTGAGTGATACTTGGTAAAGTACTTACAAAGAAAGCAGATCTAGTCATAAACTGACTAAGTTTGTTTTTTTCCAATGTTGGAGTAACTCCGTATAACCAACTGTCATTTAACTGTTCTGAATTAAACTATTTATTTCAACTATTAACTTGATTCATAAATTTCAACAAATGCATATTGTTATAATTTGTATAAGCAAACTGGAGAGAAATTCAATTTTTTTCTAATTACCTGTATAAAATTGTAGTGATACAAAGCTGAATATAATTGTATTTGTGAACGATTAACAAGTTTACTGAAATCTTCATTCAATTGTTCTATATTATTCATATCATTAATAGTAGTATTCGTAGTTTTCTGTTTCTTTAATCGTTCCATTATTTGATTTTGTCCAAATATAATAAAAGGTAAAATACCTGGTGCCCAATGTTTCCTAATTAAATTTTATAAAATAAATGTTTACCAAAATGTGTCTAGTGTTATAAACCTAAAATAATACAATCATTAAGTAAATTATTTATCAAAACTATGTGATGATATATTAACGTAATACATTTCGAACAAACTGATCACAGATATATTTCAATAAATGAAATCATGAGTCAATTGAAACTAGACCACCATGGAAAACCTGGAAGCACTAGACGGCCGTGTCATCCTAGTATGGAACTCCTCAGCAAGACGAAACAGCCGTCTAGTACTTCCAGGTTTTCCATGGCGGTCCAGCTTCAATTAATCCACCATTTCAACTAATGAAATTTCTAAAATCTCCACAAAACCCCTACAGAGATATTTGTTAAGAACATTTCTATGTAGAAATAAATGGCCAATTAGACTGGAAATGAAGTATAAGGAAACATTTTCAGTCTAGTTGACGTTTCATTTTTATACAGAGATTTTCTTAACAATTATATGTGTGATGAGATTGTTCGAAATATATTGCGCTAATATATCACATAGTTCTGTTCATCTTCCTTTTCTTAATACACTATCGTAATGTATCAAATGAACTAAATATTTCAAAGTATTTATACTATTCACTTTAGTATAGAATATAAACCGGTTATCTTCGTAATTGAAGGTAGAAATCAATACTGTATTCCATTATTGCTAAATAATATTTTCCTAATATCCTAATTTTATAACTAAGCATTATTGTATATTTGATCAACTTGAGTTTGATATAATTGCTTTTCACTTTATGAAATAATATATAAAACAAAAGCTTATAATATTCGAATATGCTATAATATAATCTCTTAAATTGGTTTAAGTGTATTGTTTATGATGTTCTATATTTAGGTTATTAATCCTTAAGCCCTTAATGTTCATATTGTTTTGTGTGTGTTTTTGCCTATTAGTAAATTGGATTTCGTTTTTGTTTTTTTTTTGTTTTCTTTTACTTTATAGAAAACAGGATACTCTATTATTCAACTTTACGTAATCAAATTCTTTACCAAATTTATATTAAAAAAAAGAAACAAAACAAAACAGAGAAAAATAAAGCGATTTTCTTAAAATTCTTATAAACAAGTTATTTGAAAAACAAAATATAAGTAACCACAATAATAAAGTTAAGAAAGGAAGTGTTTTTCTTTGATTAAAACCAATACTGTAGTGTAAACAATTTTAGTTTGTTTTCATTTTAAGTTCTTTTTATTTTACCCTTCAATTATTTAAAAGCCACACACCATATTAAGGCAATTCTCTTTTTATTTTTTTATTATTTCTTATTCAAGTTGTTACTTTATTACAAAAAGAATTTTAAGAAAATCAAAAAGGAAGTGGTAAGTGGATTCAGTCATATAGACCTATTTCATTACTTTCCACACACACAAAAAAAGATCGAATTGTTTATTATTTACTTTTGTGACATATTTTTTACAAGAAAAAAACAAACAGCCCCCACTCTAAGTGAATAATTGAAATACTATCCACTTTCTAGTTAGAAATAATATTTCTCTTTTACTCATTTTAATACACATTGATTATAAAATCTTATACATAATAATGCATCGAATTTAAGATTCTCATCAGTATTATAGTGGATTTATTCATTGTAAATTGTCAAACTTTATTTTCGTTTAAAAGTGACAAAAAAGAAATAAAAATAAACACCATCTCACATTATTTCCTTGAAAAAGCTTAAACCAGATTATCAGGCGAAATGTTGGATTTACTTCAAAATTTTTTCTTGACATTGTATACAACAATTTAGATTATTTTACAGATATATTAATCTTACTAAATACTTTTCGCTATGGTTTGACATCCTATTCATAATATTCAATGAGAAGCAATGTATAATGATTAGATAATAATAATTTTGTAACCTTGATATACTTATTTGTGTAGCTTCATTTGACACACTAAACATGGTTTCCTACATTGAATTTATGAACTACATTAAAATAACCAGATAGTCAGATTTATTCACTGAGAAGAAGGTGAAAGATGGTAATTATGCTTACTGTTCACGATTTAAAGTGTTTGATTTTTATTAAACATGTTAAAACAGAAACTATGTGCTTATATTTCTGTTGTCTACACAAGGAATAGTATTTAGAAAATATATCGCTTACTTGAGCGAACGATAATCTATAATATCTACAGGATAATATTCATATATTTGTAACGAATAAATAATTTCCTTACAAGTCCCTTTCCAGGTAATTTGCCTTGTGTATACATAAAACGTTTGCTTAGATAAATTATAAAGCTTTATATAACTAATATATTCCACAGAGACCATTTAATAAATTGTTTCATTTTCAACATATGTAAGTATATTAAACATTTCTATCGTGAAAATTAGAACAACACCTAAGTGAACAATATTGTTTTCAACTCAGTCACTATCCGGCTTTACTCTAATACAAATGAATATGAATATGCGTATATGAAAATAATTAAACCAGTTAAGGCAATTTATCGGTCAATAAAACGTATGAATGAATGCAAAAGTATACATAGTAGGTAAAAAGTACGACTTTTTAGTAAGAAGATAGGTGTACTAGTACTGGTAAGAACAATAAAAATAAAAATTTCTAATCAATATTTCAATAACAGGAAGTAGATCAAACTTTGAAACTTTGAAATATTGAAGTTACGTACTAAGGTATGTGTAAATAATCAGATAGTGACAAACGTAAACAGAAAGATGTGAAGGACGACAGACAATTACAGCATGTTAAGAAATTGGCAAAGTGATTTGTCGAGTCATATCCCGGCATAAAAGGCACAAAGGACTCACGAATTTGTTCTGGACACATAAACTAGGGTTATAGGTTCGGATTACCATAGCCCCCGCTGTATTTAGGAGACAGGGTCGAATCACATTGGGAAACGGAAAATGTAAACAATAGATCACTGGGAATGATTTGATTCTAATTATCATGTAACTACTGTTGACCAGGAGTGGAAAGGTAAAGCTATGAATTATCTTTGTTTGGCCATTTCAAACCAATTGAGAAAATGTTCACCTATTAGTTAGTTAAGCTGCCCGGTATTATCCCCATTACAGCTAACTCTTCATAAATAAACAGCTGAATATGTTTATACAAACATAAGAGGCCAACTCGGATAAACTATTCTATGTTTTACTAAACAATACTGGTTTTATAGAAAATGCCGATTCTGGATTAGTTGCGTAAGATTTCCTGTTAATCGGCCTCGCTAATCTATTAGATTGCATTTTATTTATTTATTTATTATTAATGGCTTTATTCAATATTATATTTTGGTACAATACAGATTTCTCAGCACAGGGTATTTCAACAAGTTACTTACGCAACAACAAAAAAACACAGTAACAAATACAAAAAAATTATAAGCAAAGATGGATAGTGGCTAGCAGTGGAATCCAGGACGCGCGTTTCCACTGCTAGCCACTATCCATCTTTGCTTATAATGCTTGTAAATTAAGGTAATATCGAGGCATACGCACAGTATGCACATATGCCAATAACAGACTGATCAATTTCAGTCCAAAAACATCAATGGGAAGATTCAAACAAAACAATATCAAGTGAATTAAATAAAAAAAATGTTTTTAAAAAACCCGAAAAACTGTACAACTTTTAAAATTAGAGACATGTTAAGAATGCAGGTTATTGACTAGGTTAACTCTAACAACCTGTTCGTCACAGAGTATATTTGCTACGTAAGGTGTGCAGTTTTGCATTCATTCATACATTTTATTGACAGATAAATTGCCTTAACTGGTTTAAATATTTTCATTACTCATATTCATATTCATTTGTATTAGAGTAAAGCCTGATGACAATTTAATTAAGAACGATATTGTTCACTTATATGTATTGTCCCACTGATTGTAATATATCATTATTCTGACTGGCTGAATCAATCATAAATTTAAAGCCACCCTCGTTTAGTATCAATAATTTCCAACAAAATATAATTTGGTACGTACTACATAATTATTTGATCAACATGAAATGTTACATTACCATAAGTGTATTAAAGTAATCATTTCAGTTATTGTATATTTTAAAAAACCAGAGACAAGTAGTTGGTATAATTACTAAAGGATTCCACGAGTAGAATCGTGGTCGAGCATTGCTGAGAAGTCCCATCATAGGACGAAACAGCCGTCAAGTGCTTCCAGGTTTTCAATAGTGATCTGACATCAATCGATTCATAATCTCAATCAAATTACTATAGTATTGAATAAGTTGACCACAAATAACTGAATTCATATTTGAACAAAAACATTCCAACTTTTTGTTTTATTTTCTTTATGTTAAAAATAATCACTACTTACCCCAATGTACCTACTGCTTTTAACCCTAAATAAGTCAGATATTCCCATTTAGATGCACGACATATTATCTCTAATGCTTTCAATATAAAACAATGTAACCAATTCCAGTCTATATCAAATTGATTATTCATTATTTCTGATCGCCAAATCTTTCCCGATTGTTCATTTAACCAATCATTCTAAAGAAAAATTTTTTTGAAAATCAACAAAATAAAAAAAAATTTAACAAAACCTAAAAAAATTAAAAAGATTTTTCTTTTACAATATGTTTAATCAGTACATAATTCTTTAAAGATAAAAATAAACTGGTCACGTTGAAATGGAGCAGATGTTAAATGTATTGAAATAACTTTATATAGAAGAGAGAACAAAACTGCATTTTAGGCTATCTTTCCTCCCCCCTCTCATTAGTTCAACTTTATTATTTTTAATAAATAAAAAAAAACAAATCAGCGAATTAATTTCTTTTTGCCTAAAATCATTTATTAAACCTTTTTTTTTCTTCATTTTTACCCCGCCTCCCCCTCCTCAAACTAAATATAAATGACAGTAGTTTAAAATAATTTATAAAAAGAGAGGTAAGTAAATTTTAAAACCAAAAATATTTTTGTGTAATTTCAAATTAATTACTAAGAGCACGCAGTAAAACCGTATGGTTTAAAATGTTCATACATATAATATTACAAAAGGTTGGTGATTCCAAATGAAATATGAGGTTTCATTGTAACATGATAATAAGTAGGACATTTGATTGTCTTTTTATATGACTAATAATTTAGATAGATAAAGATTTAAAATTAATAAAGTCACTGATAGTTGAAATCCTTTTTTGTTTTTTATTTATGATTTAATGTAACCACCAAGTTAAACAACAAAATGAATAACAAACAAACTGTAATTCTATAAATTAGTCATATCTTTATAGTTGGCAACTGAGTTCATTTGAATTTAATGTGATCACGAAGTAAAAATCAATGTCATATTTGTCTTCTTTATAATATTAATAATAAATAAGCGGTTTTCAGGATTACAGACTTATCTGTTATTATGAAACCTAGTTTTATGGCTTTCTACTGATGCGTTTCAGCTAGTTAACATCAAATATGATACACGTTAATACAGTGTCTCATTGGCTAACGATAGCATTGTGACGCAAATGATCATATTTGGTCAATACTAAAGGCTAGAAAAACTCCGCCTGGAGCCCCTCTGACACTAATACCGATCCTAAGCCTGGAAAAAGGAGGAGAGTTGGGTATGGGGTGAGCAACCCCATCCCGTAGAAAACTACCTCGCTAAAAAAACTAAGAACGTCAAGGGCTAGAAAAGCATGGTTACTACTTAAATATGAAGCAAAATGCATCGTTTTCTTCCACACACAATAACTCTTCGAAGGTCTTTTTTTCAGTCTAAGTACTAATGTGGCAACATCTTCAAATGTAAAATGCAAGTATCATTTGGAATCTTACAGGGAAACCAGTTCCTTAGATATTGTGGATACGCCCAGATAATGAATACCAGTCAGCATTAAACGTGGATTCAGGATTTCATGACGATCCAATAAAAGAGATATAAAAAGGACATTTTAAAATTCCTCCTTCATGAATGAATACTATCAATCTTCATAAACTTATGCTGCAACCTACATTGAAGTTGCCTCTAGATTTCTGGTTTGTTATCTAAAGCTTCACCAGAATAGAAAATCACTATTTAATAAAGTACAAATTAAGACATATATTCAGTCATGAGTGTAGTTCGTAAACGTTATTATGTATGTGTAAATCATTCAAATGTTCCCCATATTAATGTTTTTATATCATTATCAGTTCTTTACGTCTACCGTCTTCCATTAACAGTCTATTCTTATTTATCCAAACAAGTTCGACATTTTAACGATAATTCCATATATTATCAAAAACAAACTATTGTGTATGTATATAAATTTGGCATATCACTTATCATTTTAATGGGTCAATAAAAATGAAACTCATTTTTTAAAAATCAAGTGTATCACTTCTTGTGTAAAAGTCAGTATGTCACTTTATTCTCTATTATCATATTTGTTATTGTTTTCACTCTTACATTTCTAATGTATATAATGGGTCACAGTATTTAATAGAAAACTTTGCGTTTGCGTGATACATCTAGTTTTAATATGTTTTATGACAAGTTTAATTTCATAAAGAACCCAGAAGAAAATAAATAAACTAATGGCGTGAAAATAAAATCTTACTTTTTCTTTTGTATATTTCTTGTATAAAATTCGATATCGGTAAGTCAGACCATTCGTTATTAACTTTAGGACATGGAGAAATGGATTATCCTATTGTTTATCATAACGATTTTGAAGAGATTCATAAACGTTTACCATTAAATGTTGGTTCTACTAAATTTGTAGTCAGTCAGTCAGTCAGTCAGTCAGTAACAACGTAGGACTTCGTACGTACGTATATTAGTTCGAGTTACCACACCACATTAGCATAGAGATGCAGTGGTCAATTCAAATCCCATAGTGGTAGAGGTAGCAAGAGTATAAGCAGTAATCGGGAAGATTAGGGTTTGGAGATGTTATTTAAAGAGTATAATCCAGTGAAATAAATTTAGAAAGAGGAAAAAAGGGACATGAAGAATTCAGAATTTGGGAGAACACAGAGAGTGGATGCACCTGCGCCATTGCAAACGATTTTAAGCTTTGTCATTCAGTGTCTCTAACCATCGGTTGCTATCATCTCGCGGTCCCCAACCACGTAGTCTACACCTACCAACATGACTCAGTCCACTTGTCAGTGACTTCGTGGACTTGTGCCATGTTTTGGTTTGGCCGCCCCTAGCTTTCTTCCAACCTACTCTTATATCACTGAACATAGCACGTCGAGGCAGTCGGTCGTTGGGCATACGTAACACGTGTCCCAGCCATCTCAACTGATGAAGTTTCACTACTTCATCAATTGATTTGTCATCCTTACATAGTACCCGTTTCCTAACAACTGTGTTACTTACTCGATGGTCCCATGATATACGAGCAATGTTTCGAAGACACCTATGATCAAATACTAGTAACCTACGGATATCCTCTACTCTTACCGGCCATGTTTCACTGCCACAAAGTAGGACGGAACGAACTGCTGCGCAGTAAACCCATCCTTTGGTTGATAGACGGATATCTCGCCTACGCCATAAATGACGCGAGTTGGCAAAAGCTAGTCGAGCCTTCTGTATCCGTGCTGAGATTTCGTCACACACCAGATCACAAGGGCTGATGAGACTTCCAAGATAAGTGAAGCGGTAGACACGCTCAATTACTTCACTCCCTATCACTAGTTCGGGTGTCGATGTAACCCAATCCTGAAGCAACATTTTGCATTTCGAGGGAGAAAATCGCATCCCGAACATGCTTGCATTGTTGCTTAGAGTGGTCAGAAGACTCTGCATTTTGTCAGCGTCTTCGCCAAATAAAACTATGTCATCAGCGTATTCTAAGTCAACAAGTGAACCTCCCGGTAGAAGTTCAACCTTTGAAAATTCAGATGAGGAAAGTATTATCTCGAAAAGCATGCCTACGATAAAGTTAAACAAGAATGGAGAGAGCGGACAACCCTGACGAACACGACTCGAGGTAATCAATTCCGATGACAGTTCGCCATAAGCTTTCACTCTACCATTTGTGTTCGAGTAGAGAGCCTTTATAAGGTTAATGTACTTCTTTGGTACTCCTTTCAGTAACAAACACTGCCATAGAACCTTACGATCAACAGAGTCGAATGCTGACTTAGGGTCGAGAAATACTACAATTGTGGGGCGTCTGAACGTGTGTCTGTGTTCTAGAACCTGACGTAGTGTGAATATGTGGTCTATATACTACCACGTCCAGATCAAAAACCAGACTGGTTTTCTCTAGTCTGCTCTTCACGAGCTTTAGTTAGGCGTCGAAGTATTATTGAAGCTAATATTTTAGATACTATATTTGTCAAACTTAATCCTCTGTGATTGTCACAAGAGGACTTTTGCCCTTTCTTATAGACTGGCACAATCAGTGATTGAGACCAGTCAGATGGGATTATCTCCAGTTCCCAAATTCTACCTAAGACCTCAGTTAATCTCACTGCTCATACTGAACCACCATCCTTAAAAATCTCAGGAGTAAACCTGTCAGGGCCTCCTGCTCTCCCTCGCTTCAGATTTCCTATGGCTTTTTCAACTTCGTAAAGAGACGGAGGACCTACGTTAACTTGCCATTCAGGTTGACTGGAGATCGTGGGAAACCGAAGTGTGGCTGAAGGCCAGTTGAACTGGCCTTCCATGTCTTTTGGTAACGTTGTGTGAACATTGCCTTCAAGGTATGATTAATGTAACACACTGAATGTACATAAACATACATATAATTAGCCTAGGATCTATGTAATCAGGTAATTTACCTTGACAGATACGTGAATTGATGATACTACCTAAAATAAGAAATAATGGGCTTTTAGCATGGAATATTATAACTTACATCATATCTGGACTTTGTTTCTGTGGTTTCATCATGATTCAGTGAAGATTCAAATAAATCTAAGATATTATCAGCAGACATAAACCAACAAGACCATGCAATGTTGGCTAATGCTCTACGATTTGTACATTGCTTTAAGTAATTCATAATTTCCGAAACTGAGCTATTACGTGCTTGTGTTTGGATTGAGTTTTTCTCTCCGTCTGTATTTATTCCTTTACGTGAATTTTTGTTAGTTATTTTGATGTTTGCTTCTAACTTTACATCTGTTTCTCTGCGGATTTTTGCTTCATTGCACCATATTGATAGTTTACACAACAGTGAACTTAATAATGATGTTGCATTCCAACAGAATTTTGCAGCATTATACACTTTTGGCCAACATTTAGCTCGATATCCAAGATTTGTTGATCTTTTTATAAAATCAAAGATTTTTTCAATGTTGTCTGGTAACTTTATAACAAACTGAGTGTCAATAAAATCTAAAAAAATGATTAAATGAACAATAATTTTATGTAGCAAATCACTTAGATGGTATTTCATATAATTACCGGTTTTTTAAGAAGGTAGTTTATTTAAGCTAATAACTAAAAATCTGCAATTGCTTATTCATTGTCAATCTAATTGAGCATTCTAGTCATTTTTAGTATAATCAACTTTCTATTAATAATTAATATAATCATCAAGTCTAAATTATTTAACAAATTAAATATACGTTTATATTCACATTTGGTTGTAATGGTAACAGTAAATAAATATTCATTTATTTTCTTTGTGTAAAAATATTTCTATGACATAATGATACTATTACTTAATGGGTAAAGCAGACAACGAAAACAGATTATTAGTCGTTAAGGGCCTATTAAACTCGTCTAATCACATGATCACCAGATTAGGTAATTTAAAATGGTTGTTCAGTTACCTTGATGTTTGATGGTTAGAATTAGTCAATAACAAACTTTGAACCTAAATTTTCATGCTGGCTAGTATCCATAAACTAGGCATATCTCTATTGTCCAGCATCAATATCAAGTTTGTCTTGTGAATTCTCTAACAACACCGTATTCTTCTGTGCTGTTTTATTTATGTTATGCTCGTGTTTAAATTGTTCAGGATAATCATTTCCCTTTTTGTAACCTTCTGGTTTACTTTTCCATTATCCAACTTCTTTCCAAGTCACAATTTTTGCCAACAAATTATGTTGCATGATTCCGAGTTTTACCCATATCAAGATAAAACTAAGAGTATATATGTCACTAACCAAATTATAGAAGTCATATAGAAAATGATCAGATAAATTTTCTATCTTTGTTCTATCGACGTATTAAAAGGAATTCTCTACTTAACAGTCAGAAACATGTGTGAAAGTATTTTTTTTTCTTTTTTTTTCGTTTCAAAACTAATCAATTGTTGAATCTACTTAGTTCACATTATATTCTTCTGTTCGTTTAGCTGATGAACAGATTATTCTGATGGACTAGTTCTCCTACTCATTTTATTTTATTTGCTTCAACATCTTCAGAACTCGATATAATTCTTCTCAGAATTTGTCTTCACTATTAAATTACATTGAAAAGGGTTTATTAGTAGTAAATTTCTAACATGCTAGGTTACAGCACATCTGCGTTTTAACGAAACTGATCACCGAGATCCAACTATCTTTAACTTGTTTTTCAATCCACATTTATTGGTCACCATGAATATGTACAAGTGTACAGTAATCGCAGTTATTGACTGAAAGGAACCTTAGGCATAATATCATACGATTGAAATAAAATTGATATTTTCGATCAACTAACTAGGGATTTTGCCAGCGAACAGGTAGCCAGTAATTTATTCATAAAATAGACTCAATTTAATATTTGACTTAAATGAACATGTCTTTATCAGTATGAACCTCTCAGACAAAATGACTAAAATTAGATTAGTCAGATAAATCGTACCAGTTTCTATCGGTGTGAATAAAAGCAGTAAATCCCCTAGTTTTGGATCAGAATAAAACTATATGCTGTTAGGTTATTCGATTTGTTGATTACCTTCATTTATTTCGTGTTCATTTTCCATAACTGGACACTGATTTTTATCGTTTTTTTCATAACTATTGGTATCATATAGATGTTCCTGAACAAATGAACCCAAATAATTGAATATAGCTTGGGATGCTTTATAAGCTGTTAAAAGTAGAAAAGATATTGCATTAATTATTCAGTCAGTGACTATTACAAATGTTCTTATTTCTTAAGTAATCTTTTAGATAATGAGTTTATGTTAAAACAATTAACTGACAATTAGATAAGTAAAACTCCGTCGATGAACTGCAGCTACTCAGTTTTTCTTTTACTTAATCAAATATTTCAATACATATCAGAATCGAGATAAGCCAATTCAGACAAACAAGTAGATCTCGTTCCATAATCATCTATAATGTGATTATTTATGACTATCCATAGACTGTTAGCATATATCAAATAGGCACTTGAACGAATAACAATCATCAAAATTATTACTGTACAGTTTAAATGTTCCACTTTCCGTATTCCCATGATATTTTAAGCATCAAATTAAACATCGATCATTTTACGGCTAAAATGTATACCAAAAATCAAAATAACTTATTTCACTGTCACTTAGGAAAAGACTCAAACAAGTGATTTTTTTTACAAAACTTGTCAGACATTTCTAAAATATAAAATACATAACCATTATATAACATTAGAAAATAATTTGTTCGAAAATTGCAATCAGCATTCATATTACTTATTTTTGTATTAAACTGAAGACATATATGTTTAGTAAGAGATGTACTTTGGCTAAGGAATATTTTATGTTCCGCTTACGTTCGTTCTTAATATGAGTTATGATTTGTATTTCGTAAGTTACACCTTAAGATGAGGGTGAGTTGACATAAACATTTTTAACTCTTGGATTTATAAGAAAAATGTGCATTTCCTTTAAAGTTAGGCATTTTAGGCAAATGTTTTCTAAAATATAAGTTAATATGCAGCTTGTACTTTCAATCATAATTAGAGAAGAACTAATTTTCGTTTCAACCTTGTTTTAATAAATGGTTTCAGTCACTTGTAATCCATTTGTTGAGCAGCAACACAAATGAAGTAATAATTCAAAAGCGTATTTGTGTGGATTAACTGGCAGCAAAACAGTTCAATTTCAGAAGCATTTTCAATAAATTCTAATTGTCCTTTCACCACATACGTTTGAACATGCGGCGCAACAACTGATGAACTCATATTTTTGTTGTTCGGATGGGTAAAAAGATCATGCACTCTTTCGCTTCATGGCTTCAGTATATCCTTGAATCTCTCAATGCCTCTTAAACTTCGATTTCACTTATTTATAAACAGCTGATCAGTAGTGCGATGATATTCAAGCATTTCAAATTAATACAATGTGAGAAACAGATCGACCAAATAACTACACAACAATAATAAACATACTCAGAATTCTCAAGTTTATAACTAAGCCAACCAAATAATGACATGTTCCAAGGACGAATAACTCTCATTCACTAACCTCCTATGTAATAAGAAAAAGTGGACACAAAAACTATCCATAGCACTTATAAAACAGCACATAATAATGAGCATCTCATCCTCGTTAGCCACATGTTCGACGAACGTATCATACCAACCACCACAATCGATAATCATTAATGATCTTGTCACCCAATTTGCCGTGTTTACTTGCTACCCTAGGTCTTATCACAATATTGGTCAACCAGTGAACCAAAAATACACGGGCAACACTTAGAAGACAAATATAGGCGGAGACTGATGATTTAAAGATGTCTTCGGCTTTTAAAGATGATGTTTCAGAGACATATTGTATACGTTAATGGAAATCTACACAGTATACTTCCACAAAAAAAAACAATTCAGAGTGACAGACGTTGGTCCAGATATCGCCATGCAGCAGGCTTCTGTCTTTACTTAAGGTGATCGGAAGATTTCATTTTGTTAGCGACTTCATCAAACAGCAGTGTATCATTTAAATACACAAAGTCAATAAGTGCATAGGGCCAGCAAAATGTACCAAAGTTTCAGCTAAATCATCCATTAAGTTGCATCGTTTCTATGTTGAAAATTGAATCACCAAACGTTAAACAGTTTGCCGAAAATTGTTAAGGTTGGGTGCGACTAACAAAGATTAACCACATGAACCTCATGAAATTACTCATACAGTGGTGCACGTATGTAATCTGTCCATTTTATTCAACTATGATAATTTAATAAAATTCTAATTACTTGACTTAGTCATCAAAGAATCCGCTTAACCTGTTAGTAACATGAGAATAAACCAGGTTAGGTATTAAATTGTACCGAGAGGTGAGTAACACAGAATCTCAACCAAATTATCATTCAACTTGAATATGATCTACATTGGAAGACTGACAAATAAGTGTTAAATTTTATTGAAAGTATGACTAATCCAGCCGACATTTAGAAGTTATAAGGCCATCATAGTTCAATGATACAGGTCTCCTCTAAAACTGCGATGAGATGAATTTTTTAATACTGACATTGACGACAACGTTGGTGTAATAATTGAGTAGTAGCGCCCATAAATAATAGAAGTTCGGAACAAATATCTTCATACATACACGAATAAAATCTTTGTCGGTATTTACTTTAACGTCCGTCTCATAACTTAAACATTTAATTTTTAATTTTGTTTTGACTGAGTAACACATGAACTGATCTGAGAGGTACTGCGTCTTCTGTAGCTGGTCATCAAGAAAGTTGATGGCGGCTGCACTGGTAACTTGACTACTGATGTTGCCAGATATAAGTAGTATGTATCATCAATAAAAAGTGAAATGCCTGGCGGCAGAAGGTTAATAAGATCAAAGAAAATAGAACGAGGACAAAGAATGATTGATGTGGAAACGAAATAACAATGAAGTCTGAGACGATTGACTGATATTTGCAAAAGGAATGGTCAAGTTTGAGACAATTGACTGACGTTTTGCAAATTAAGTGTTTACTGTATGGCTCTTAGATTTTACTATGTTGTTCTGCAATTCTGTATTCAAATTAATTCGTCCACTACACTGATATTGAAGTATGTACTAGCATAGAAAGTTCTAGAGGAGTTGTAGTGACCTACTTCTATCAAGAAAACGTTATTGGTGTAATGGAAACAATTATTATTATAACCAATTATACCAGTGGTTGTTTTACCATGCTTGTTTGTTTAACTGTACCAAAACATACATTCTTCCGTTGGTTGTGACCTTGCGCGAATTCGGTTATGCTCAGTAGCCACACTTGTAGCCTGGCACGATCTCGGTATTCTTTCGATACCACAAGATCGCCAACGAATACATCGCTACTACAGCCATCAAATGCCTTCTGATATTTGGCTTATGGGGGATATTATTGGATAACTGACACGTAGTCTTCCTGTAGTGGTGATCATAGTCAACCGCGACTCGACGCCACACTACAGAGTACTGAATGAGTCCGACATCTGATTACGAAACACGGAAAAATAAAGCCAAATAACAACACACACCTGTCACAACAGCCTGTTTGATTGGATGGTCTTTGATAAACTCCCTTCCTGAGCCACAGAAGTAAAACTATACTTAACGCAAGCATACAAAGAAACAGCTTGACTTTGTGGAATATTACTGTACGTTGATTGCTAGAGCCAGACAACCCTGACCAAAATTCAAATAAGTGCATTAATTTGAAAAGGTTGGAACATTTATTAGTACCATCTCACTAAATAACTGTCCCAGAATACAAATCAAAATGTTGGTCAAAATAGATAAGAGAACTGAATAAGTGACGAACCCCGATTAGTTTACTTTTGAAAGCAATTTTGGATTTGGAAGAACAATGAAATTTTTGCTAACAAGTATTTGAAGCCTTAACTTTCTTGCAAAACCTAATTCGCTTCTAGAAGATTGATCAAAATGGAAGAAGGAACTAGCTAAACTAAAGAACCGTCGATATGGTAGGGAAGGAAACTATTGCTTAATGAGTTTTTAAGTAGTCAGATCTTGTAAATAAATGTTATTGAGACCTGTGTAGATAAATCATCCTCTTTGAGAATTTTATATACAAATGTCCGTAGTCCGTAAAGTGAATTCCACGAACTAGGAGTAGTAGTCAATGGATGAAAGCCACCCTTTGTAGCTGCAACTGAAAAATGATGGGTTAGCAACTTCGGCGTTACTCTACAATAATCCGGATACCACTACCTAGAAGTAATAGGAGTAGATAACATATCGGGGTGGGATCCCTATATGCATAACTAATGGTATGAAAATCCGCTCCTTTACTAGAAGCTGTGAAGTCACTGACAGTGAACTCACCCTTGAAGGAGTCATCTGCTAGGCTGATGGCTTCATTTTAGAACACATTCGACCATTTCACAAGAATAACTGGTGTCTGGTATCAGATGATCTTTATGTACCTGATATTAATTTGACAGAGATAGATGGCGTGTGATTTCTTTTGATAGCAAGCTCCCGATGATGATTATAGTGCCTGTCTTGGTAAAGTACATATCCAAGCCCGCATGTTTAGATTCAGAACAAGGACCTTCTTTGCTAGACTTAGTAATCGCTCGTGAGACCGATAATATTGCATGTCAGCAAATAGACATCATTTTGTTTTGTTATTCGTATTTAGGATGTGTGACATAATGTATGATCAGGTTGGAGCTCTCCTAAATGTGTGGAAAGCAAACATAACATCCATACATGAGTGTGCTACATCAGCGGGCTGGTCAGTATATATTAACTCATCAATTGAAGAAGAGTGATCTACATTTAAAGGCACACTTACCTTAGTTTCGTTCCGCTTTATAAACTAATCAGTGCGATGTAACCTTGTAAATCCTATCGTAGGTAACTGAATAAGTCAAAAAAACTTCTTGGACGTAGGAAGTGTGCCTATCTCTACAGGCTTTGGATAATTCAAATCTATTCATTGAAAGTCTAGGTACTCTTGCAAAAAGTTGACAGGGCTGGACGTTTGTATAAAAACAACGGCTTAGGATTTATGAAAACAGTTCTGAAGGGTTTTTCTTTCACATAAAGAGGTTAACTCAAAGAAGCGATGGAATTCCCTCGCTTCTAGCACGAAGATGTCTTTCAAACAGGCTAGATATGACATTACTAGATCTAAATTTCTATCAGGACATTTTAATAAAGTGTGTTTATTGACAATGGGGAAAGGATAACAATAAGACATATTAGTGGTGGCTTACCTATGGATCCTCTGGTTATTGAAAAAGGTGCTGTCTTATGATTATTCAACATCTCAAACAGGATGAATGTAGCGGTCCTAACGAAATTCATCCTAGGAATGTGAAAGCTCTGGAGGATGTTATGTCAGTACGTTTTGCGATACTGTTTATTAAGCCTTTGAGACAGTCGAAACTCTCAAACTATTGGAAACACGTAGTAATCAGTCTGGTTTATTGTCTGTGGGGAAAATTCTTAGTTACCTTCACCAGTGTCATCGTCGAACAAATGGAAGAAAACTATCCATGTGAAAACGAATAACTTTAAGGACGGGGAACAACATGGTTTTAGAAGATCCCTATCATGGTTGACAAAACCCCTCATTAAAAGGGAAGAGTGAACTGCAGTGAAAGATAGAATAATGCAGGTAAATGTACTTTTTATGGATTCAAGTAAAAAGCGGATGTGCTCGAACCAGTTCAACGACGATGGGCCAAAGTGATGTTTATAAATCACCTGTAAAACGCGGCTTTAACTACCAATGGTTATTCGAATTTATTGATTCAACTTTCTGATTGATCTATTATTCAACTGATGCACATTGGATCATTATATATATATATGTATATATATATATATATATATAAAACAGATTTTGATCCTACAACACAGATGATGTGTAATGAACATTGATTTCCATGAGATAAGACCGCTGCAAATTGGTAAACCTTGAAATTGGGGGATGCAACAAATCATTTTAACTACGCAATTAAAAGACTTAAGTATGTTTTCGAACGTGACACACATTGGCTATTGTATGAAACTAAAGCGCGGTGAAACTGAAATGGATGGCTCTGGGATTTTAAATTGTGAGTTGATGAACCTTGTAAAGAAACGCGTAGCTTGCAGAGACAGAATTGTTGAGCTACATGATAAATATACCCAGGACAAACTTAACAAAATGGTAGGCAGTTTTGATTGTTTCAAAACTTCACGCTAGAAAAGTAATCAGAGTCTTATAACTGCAAATCACGAACAGCGTTGTGATACTTCATGCCTCCCATTGCTTGATATTTCACCGAGTGTTGTACGTATAAAGGACATAGTTGAGGTATGTTCGTTCACTGAGTCGGCTATCGTCTAGGACGAGGAATTGCTCGTTCGTCAATTTAAAGCACTGAACGGTTTTGAATGTCATAACGATCGGTTGTCACCCTGATTAACGGTTTATCTAGTAAGTCCATGTTGCTGTTAATTTTTTTCACAGTAGTTTGCTGGCCTATCGTGGTCTTCAAAATCTATTGGCAGACCTCTACCATTCGGTATGACCAACTAACGTACGCTTAGTTGATGTGACACTACCCTATCCATCAACAGCTACCAAGATTACCGTATACTTGTATTTTCGTCTCAAAAATGATCGTGAATTTTGTGAATTCGGTATGTACATGTCGTCACTTTGTACTTGCAACTTCACTGGACCTAATAAAGTTCAAGATATCGGTCTCTTTCTTTTTCTGTATTTGTGCAGTTTTAGTCTGCTTAAAGTATGAGAAACTGTATTGTTTCTACGAAACTGAAGAGCCAAAATAGGATCATGGCTCAGCAAGATTGTCCATGAATATCAGCAGTATTTAGGATTTGAAGTCGGTATTTCACGTGATCACATTTCCGTTGCGCTTATCGTTTCTTTATAATCCTTCTTTCGTTTTCGTTTAATTGGACTAATTCGTTAGCGTTTTAGGTGGTTAAGATATTCTGAATAGAATTTTTCACACTGGAAGTGCACAGTCACATGCTTTGAAATAAATTGGGTAATCAAGATCTCCGTAGGTGTGTAGTAGAGGGAAGTCTGCCACATAACAGGTTTAATCGAATAAATGACATGAACTTTGAAGTTCCTGTCGTTTCGCCTATATATTTTCTGGTTACGTACGCAGAAATAACACTAGTTAACCAGTCGCATTCGAAACAGTGGTTTGGTGGTTTATTTCTGTTGAGTTAGTTTTGCTTGCTTCATTACTAATGAAAATAACGTTTCAGCGTAATTAGGTCTGAAGTGAACGATTGACATGAATGATAATCATCCACATAAAACCACTACTTCAAATCTGGAGTTAATGAGAACGTTGTGTTCGTGACTACTGTTTAAGAAACAAACCAAACAAGTGTGCGAACAGTCAATTTCTTGAAGTCCGAAGGTGTGTTGTAGGACTTGTAATCTTGCTAGAATTCTCTACTTTATTTGTTGACTTTGAAACTGACACACAATATACGCTAAAAACGTAATGGTCGATTCTGTATTGCAAAATGCAGTGTTGGCTTTTCAGAATGATCGATAATTCGCTGTACCCCCAAAGAAGTTCTGTAACTATATGGGGAAATATGTGTTGGGTTATGTTCATACGAAATGGCTTTTTAAGAAAAGTAAATTACTGCAATTGTTTCAGATTGTTAATAATTTATTAGATCAACTTACCTGCTCTGGTGCTTCCTTGTGGTGTGCTGAAAACCAATCTGTCCAATTTTTTATTGTCTATATGGTTTATCGATTTTCTGAGATTCATTTTACTCTGTTTGTCTAGCAAACTTTCAGTTAGTGATTGATCATAATCGATAATAATATTGTCTTTATAGTATGTGAACCACTCCAATTGTTCCCTACACAAGTTCATGGACAATGAAAAAAGTTATCAATAAAATATGCACTTTGTAGTTACCAAAACATTACCTGAATCTAGTGATCTAAACACCAAGATTCGGAAGATTATACTGTGGTTTAATTATTTTACGTTCAAGGTTAACTACCAGTCCACCGTATAAGTAAGGTTTGGCTACATCTATATGACGTCACGAAGTTGGTTAGTAAAGTCACTCGTGGAACGCCACACCAACAGTTATTGGGCTTCTTCAAGATCCTTACAACACTTTGAGACACGTCTCCAGCCGACCATGGGTTTAATGATAAACATAGACCCCTACATTAGAAATTTCTCCGTTTTCTTAGGGACCGATAAGTCTGGGGGTTGGTTTGCGCTAACGAATTGGAAACAGTAGATATTCTTAGTAATTGTCATTGACTATTTCAACTCATCCGAGCGAAAAATCAAGTATCAGTGAAGCAGTCTGTTGAACTGGCAGTTAGTAACGTACGATGGTGTCTTCGACGATGAATATAGCTTTCTGACTAACAGTCAAACTGGTCTGTCACCCCAGCAACGTCGGCCAGAATTTCCTGTACTTTTTAGTCGGTGACCATCAATATACTTAACGAGATAGATGTACACACAGAACTTCAACTTCTGAAGCCTTACAAGTAAAGGGGCTTAGAAGACACTCCTGGATCGTCTTGAAAATATTGTCGAACTCCTGATCAGAGAACTGATTATTGTTTAGAAAAGTATATCCCAAGGTTTGGTAATATGTGCATGAGCATTTTCACGATAATTCGTTTGGTGTCATCAGTGAGACACCAGCTTCGGTGGTTTGGACGGATGTCTTAGCGATTCTTTGTTGTGAATTAATTTCTGGCAACGTCACGGGCTGTAATAGGCTCGAAGAAGTGATCAATTTATGACGTGCCACTGTGGCATGAAAGAAAATTACTTAGGACTGGCATCTGTCAGTTTATGGAGACTCTGGTTGAGATCCTAGAGATCGCGAAATCCAGTGGTTTAAGGTGCTACCGGACACTGCTCATAAAGGATGCCATTGGAAAACCTACTGTATTTTTCCTTCATACATCAGAATCGCGAGATGAGTTTTCTCAACTGAAGGAGAAATATTCCGTTGTTGTATTTCTAGTCTAACTGTATCTCATTTTACGTTCCATTCTTATTTACTTACTGTATTTAATTGCACTCCGTTTCTCTTTGTTTCCTAATAACGATACCTCTTCCCTTATATAGCGCATACTATTCTCTGTTATATGAATCAGATTTTTCTTGTGATACTCTTGTACCTTCAAATTAAACTTCTGGGACCCTTCTGATTACTTAGTTCTCAGTGACTAAATTGTTTTCAGAAAATAGGTCTCAGAGCTTTATTTTAATAAAACATTGAGACTGAATTTCATTAATCGGTCTAATTGGCAAGAAGTAAAGTGTCAAATGAGACCATTGTTAGTCATGGAAGTTTGAGGCTACAATTGTATGTTCACAGTCATTATGCAGGGTATATACTTTTGTTAGGCTTTATTTACGAATCTACTCATTACTTAATGGTGCTGGATTTCTTTATTCAGTGTATGGTAAGTAGGGTTGAGTATATAAGGAGAATCTGAGTGTCATCGACGTTTAGATCACCTATCCTCTTCTCAAAGACCCACTTCTTAACTGAGCAGTTTTCTTTCGATCTCAGATCACACAAAAGTTGGTCTTCTAATCACAACCGTCTTATAAAATCCAATTATTAAAAATATAGTCGGGATAGACATGGTGTATACAGCTTAGATGTGCCTACACTTATTCTATGAGGTCCTCCTACTATGGATTATTTCATATAGAAGTAATCACATATAGTCATGTGGTGAAAAGTTTTTGTTTAGTTTCGTCAATACTCGTTAAAGTACCATACTAATTTACGGTTGTGGTCAACCAATGAATTTTTGTAGTTCAAAATTCCTCCAGTTGGAATCGCCTTTGGCAATCTAATTGGGAAAAGGATTTTCTGTCTGGGGCATTTACTGGTTCTGCTCACGGAAAACTTTTTCTTAAACTAAGGTATCAGCAAATAAACAGACAGACTATCTAAAGTTAGATTTAAATGTTTTCTAAAAGATAATAATGATGACCAGATTTGTAAATGTGTTCCTTTGTACGTATTTCACGTGGAGATCCACTCATCGAAAACTGGATTTTAAGTGATATTGATAGGTTTATACACTAAATTCACGTGGAATTATTGTTTATTTTAAGCAGTAATTCATTTAGTTGTTAGTATACGGTACGCTGAAATTCGATAATTAGTAAAATTAATACTAAATGGGTATATATATATATATATATATATATATATATATATATATATATATATATATATTACATCTTCACCAATACTTCTGTTTGAACAATAATCGGTTGCCATTTCTCCAGTAATTCATTTTGTTCAATTTGTGCCTGCAGTAGATTGAACTGGAGAAAAATAAAACATAAACTGTTGTACTTTGTATGTGAAAATTATATTTGAAATATTCTCAGCGATTGAAATATAACTAATTTGTGTTCTTATGAAGAAAGAATTAGTTCTAATAGCACAATCCTTGATAGTTTACCAAGCAACGGAAGCTAAGCAATTAGATATGTGTCAATTAAACACACTTTGCTTCCATTAATAATTTACTAGTATTTTATTAAATTTATACAATATTGGTAACATTTCTCATGAATTCTGGTTTACTTAGTTAGATAAGTAGCTTAGTATTATTATTCCCTTCATAGTTTAATGAGTTCGTAACCGAGATCTAAGGCACTTGCAATAGCACTCTATCCAATTACTTGCACTCTCGTTTAAAATCATAATTTGCTCCTAACGTGCTTCGATTTCGCAAGTTATACTTTTCAATTTCTCCAATCAACTCGAAGTGCCATTTGAAAATTTGACTTTTTACTTTGTTTCTGATTTTCTTTAATTACTATATTTGTATGTATTCGTGCATTACATCGTAAAATTATAGTTATCTATGTGGAGCTTTCGAAAACTTGCTTGATGGGATAATTTTAAGGATTTAACATGATGAATATACGATAACTCATCATCTTTAACTTTGAGGATATTTTTCTTCTATCATATAATATCATTCAGTTGAATAACGAAACTGTCTATTTATTTTTTTAGGATCCGTGTAGTTGAGGTTAGAAAAGTTTTCATAGTTTCACCAAAAGTAAATGATCCTTTGTCTCACCTGTGAACGTTGTGTCCATTCATCTTGGCATACATTTCTCAGTTTCATACGTTTCATTTTGTGCGAGTAATAATCAGTTAGCAAACTGAACAGATGATTCATTTCCTGAAAGAAAAGACATAACCTATCATCTAACTTAAAAAATATAAATTGAATTCTCGGTTAATTATGGGTGAAGTGTAATCCTTACAACCTCATTTCAACGTTTCGTGGTGAGATAGATACTAGGTAAGGTTAGTAGCGAATACATTGTCCTTTAGGACATGAAAATTAGTGTGAAAATATCATGGTTATTTATTAATAGTTATCTAATGCTTAAATTACGAACTGATCATTTAGAGACTTGAAATTTTATTTTCACCTTAATTTAATAGTACTCAAATGTTCAGTGAAATTCAATGCTGTTCATCTTTTCTTATTTTTACAAGTATATCTCGTTAAAATCTTTAATAAATCGAGCAAAGTGAATTATTTCTCTCTAGTCAATGAACCAACGTATAAAGTAATTTATATTTCTAAATTGATGTAAGATAATATTCTTAATGTTTTTATTGAACCTCTTACACTTATATACATTGTTACTATAAATTCCAGGTAAAGTCATTATTTGTTCAAATGCTTACTTTTGCTCTCTTTAACATAATAAATGGGAACTTGCATGTAAAATGCATTTTCATATTGTTGTTTGAATTATCAAATTATTTGAGTTTCCTGAGCAATCTGACAGTATTCCAACGAAACAAGTGATACGGACTATTAACAAACAATATGATCAAACTATCGTTTAAATTTATCCAGCTTATAAAACTCTAATTGCGTAATAAGAATCGGTTATAAACAGACCATAAGTAGATCATTTTTTGTAATTGAAACACTTAACCTTCAACTTATAGATCAGAGATTTTGAATCCTGCTATGTCTACGTTAGTTTAACAAGCTGGATAGTATCACTAATCTTGAAAAAACACTATAGTTTAAACGTGTTGCATAATCCAGTACTTGGTAAGCGAATTACTCTTTTTCTATGAATACAATAAAAGATTGATATTTGTCGTATATAATTTTACCGCTTCAACAACTAGAAAACATCAATATTATATATATATGTAACACGACTTACTTGCGAATAGCCCGCTGATTTTGTCTTATCTAGACTGGTTGCATTCATATTATCATTTAATTTCATTATATCTGTTGTTTCATAGGATTGACATGATTTAACAAGTAATTGATCACGATGATTCAACCATGTACGTATTTCATTTAAACATGGTTGAATCAAATTAATTTGACTAACATGAACTCTTTCTAAAATTACATTGACCAATTGTAAAAATATTGTTCGACGATTGAATTTTATTACTATGAAAGTTAACAAAGAAAATATTCAGTTTGATCATCTTTGAAAAAATACAGTCATCATTTATGAGAACTATTGATTTTTATCAGTTCGAGTGATGTTCTGTGAAGTTTGTTAACGAAATTAGAAGATTTGAATTTCATCTTATTCGGGTGAATCCTGAATTCAAGTGAAACCGTTACTATCAGTGTTTATTTATTTTTAATTTCTTGTTTTATTATATATTTCGGTTATTCTTGTTTATAAAACTCCTAACGCAAAGAAGACTATTAAATATTAGTGATTAACTTGGCAAAAGTTAACTTTTTCAGGTATTTCAATCATCAATGAACCAATTTAGTATGGTTACTTTAAAATTCCATTGTAACTGGAACGTAATATTCATTGAATGTCAGGTAAGTAGCTGTATGATAACTGAAATTCTCAGGCTTTTTCATAAGAAATAGTCATGAGTTTTAACTTACATGAAGATAAAACAGCTATTCACTATCTACTATATAGTGGTTCTTTATATTAATCCAGTTTTTGATTTGAATAATTTTATGGCTGAGATAAATTTTCTTAACGTTCCATAAATCAACGGAAATCTTTGCCTAAAATTTATCGGTGAATAAATGTTGTAGCAGGCTTTTTTAAAAGTCAAGTGGATTAACTACTAACCGATTGTTTCGTGGATACTTGATGCCAAACAGTTAACACTATCCGTTAATACTGCGCTGGTCGCTAATGGCATCTGGAGAGCATTAAAGAAATTGAAATAGACTATCATCGTATTATATTATTGTCACTGAGCTCACAATCGATGTAATTACATCTACATTTTTTCTTCGATATATCCTATACCAATAATTAATTTAGGTGACTGACTGTGCTAAACAACTAAGAAATAAGGAAACCTGCAGAGGTGATAAGTGGTTGTAAAATTTTCTCGTCACTTAATGTTGTATACTCATATCTATTTATTGACTGACGATATATCGAAAATCGAACTGTTTCGATGTTCAACTGAAGATGCCATAAGGTTCTAGCTATCATAAAACACTCTAGGACTAAAATCAAAACAAGTATACAGAACCTGTTTTAATAGATGTCCATCAATGTTTTCCAAAAATATTGACAATTTTATGTACATATGTGTTTAACTTCAACACCTCTGCTTAATATGTATCTCAAAATTTGCTGCTGGGATTTCTATTTTTGCGAAATTTTCGCACCCTGTAGAGCAGAGTTTTTATTCTTGATTTATCGTTTATCTATCCTTATAAGAGATAATATATAACACAAAGAAATACATTATGATACTCATACTGGTAACTTAGCAAGGAGCATTATATTTGTAAGAAACTATTGATTTATTCCAAAAACTTATTTGTGATTAAAATCAATTGGTGTTGCTAGATTTTTACATGACAAATATTTGGTTGATGTTCGTTCCCCCTAAAATTAAACTTTCTATTGAGTATGTTCTGTTCCTTAAAATTATTAAGTCTACATTCTTCCAGTACATGACGCACTAGTTTATAAAATTGTACATTTGTTGAATGTAGCAACAAAATTTTGAGAAAAATACATCAAAAACGGTGATCGAATGTAACATCTGTCTAAAGTAACTTAGCCTAAAGCTTCACCAAATATAGATCCTAAAGCATCATAGTTGCTTTTTCTTTGTTCCCCTTAACTATTTCAGCTAGAAAATTTCAATTAATCACACTTTAAATCCCTGTCTTTGCTTAAACACTACGGATTTCCTTTGTCTAATACATAACAGGTATGTCTTTATTATTATTGTTACTTTTTGGTTATACCCCTTGACTACATGAGACTCGGTTATTAGTGTTACACTATTGTACACAAGAGATAGGAATCTTTGACTGTTGAGAATAGTTTGTGATATGATTAATAACAAATTGGATCTAATTTTTATGTTTATTTGATATCAACCAAGCATGTAGATCATTTTGCTATATTAAAAATCTGGTTAGGAATCTGAAAGCTTAGTCAAGCTGATTAAGTATATGTATATCTTTGATAATAGGCAAGTAGAAATACAGAGATTTTGACAGTAATCTTGTTTTTATCACTACTGAGTATATATAACACATAATTTTGTTAGCTCCTGGTTTTTTAACATGATCAACAGATTCCTTAAACTCACCATCTTTTATTGCAGCTTTTATTGATTTAGTTGCCATACATGCAATCGCTTGATATTCATCTTCGTAACCAAATAATTCTCCTCTTGGAGGATCTAAGTAACCGAAAGAGATAACGCTTTTACTTTGTAAATAAACATACAGTTAATAAACAACTCATAATTTTAGTAGTCATTTAAATGAATGCTATAGAATAATTTATTTATCTAAAATTACTAATTTAAAGTGTTACGCTGCAAAGTGAATAGTTCACTACTCTCAGTACAGAAGATCCGTAGAGATTATAGAATTTCACAGTTTATATCTCTAACCTTAGGAAAGCGTTAAAAAGAGCGAATCTCCTCAGAGGTCGTGGATGTACACTTATGAGGAGTCTCAACATAGAAAGAATTAGCTGTCCAGCGATTCCTGATTTCCACCAGTTGTTCAATTAAGATCATTCCTTGAAGTAAACTATAAAGTTTAATTTTCAATTAAACAATAGCTGAAGCCAAATGATTTTTAGGTTATTGTCAGAGAGGTATAATTACTTTTATGTTTCCAATAAATGTATCCAACAGGAATTGTCCAGCATAAGCTAAATTGAAGGAGTAATTGCTGACGTCTAACAACTTATTTATTGATCCCTTAAACAAATTCAGTCTCGTTGACAGACCGCTTGATTTCTAGTGTTTTAACTGGTAAAGTTTACGTAATTCTCTGAAAAAAGCAACATATGTGTAGATATGTATCCTGTTAAAGTTGTATTTGCTCTTTTTCAAGAAAACTAAAAACCAAAGTTTATACTCACTTAATTTAGCTGCAACCAGATAGCTATAAGCATCTATTGTTTTAATGACTGAGTTTAATTCACCCATTTGATCGGTATTCTGCCTTGATTTTCTTCGTCCAGTTAAATAACTAGAATTTAGTTTACCCTGAGAAATCCGTTTTTTTGTTGACACGTTAATGCTTGGTTTGATATCTGTACGAATGAAAAATAAAGGTAGGCCGATATGTAGACTAGGTCAACAAAATCCCAGGAAAAAAAACAAATTTTAGATGTATGGTTATTGTTCCGAGTCATCTGACATCACAAGAACTGTTTAACAGAACTCCAGGTGGGATTGTAACTTACTGCATTTATTTTCGTATTTCAAGTACAAAGTTACTTTGATTACTGTTTGTTTCTGAGCGTTCTTTTTTTTCTCTTATGTTACTATATACATACCTATGTAATTTAAAGAAACCGAGAAGACCCACACATCAAGGATCTGCGAAACGCTATTAACTCTCAAGATTCATATGGATCCTCAAATAAGACTGTGTTAAGTGTACTGCTCCAATTTACTGACACCAACTGAACGTAGTTCTATTTCAGAAATAAGTGATTATCCATCGATCTAGTTACTCTTCTGATGCAACACGTTTGTGATTACAATTTCTTTCAGTACTACACGAAAATATCAGTTTATAATAAGAGCTAATTAACTTTATCCTACACATTCCATAAACACCCGTGGTGTTCGATAAACAATTCCACTTCATAATACACAACATAGTCATTCTGATAATGAATTACAAATATTCTGTGGTTTGTATTTTGTTAAACTGTTTACCTAAATAAGGATTACTTCAAGTGAATTAAGTTCACAAAAAAACTAAGGTATCTTCAATTTCCCTGAAGAACAATATATTTATCCATTTAAACAACTGCATCAGTCACTATAAAATATTCCTTACAATGGCGAATGTCTACTGTCAACTTATCAGTTAAATTAAGTTTTTGTCCATCAACTAATTAAAATAATAACTTAAAAGTTTTCATTCAATGTTAATAAATTTATTTCCAAATAGTAATTCAATAATTAAAAGTCTTTCAAGGTGATTTACAAACAATCAAACTCCAACCTTTTGAAATTTGCCGAAATGATAGCAATCAAACGTCTAAACCCAGATTTATGTACCCAGAAAGAAGAAGTAATAAATTTTTCTTTGCCCTGGTAACATTAAACTCCCTTTTTGCTATTTATTACTTCATTCATTATTTCAACTCTTTCTGAAGTTTAAATTAATTTCATTTTTCTCTAATTCATATCTTTGTTTATTACCATTAATCTATTTTCAGTTGCTTCATTACACAATCATCTAACGTTTGTTAGCTTCATGAGTTCTATTCACTATTTCAATGTTCTGAAACTTTCCATCCCACACTTTACTTATCCGAAACAAAAACTATATGACCTCATTAACTCTAGTGAAATCTTTGTTATATCATGATATATCTTTAATCACCCTCTTATGTCAATATCTGTGATAACGTTGATTTTCAAATTTAGGTTGTAAGAAGCTGATAAGAACCTAATGAAATAAAAGGAATTCATATTATTCTGCACCAATCTTCGTTCTTACTCTCTTTTAAAGTTAACCATTCAATAGTAATTCTTCATATTACTTACCTTTCATTAATTGATTTAATGTGACTTTTACAATTTTCAATATTGTAACAATACCTTTAAGTTCATTTAACACTTCGAAAACTTTGATTAATTCAAATGTAAACTTGATCATTATTTGAGTAAGTTTTCTATTCAATGTTTCATCTAATAATATTAATTTTGTAGTACATTTTCTAACGCCAAGAATTATTGTTAATGATTTTAATAGAATCTAAAATCATAAAGATCATTTTATATTAAATTACTAAGCTACTAACAACGTATGTTTTACAATGAAATATATATATATATATATATATATATATATATATATATATATATATATATATATATATATATATATATACCACATATTGTTTTATGTTTACTTGGTGAAAACCATTTAAGTGATAATGGGAGCTGTTTTATTGCATTACATTTCATCAAAGTAACCTATCTAGACATTTTAAACCACTCGACAATATTATACTGACTTATATATGAGATAGATTAACCAGTTTATGATATCTCACAAAATACCATCTGTACGAAAACGATTGTACCCTATCACTTGCTTTAATCATCAATGGCTTCAATATTTTGTAGTTTACATCTCGGACTGGCTGTAGCTATACTACCACTGAAAACTATGAAACACTTGATAGTTGTTTTATTATGACATAGGACGTCTTACCAATGTTTGCCTACAGCTTCATCTTGGCTCGGACCTGTGAACTTCAGGCCTCGTGACAATCGCTTAACATTCAGGATTACTAAGTTTAAATCAAATAATTTGTACATCTAACGTCAATCACTTCCCTCTATTATACAACAGTTATTCAGAGCCATTGGTAGGTAACTGGGTTACTTTTGAAGTGGTTGAACTGATGAGCCAACACTAATATAAGCTAACTATAATGACGAAAACTGTTGAAAGAATATTCATTAGTACAAAACAACTTTTCTTTCATATTTTTTCATTATTATTTACTAACCTTAGCATAATCATGTGTTACAGAACTCATTTCTATGTTAAAACTCAATGTTTCATAGATCAGATTAGCAAAATCTAGCAATAGTTGCACATCATTCAACATAGCGCTTAACTCCAAACCAATTATCAACTTTTCAGACAAATGGATTTTCTGAATCTGTTAGAAAATAGAATAAAATTTAATTTCAGAGTATACAAATAAATAAATTTTTAAATGGTATTAATTTAATAGAAGTAAAAGAAGAAAAATTTGATCCTATCAATTATATTCATTCAGCTAAAACAATCTGACTTTAAAGTATAGATAAATAATAGTTTCTCTCTATTTAATTCACTTATATATTTACTCAATAGATCATGGTCTACCCTATTTCTTTACATTTATCAACTTTCTATCACTGAATGAGTTTAAATAACAATTTACAACTATAATCAATCAAATAACAATGTTAAATGACTTAAGTCGAAAACTTTTAGACTGAAACACACACTACCTCATCTCAGGTTATATAAGTGTATGACATTTTTTACACCAGTATTTATTCAATATAGATTCAGCATTCTCACCTAAACAAAACTAAAAATTTTTATAGCTAACCTCAACTATAAATGGGAGTTTCAGAACGTTTTACATAACATTGATAAATTCTTGACCTATGCAGTCATGAATAAGTGATTTATAGTGCTGGGACTATGATTTAAGTAATAGAATTAGGGTTTCTCACAGTTTAGGATTAGAATTCAGGCTTGATAATCATAATGTAAAGTTTTAGGTCAGGGTTTGGGATTCGAACGGAGAAATTAAGATTAGTGATTAAAGCTAGAAATTAGGGGACATGTAAGACATATATATATATTCTGGTTTTTACACTTGAAAGTTAATGCTCTCATCCCGCAATCCATGTCTTGATGAAAATTGTTAGTCTTAAAGTTTTTATTTCACATTATCATGTAAAAAGAAACAACCAAACCTAGCAACATTTTCTAATGAAAATATTATAGTAATATTAATTGAATTCTCTGTAGCCTTTGTCGAAAGCATCATCGTGCAAAATGATCAGGGATATATTCACTGTGAATGTCCCTTTGTCTATTGGAAATATGTACTAAATTTTTGATACAGTGAATTACCCATCAAGTTTAGTAGATCACTAAATTATTCACAAAAAAAAAATAAAATGATCCACCTATTCTCACATCGAATGACCTAATGAAACGTGGATTTTTTCAAGGTATAAAATCGTTAACAATAGTCTTACTTGTTTGTCCAACAAATAAGTGGAATTATCAAATTTACATGAACGTAGATTTTCAGACTTCTGAATAAATGAGCAGTGCCAAAAAATACATGTCGTTAGGTGCTTCAATAATATGCTTGAACATTGAAAACTATTTAGTTCTTTCAACCTATATTAATTAAAAGGTATCATATAAATAAAATAGCAATTTTCAACATACTTTAAACCAGTTAAGTGAGTTGAATTATCATCATCTGTTGTGTCATATTTCTCCGTTAAATATTCCCAGATTATGTTAACTGATTGAGCCATTAGACATTGGGATAGATTACGTCGAAACGCCGACTATATAAAAGAAAATGAATGGTAAAAAAGAAATTATCGCAGTAAAATAATTTTAAGTGTAAAATTATATATATATATATAATTGGTTGGTTACTACTTAGTGACCGACCAGTTGTAACCAAAAGGTCAATCGCGATTCGAATAGCTCAGCGCTAGTGTGTTAATTTGTGAAACCGGTTAACACAGGTTTGAATCCCTCATTGAAGATCAGCTCCTTCAAGATTATAAGTTCACCACTATGTCAGTGTGTAATCCATTTTAATACATACTTGAATATCTCTGAGTTAGTATTTTCTCTTCTCTTGGCATATATCATTTAAAGATCCTATTACCAAATGTTTGTCGTGCTCATTTGAATTTGGACTGGTTGGTGGTTGAGTTATTACGTTAATAATTATAAACGAGTGATGGTAATCTTTATTACTATAAACCACATAGTACCTTAATAACTTTCTCTGAATAAAGTAGACAGTAATGAAAATTGTTACTTTTTCATTAGAAATTCAGTAATCTGTTGATAAGTTGTTTTATGTCTGTTTCCTAAACTGAGTGTCCGTACCTGCGAACAAAAAATTATGTATAGATATAGCTGTTTTTATACACTATACTATTAGATGAAGACTGTCATTAAGAAAAATTCGTCACTCTTATATCTATAAAAATATAAGTATAATTGTATTTTAGGAAACACACCTGATTACATGTTAATTTTATCATAAATAAGACATGTATCCAACTTTACAGCTCTCGATACACTTTAGTAAAACTCTAAAAAATAATCATTCAAGTAATTATGACCAGATCTAATTTTCATAATAGTTAATCGTAAACAAAATTTACAAATCTCAATTGGCTCACAAGTGACTGCTGCTGAATTGGACAAAATTAAACCTAGTGCCTTTCACTTTGAACGTCTATACGATATTCACTGAGTGACTGGATCCAAATAGATAGTGGCCTGTGAACTCAAACCCTTAAAACTAAATTATAAATTTATTGATGTTTATTATAATCAATCGAAAAACTGCTTGTATTTAATTTTCGTTTTTTTAAAAACAATAATTAACCTGTAGAAGATGACATAATCCCGTATAAATGCATAGCGAAGAATAAGCTAAAACCGGTTTTGTACTGTGACCTAAACCATGTTTATGTGATCCTATCGGGTGACCTTCTTTATTGTAAGCCGCTACAGCAAAGGCATATTCTTCATTTGGGGTTAGATCGGTCACTTTTAAAACACTGGAACTGTTATTGCAAATGACCTAAAAAAAGAAATAGAAAAGTATTCTAATCAGTGATTAGATGTGTATTTGCTAAACGGATTTATGAATAACATTAATTACCCCAGACTGGAAAAGTTTAGAACACACTTTAACAGTCTATTATAAATCGTATTGATCTGAATTTGTTCACGTGCACATTCATATGAGTAGCTACATAAACCGTTTGGAATTGCGATAACATCTACAAACTATCTGACTGTGATCAGTTTGAACCAATTAGATATTTTTGCCACACAAAATGTAGCTTTCATGTCATGAATGGAAAGCAAAACTTTAGTCTTAATAACAAATTCGTCACAAAAATTATCTAAAGTTGTTTGCAGTTCGTTTCGTGTAGAAAGAAAAACCACTGATTCATGAAAAAAATATATAAATGAAGGTTAACAACCATACTATTAAGTCAGTTGTTTTTGAAAACAAATCATATATTCAGTTGGAGGTATGTGCTCAATGATGTTTGGAAGCGTCCAGATTATTGATATAAAACTTAGTGTCTATCACTGAATAAAATGTAACAAGATTAGAACATGAAACGCTTACAATTAATGAGTCATAGGTTTGCACTTTTCACTATTTACTTCATTTCGGAAAGTTGGGTAACTCTTGCTCAAGTACATGAACCTGTACCTCATAAAATGTGTTACATTCATAAGAAAAATCTTCCAAGCCATTTAAAGCAACATATTAGATCAGCACTTCTGAGTGTTTGTTCAAGATTTTAAATATTCACTAGTATATGAACATAGTATGCGTCGGCAACTGTTTTTCCAGATTTAAAGAAATGAAACAAAGCTAAATATACGAAGGTTTGACTTAATGCTGTACAATAGACTCAAAAATATTTTCAAAGAAAGCATGAATTCAAGAAATACTATAACAAAATGTAATAAGTTGATTACAATAAATAGATTGTTTTTATTCTCACCAAAATCCCGGTGTTGGTTAACTTATTATCAGTGATGTGAACTTTCTGATTGGATACAAATGTCTGTTTTCCGTATAGTGCATAAAAATGAACCTAAAAATATAAAATGACCATAAGCGTTCAGTGTGATTGAATGGAAAAGTTTGAAGTAAAGTCTATGTTATACAGTTTGTAAAAGTTATTATTAAGAAACTTTATTTCATTGTTACCTATTTGCTTTATTCGTTAACATGGTTATTTTGTATTTCATTTGCTAATTATTTTGTTTTTAGATATAAAACAATGAAGATGGTTTACATCACTGTTTAACATTAGCTAAAATGCTGTTAAAAATACTAGGAAGGGGGACTAGATAGTTGTTTCATTCTAGTTTAAGATCCCACAGCAATAAATACCCAAGAACCCATATCAAATGATTTATTAACATTTCAAAGCTTTCGAAATATCTCCGTGTTCTAATATTTAAAGAAATGAAGAAAGCTTTGTGTTGGTGAGATATTAATAAACTGAGTATAAAAGCAATTAGCATTTAGTTGCTATCTTTTTTTTATTAAATATGATCAATGATCATAACTAAAAGCTAATTTGATATGATCTTATTGCACATAAAGATTTAGTGAAACAAGAGACTTTCCTCTATGAATTCGAGTTGAATTTTTTCATACCATTAAAATGTACTCTAATGAAAACCGGTGAAATTACTCGATTTCTTGCACAAATATTTTCAAATTACCTGTTCTCCAGATAATGGATTCCACTTTTGTGTTTGAAATACCATTGAATTTTCACATTTAGCAATCACTATAGGTGGTGGCGGTCTATCAGACCGAAACCTTTCAGTAGCCAGTGTATTTTCATGTGGCTTACTCAAACCAGTTGATTGTTGACAATCGATTACTTCTTTACTACCAATAGAATGGAATTCATTTGACCATTTATTGAATAGTAGTTTTTCGGCAATCTGTTGGATAATGATAATGTTAATGAAATCATAATATGACAAATAAATAACATACAGGTTTCACTATGCAATGAATATATTCATACATGTGGTTGATAATTAGCTAGATATTTTGATTGACCCTTACTTTTCAAGTATAAATTAAGCAGAAAGCGATTGGATTCATTTTCATCTCTATTACATAACTTCAAACTTTTGAGCAACAATAAATATCGTTACATGTCTCCGTGATTTTTCATAACCTTTGACAGATAAGTTTCTATAAGTTTTCTATTTATTCTGTAACCAATTAAATTTGCCCTTGCCAGTTACGCGTAGCCCTGAGTGTTTTGTACATGTGTGTATGATAGTACGTTTGCAACTACCCACTTTCCGCATTTTTCTAAACAACGTAAGAATTGAATCATATTATTCTGAGTTCCTATAATATAGATCTTCAGTGCTTTATGCAATCGGTACACCGTTTTTCTAATTGTCCGCTTTTTAATAGTATTATGCCTGAAACATACATATGCCAAACGCAATTAGTATTCGACCTTTGATATACCACTATTCTAAAAGTTCCGCTTTCATACATAAAGATTGACTGAAAGGCCTGTGTTTAAAGTAATATTTGGCACAAATTATCCTTTATCTTGTTTATCAATTTGTCTTTTTATGGAACGTCAAATATAAATTTAGAAAGAACAAGGCAATTAAGGTTTCTGTTCTTTCTTTTGCCTAATACTAATCACTAACTTATCCAACAGCCAAACGTTTTGCAGTTAACTGAATAAGGACATGTTTATCGCTTTTATAATTTATGTTCATGGATCCACGTTAAAAAAAGGGGTACTATTCAATTCATGAAATAAAACAATTCACCGTTATAAACATTTCTGTCCATTAACAATAATATTTACCTTGTAATATTTTTTAGCTGTTTCATTGTTTACTTCAGTTTCTGCTTTAAGACAATAGTAAAATACTTTAGACATTTTATTTCGGCCACACTGTTTGAGTGAATTTTCATCCATTTGTTCAATTTTCTTGTGCACTTTTTCTTTGGACATTTCATTCAAATCACACCACGTTAACCATTCTGAAATATTTTAGAAAAAACAAATCAAGGTGATTTTCATGTTTATTCAATACAATTTTTGTTTTGTTATCAAACTACCATTCAAGTGAATATAAGTGATAATCTTTCTCTGTGAACCTAGATAATAATGGTATAAAGTTAGCTTTAGCTCTTAGACTATATAAACATTCCTACTGCTAGTAATTTCAGCAAAAGCTCCTTCTCTTTGAAGATAGAAATCTACACATTTGATTAGTCAATCGCCACTAGACACCTAAGCATATATCATTTTACAAAGAAATAAATCGATACAAAAAACTGCAACGTCACGCATATGGATAAATTTTGCGTTAGGTCGGTCATATATTAATTCTTATTATGAATAATTTCAAAAGCCTGTTGAAGTTGTATATTGTATAAAATACTTGAAGAGAACTGGAAACACATGTATGTGTAAAACTAGACAGATTTCTTCTTATTTAAATAGAAATTTTAGATTCTTATGTATTTAATTTTCATTCTGTACTCATAACACCAAACTGTTGAACAAAAACGTGTTTCAAGTGAACATTCGGTTCAGATTTTGAAAAAGATATCTCTGTTGAAATATAAATGCATTCCATTACGAAGATATTAAGTTAAGAGAAACGATTATATTGGATCCCATGGTTAATCAATATGCAAAATAAGAAATATTAAACCATTTAAAGTGTTTCTATAATTCACCAAGCCTTGAATATTATTGTATATAAATAATTTACACAGACTTACCTAAATTTCGGAGTTTCCATCGGATTGTGTGCTCGAACCACAACAGTTCAACTTGTAGCTCTGAAAGACTATTAATTTCCAAATTCTTCGGCTTGATTTTTTATATAATGAAAAACACAGTTCGTAGTGTTAAAATCATCATGATAATCTACTAGCTGACATATATTTTAAAGCTTTATCGGTGAGACTATAATTTATGAACGACCTTTGAGCAACGCTAGACTGACCTTGTGAGTGTCCACCTAATAACCAGGACCAAATGAGGACTCGAAACCTGTGTGAGGAATGACAGTTATGATTTACAGTTGATGATTAAGGTTAGAAACTAGGTTTACGGTTTTCATCACGAACTGACGTCAGCTATAATCACAAAACTCTATTTATCCAAATGGATAAGTGAATTTCGCACCGAAATCCGAAACCTGCTATCCTATACCTGATTGGTTCGTTCATAAATTATAGTCTTACCCCTCTACCTATTTTGTAAACACTTTGACTTCAAAACATCAATAAATTAACAAATCAATGTCATCTGATCAGGTTTAACAAGAACTGAACGTTAATCGAACAGAATAAATTTATTGCTCGATGGTAAGTCCATTAAAATGACAATCATTTAGTCATTAGTTAAACTTTGTCCATAGTAATAAATATGACTCACAGCAAATTGAAAATAAGAAACCAAATGAAGAAATTCTTTTACTTATTTAAAAAACTATTTCAAAAATGTACTGAATTTACTCGATAGATATAAAACTGGTATCACGATTATAATAATGAGTAGTATTTTACATTTTGACTAAACAAACGAGTAATTAAATGCTATGAATCTAGTGTTAGATAATAAATAATTAAATATTGTCATCATTTCATTCATATTTCAGTAGTAAACAATTTAGATTTAGAAATTTCACTGGTTGAAATCATGAGTCAATTGAAGCTAGACCACCATGGAAATCTCCACAAAACCCATTCTGATAATAATATTAATCACCTGCTCACTAGTGACTGACTTCAGGAGACACTCCTGGGGTTCTAGTGAGAAGTCGTTACCAGTGGAGTTCAACTAGGTCTGTTGGGAGATAGAAACTCACTGAAGACAATAGTGTACGGCGGCGCAACTTCATGGATTGGTTGAATTTAGACATTAACGCCGTTGGAAGCCGGCTCAGTGGTCTAATGGTCAAGTGCTCGCGCACTAAACCAATAGGTCCCGGGTTCGAATCCCGCGGGGTGTGGGATTGTGGATGCGCACCGCTGAGGAGTCCCGCGCCAGGACGAAACGGCCGTCCAGTGCTTCCAGGTTTTCCATGGTGGTCTAGCTTCAATTGACTCATGATTTCAACCAGTGAAATTTCTAAAAAATCTCCACAAAACCCATTCTGATAGTTTAGATTTAGTTCCTTTTTACAACCATTTGATAAAAAATGTATTATTGAAGAAGGAGTTGAATCTGCCATTGTTTAGAATTCTATGTTATTCGTAAAAACCGACTGTTTTATTCTTGATTTAATGTATAACTGAAACTATTGAATATGAGGATTATGTATTTATTTAGTTTTTCTATGGCGATGCGATTCGTTTTCAAGGGAGAATAATTTGATAGTCTACTAGTATTTTATCAATTTTTAAATTTATGAATGATTCAAACTGATACAACAACACTTATATATTTGTAAATGCATCTTTAACAACAACTTATTTAAATCCATGTTGCATAAAGTCATATTACACATGGTACTTACATGATTTATTTGAAGGAATATCATTCTTTTACTAATCATATTGCGTGACCAGTAAATTATATCCATTACTTTATTCCATATACCAGTCCAAAGATCAATTAAACATATGGCTAACTTATCGTTTTCATTGCATTCTGTAGCACCTTAAGGAAATTACATAACAAAATCATTAGATTTTTAAGAAAAAAGTTTGTTTCTTCCTAAAAACAAAAAGTTAACAGATAAATAACTAACTAGTGACTAATTAATGAAACGATTCATTTATAATATTCTTCAACAGGTTATTCAATAATAATAAGATAAATTACTGGTTACTCTTCTGCATAATGTGTTTTACGTTTAAGAAATCAGTAACTGGAAACTAATGAACTGAAAGGATAGTCCAATGACATTTAATATCTAGAAATCAATTTATTCATAAGTTATAGAGAATAAAATGATCAAATGCTAAAGATTTTTCTAGATAGAAAAATCATTGAAAACAAAGAAAATTAACCTTTTTTAAGTCACTAATTCGTACAAGGTAATAGTGTGGTGTGAATTACTTATATCCACATAAGTAGTATATAACGGCGGTCAGGTATAGAATGTATTTCAGTAGAAGGTCGTTAAGGAAAAAACGGGAATGGACCGCAATTGGTCTGAAAATACATGAAAAATGAAATCTGAGACAATGGACGACTGAACAGTCGTGTTTGAGACGTTGGATAAATATTTTGCAAATTAACTATGTACTATATGGTTCTCAGATTTTAGTGAGATACTCTGCTTGATAAATTGTGTACTCAATGCATTAAGTAAGCATAAGAGAGGAACCGTTATTGAATAATTCATTTGTAATTTGGAGTTATATTTTCTCTCGGCCAACAACTAGCTTCCACACTATTAACTATCCTATAATTTATCATTTTAGACTATCACTTTCCAATGTAAATTTGCTTGAAATATTCATGGTTTACATACGATTCATTGAAATATCGTACACAATAAGTTTTTTCGTTTAAAAATGATTATTTCAGTCAATAGCAAAATTATAGGCAAAATGGATGGTGGCTAGCAGTAGAATCCAGAACGCACGTTTTTTCTATTTGGGACTCATCAACTGGATGTACCTGAACAGTGCTGGGTTCGATTCTCAAAGTGAACATCCACTCTGACTTTCAGGTACAGCCAGCTAACGAGGATCAAATAGAACGAAACACAGTATCGAGGCTATTCGCACAAGATGCGCATATGTCAATTACAGACTGATCAATTGCAGTCCTAAACATCAGTGAAAAGATACAAACAAACAATAAAAAATGAAATTGATATCAAAATTAGTAGCAAGTAAATGAAAGTTATTGGACTCTGAACCTACCACAAACATCATCTGGTTTCATTTGTAACGTTAATGCTTTTAATAGTAATTTAATATTCATTGAATCTAATAGAAAATTTTGACTTGATTCTTTCCTTGAATTATGATGAAATAATTTTTGCTCAAACATTTCCGTAATCCATATAACATAAAATATGAGATTACATGACATTAAACCATCTGCTACATCAATGTTTAACGATTCAAGTAAGGTCTTCATAAGACTAAATAAGTAAAGAATCTAAATAAAATGAAAATTAAAATAATAAGTGATGTATTTTATATGTTTATATTACAAATATGTAATTGAATTGAACGTGAAATAGATACATTTATGCCTATACAAACTAATTCTATTTTTCATGTCTATTTTGGATAATTATTAAAAACTTAGCTAATTCAAGATCATGAATTGATAAGAATATGGAAAATTAAATTAATTAGTAACTAATTTATAAGAAGCAATCAATTGAATATTCAGATTGTTTATATCTAACTCATAAACAAATAATTTTTTAAGTTGTTTTGATCAGATTTAGCAGTTTTTCATTCATGCTATCTTGAAGAATTCATACGGTTTACAGTTCTTTTTTGAATGTCTTAGACTAGTATAGGCTTCATTCATAGAAATGTGTTACTACTTGATTCAATATGCCCTAAATTTAGGCAACATAATGCAAATTTCTGCAATGAACACAGCTGATGATAAGAACTTGAAAAAAAAGTTATATTCGACAACTTTAACTGGCAACAATAGCATAAGTAAATTCTAATGGAAGTAATTTTATTTACTCTTTTGATCTTAATATTGTTCATTTACGGTTTGAATCAAATTTGAATATGTTCTCCTTGCATACAAGTTTTGTCTAAAGGATCTCCTATAAATCATTTATAATATGGTGAAGTTTCTATATGAAGCTCTATAAATATTATGGAACTAATGTGCAGTATTGTATAAAATTAAATGTTGCAAACATGAGGATAGTTATTACAGAAATCTTTAATCAAATCTTACTAGGTTTTCGCAGTAATGATTGTCATTTCAATAATTAAGCGTGGAGGTTGTCAGTGTGACATGGTGTCATGGTATAAAAGAAAGCTGTACAGGACCGGCTTCAGTTGTTCATTCACAACTCCCTGATTGAGGCCTTAGAGATGGTACAACACAGTGGCTATAGAAGTTATCAAATATGGCTCAGATTAGAAGTCATCGGCGATCCTGCTGTAACTTTATTTTACTTTCTTCATAAAAAAGACGTAACTTTTTTAACTGAGAGAATTCTTTCTGGTTGTATCATTGCTAACTGAACTGCTCCTCCCATTATTATTATTTCACTATCATACACTAATTTCTATTCGTTATTGTTTCCCTTTTTCTTATACGCACTTTACATTCTCCATCTCTTCACACGTTCATTGTTATTGTGTGCCACATATGTATTTGGTGCCCCTTTGTACCAATATTTATGTGTTCAAATAAATATATGGGTTTTTCACAATTATCACATTGCGTTCATAACAAAAGCAGAATTTCAAAATAAGTTGTCAAATTGAATGTCAATCGACTTTCTGCACTCTAAAGTGACGTAAAATATTTGTCTATGATCTGGTAGCCAACTTAAATAACCAATATTTTCATTAAAATTGAAAACTAAACCCCCATGATATGAGATATAGATTACTTGATTTATTACCTTTGTATAAATTGTTCTATTAGATCTCTTTTTTGAAAATTACATAACATGTCTATTTTTCATAAGCCCATTTAAAAGTTCATTTAATCAGATAAAATAGCCTAACAGTATAGGGGTTGTGGAGATTGTTAATTTTTGATTGAGACCATGAGCCGATTGATGTTAAACCACCATTGAAAACCTGGAAGCACTGGACGGGCGTTTCGTTCTACTGTGAGACTTCTCAGCAGTGCGCATCCACGATCCCGCTCGTGGGATTTGAACCCAGGGCCTTCAGTCTCACGCGCGAACGCTTAACCTACTGGACCACTGAGCCCGCATCTAACGGTGTTAATGTCTAACCTCAGCCAATTTACGAAGTTGCGCAACCATCTTCCATTGTACTGAGGTAGACACCTGTTTCTACCCGACACGGATAAGCTCCACTGGTCACGGCTTCTCACCAGAACTCCAAGAATTTTCTCACGAAGCTAGTAACTAGTGAGCAAATGGTAATCACCAGTATAGGGGTTGTAAAGATTATTAAGTTTTGATTGAGATCATGAACCGATTGGTTTAAATTGGTAATAATATACATCCTATGATATTAATCATTTATCCCAAATATTGAAGTATTATAAAAGACTCTGTTACTAATAAAATGAAGTGATTAAATTTCTGATAACCTTTTTACATCATCAATTTAAAAGATCTTAGTGAAGGTCGTTTTATTTTTCTCTAAATGATTTTATTTCAATAAAAGAATCTGTTTTTACCTAGTCATTTATAAATATCAAGAAAAAATAAAGATTAAAATAATCAGCTTTCTTTGTTTTCTATATTGATTAATAGTTAAATAACAAATTTTAATGTTTACTTACTCCAATTAGTTTCATTTGAATTGTGTTGAAATATTCTATTTTCAATTTATTCTGAATGAACCATTTATGACATAATATATGACAATAATCCCATAATACTATAATAATATCTATCAAAATTGCAGTATCATACATAGAGATCTATTGTAATGTTTAATATAAAATCATATTCACATTTACCTGAAGTTCATCTATTTTCTTAACGATATTATCCAATTTTTGTATTAATTTTAATATACCTTTTGGTAAAAAGTCTGATTATTAAGACATATATAGGATACTATATATTTATGTAACTTACTTAAAATTAATGTTTGATTATGTAATAATCTAGTTGAATTTACTTCTTTATCACTATCCAAGAAATCCATTGCCTATACCAATTAAGTAAACAATAAAATGATGGTAAGCATTTTAAACAAAGTTTAATAGTGACTAGTAGAAGAAACCAGAATGAGCGTTTCTTTCCATTTAAGACTAATCAGTTTGATACATCTACACTCCAATCTTGATATCAAAGTAGAATAAAGTAACTGGTATCCTTTTATTTGTGTGTTAGTTGATGCTAAACTTTCAAACGTTTGTAATTCTTTCTTTGATGTGTTTTGTTCTTGGGTATTCATGTTTTGCTTTGAGATCTAACAGCTAGATCCCAGAGTATTTTTAATATTACCAATTGTTGACACAAATTCGAAAAACATCTACTTCCTAACTATAACAAGATGAAATAAGATTTGTAAGATACAGTATTTTTTATTCTTGACAAACTACCCCTTAGGCATTCACTATTTTAATCTCACATACAAAGCGTAGATTTTTCTAAATACTTATCAGGCTTAATTTAAATGACTTACTACCAAACGCGTTAATTCCATAAATTTATTATTCGATTAACTAATTACTTATGAATTATCCAATGATATGTATAAAATATTATTATACTCACTAAATAGGACTATAATCATTATATTCCGACGAAATAAAAGTCACCCACTTATAAATAGGGTGAACCTATAATATATCAGCACGAAAGTATTAGGACAAATCCCAGACCAGTAGATCTAGTAACAGTATTGATGGTAACATAAAGAAGATATCATTTAAGTAGAAAGAACGTATTCAATGAATAAAAAGTATAAAAAATATCTTAGAGCTCAAGATCTAAGCAAAGATAAACTGTGAATAGGTTCAAGCTATCGGGGACGACCCTAGCCATATCATCAGAAGTCTCTAACTATTAGTTATGATAACCAAAAGCACTCAAACCAAGTGGTCTACACCTGCCTACACTGCTCAGTTTGAAAATTGATGACTGATGTCTATTCTTGGCTTTGCCCTCCCTAGTTTGTACCAGTTGTACTTCAAAAGGTATATAAATAGATCACATAATATATACTTGAAATGATAGATCTCTTCCCAACAACGTAGTTAAGTACAACACAACTTATTAAACGATCAAAATACTGGTTGAATCCTCTTTTCATCAACATACTCTTAACGTTCTAATATAGATAGTCTGTAAGACTTTATCAATTCCAGTCTCCGAGATACCACATTACTCAATGAGTGTCATTCAATCATCATCTAGAGGAAAAGTGGATCGTAATATATTCAAAGTTTCATTTAACTTCGTTCACCCTATTTCATTTCACTAGTATTAAATTTGTGAAATTTAGATACCTATCAGTCTGACAGGTAGCTTGTGTTTGGTTTTACTAAAGAGACAACTAGGTGAATTCACTTCATTAATTGTGGCTATTAACATTTATGAATGACAACAGAACAGTAAACAGCTTCACATTTTTGAAAATCTAGCAAAAATAAGATAATAGATTATTAATCTGACTTGGTTCATTTCGCCATGTGATTTATTACATTAAAATTTATGAAACTCAACTGCATAACATATACCTACTTTGTTTGACTATTTACACACGAACCATTATAGATGTGCCTGTTGACAAAGTTACACTAAGTCCAAGATCACTGTATTAGTAAGCATGAAATTGTAAGTTTAGTTTTAACTTTCGTTCACTTCTATGAATACCTTCCATAGAACTCAATTTTACTGAAAGATTTAAACTCTCAAGTTACCATGTTAGTTGAGAATGCTACAGTTATTCATTACTGATAAACATCAGCTATTTACAAAATCTACTTATGTACATCACCTTTCTATTGACCAGTGAATATTGCTAAACTATTCATTCCTTTTTCATAGCCGAATTCTGATAATAAGATTCACCTGCAACACCATATGTTCAGTGCATCCTTTTAAATTTCTTACTTTGATAAATTCAATTGACCATATTTTGACTGTGATATTCTTAAAATCTATTTATTTATAATACATCATTGATAACGAACTAAATTCTATTCATCTCTAGCAAGTGTTTGAGTTCTGTCTTAATTAACTGGACTGTATATTACTTAAGTTACAACAAGATTACACCTTCCTATGAACTTACCGAATTTGATGTATCCGGTTGTTTCATAGAACTTTTACTTAAATTAGCCGCTGGAGTTTCTTGTACAATAGGGTGTTGTAATACATCCTCTATTATCTCGTTTTTATTCAATAATTTTATTGACAATTGTGCAGAGTGTAACGCACGAAGTAACTCCAATGTATCAATTTGTGCTTGAATATACTGTATAAATTCTTTAGGTGCTTGTTCTTTAATTAGATCTGATAGTTTTTCCTGTTGGTAAAAAATAATTTAGCGATTTAAATCAGTTAAATCATTGGGTTTGTATTGCTGCGTTATTAATGTCAATGAATAGCACAAATCTTATTTAGAATATCAATTAGAATTAAGAAAGAAAGCAACTTCATATATAATTGATTAAAGAGATTTATTTAACATCAGAATTACAAAAAAATTACTGCTATGGTGTGTGTCAGTTATGTTGATATAAGTAGTATATAACGCTAGTCTTACACACAGAAGGTTGAGAAGATCGAAAAGAAAAGAACGGGAACAGAAAGCAATTGGTATGGAAATGCAGGAACAATGAAGCCTGAGACAATTAATAAGCATTTTGCAAATGACGTATTTTCTGTATGGTTCTCAGATTTTACTAAAAGGTTCTGTAATTTTGTGTTCACATACAATTAGTTTTCACCGCTTGTGTTCTCGTTCACTACACTGTTATGACTTTTATGAATTCTTTTAGAGTTAAAAGATCTACATGAACTATCTCAATAAAGAGGTGACAGAGAAATCAACATCAATTTTTGTACTAGATAAAACTAAATAATATGTGTGGGAAGCATAGTTGGAGAACTTTATACTTTGAGTGTTGATCATTCATTTATTTATATTTGCAAATGTATGATACATGTGTAAAAATCAGTAAATTATATCAGATATGTTAATTGTTCATGTGATGGCTTTTCCATTGTACTACCAGTTCTTCTTGTTTCAATGGCGTTTAAGTTAAATAATTAGATGAATAAATCATATTGAAAGTAATCATGGTAGTTCAAATTACCTTCCTTACTACCTTTGTCTAAATATCTGAGCAATCACTAAATAAAAGTGATGTTTAATGGATTATAGACATCACGTTTCAGGTAGACAACGAAAAGTAGTTTAGAATAGCATCAATTCGGCATCCAGCAGAATAAAAAACATATGGTTAATCGTTTAGAAAAGCTTAAATGTAAGATAATGATTTAAATCATCAACTTGTTTTAGTTGCATAACAATATTTCCCTACTCACTACTGAAACAAATACATTAAGAAACTGTCTGTTGAATAGACTGATACCATTCATCCCATTTTTCTTTGTTCTTACAACTGTCTTTTAAGAAAACTAGGTCCAGTATTCCTAATTAAGAAACTATGAATACTTTTTTAGTTATATTCTAAACGATATAATATTTTAACTTTCCTACTATATCCCGTATAATGTAAAGAGTATGAGTATGAGTTTCTTGCCACATAACTGTACATCACATGGATGACAATTAATTTGACTTATAAAACAAAAACGAACAGAATTCTGTCCATCTGCTTTTCATGAAATAAGCTTTAAATATCATGAATACTTTAAGGTTGGTCTCACTTGTACTTAGTGATTATTACTATGAAATTCTATATTCGAAGTTTTACAACGTAACATTAATCTTAAGTATAGAAAATCAATATGGTATTTAGAATACACTTTTACTGTACTTTTAGCCATGAAGAAGACCTATGCTTCATCCTAATTGGTTTGCGAAAGCTTGACGCATCCGTAAACTATAAAATATTGATGATTCCTATAGGATTCTAACCTACATCACTCAGTGTTGTAATCAGGAGTTTTACATTTTTAATGACAATTCTTTACCTCTTAAAGATAATATACGAATCAGTATCTGGATGAACAATATTTTTGTAGTTCAATAAAATAAAATTACTGGCTTTTTATACTTTAATTGAAGGTAACTAAAATATTTTACTTACTTCGAAAACATGCAAAGTATCTCGTGATACCAAATCGAAAATATCGTACTGAGCACATGCAAAATAGATTTGTATTAATTTCATCAAACTATCTATTGTACAACTAACGTTTGTATTTATAGTTGATGAAGGTATTGCTTTTGATTCTGATGACAATTCTCCGTTTTCATCATATTCTTCGGCGGAATCATGGTAATTGTACTGATAATGAATTAAATCTAGTTGTGTCCATTTCAAAAATTTTGTTTCATTCAATGCTATTGTATGATTTATTAAACCTGTAGAAGTTTTCTCTCTATCTACTGGTATTTTACGAATGACGTGTATTCCAGATAGAAAATTAGGAATCAATTTTTTAGAAGAATTTGCTGAGTCAAGAAAAAATTAAATAAATGAAAATGATTTAACACTTTCTTTCTGTTTGGACCAATTATTGTTTTAAAGTAAATTAATTTAAATAACGAAAGTAATTCACGTTCTCATTGAAGGAGACCTAATCGATATTTATGAAAGAAAATAGTTCAATATTTCATATGCAATATTCAGTATTATACATTCACACTATCCCCTGGATAATATCATAGTGATATTTTCAGAAAATGTTGTGTATTACCCTAAAAACCAATATTTCCGGCTGGTCAGCAACTTTTATCATGTTTGGAAAACTGGAATATCTTTGAAATTAGTTATGAAGTTTCCAAGCCAATTTTTATCACTGAATAAGCTCATATTTGTTAGCAAATTAAAAATGTTTTGGTTAATTTGAAGACCTTAGGTATCAATGCTCACGATCCACCAAAGTACCACAGATATATTCAGTCTTTATTTTGCTCAGGATTCGCAGTTCTTATTTTTTCTTACACTATGTATGACTTTATTTTGTTCGTCTTTTCAAAATTCATTATTTATTCCGACTTCTCAGATATTCATCTTACTAATCTCAACTTACTACACTGATACGGTGTCATAACTTTACCCGATGAACACTTATATCAGATTGTATGCCAATTATCATTGACTGATTGCGTTTAATTTAATTATTTACTTACTTGCGTACAACGTTTACTTTTTAAATCACTGTTTGCAGATAACTTTTGGATAATTTTTTATGACAAGCATACAAGCATAACTAATTGATGACGGCAAAATATCAGTAGTTTATCTAAGAGTGGAGAACTACAAAATCAATTTGTTTACAATTTGTGTGTAACGAATAATGATCCGAAATACGGGGAAAAGGGTAAATAATTATTCAAAAAGTAGTATATTTACATGAAAACATGAGGACAACTAACTGTACAACGCTAAAAATTGCATATATATTGGTTTTTGTGTATGTTTTCTATCTTTAAGGTTGCTTAAAAAATAACCTGATCTTAATTATTAATTATTATGATTATTATTTAAAATTAACAATGTTTTGTGGAGTAAATTACATAGTTAAATTCTTACTTACGATAAATTAACTCCATTGACGCAATAAAAAGTTCAGTATAAACGTCAGACATTTCCCAATCAGATGAATCTACTGGTGGTTTTGGTGTGATTAAACTTCTTCTTTCTCCAGGCTTTAAGCTTAATGCTTCTAAAATAGCTAATATTTGAGCAGATGAATTTGGAATTAATTGATTTAGATAACGTTCAGTAATTGTTCGAGGCCATGAATGCTGTACACAATATGAAAATATTTTAAATACATTTAATGAATAACGGTCAAACAAATTGATTTGTAGATATATTATTGTGGAACACTTTAAGAAATCAAGACATTTTAACAGTAATAAATAAATTCGAGCTATTAAGAAACCAGGCCACGGTTACAATATATAGGAATTATAATCCATGAACTGCTTTACCGGAGAATTGACTTAAAATGTTCTGGATAATTCACTTAAGTTAGAAATATCTTCCTCATTACATCAGTAGAAATAATTGCAATTAAAAGTTACAAACTAAATAAGTTAAGTAAAAAAAAATGAAAAACAACGCAGAAATTAGGCACTTATTCGTTAAAAATATAATTTAGATATAATTCATTAACTGTCAAAAAGCTGCGCGATAACAGTTAATCTAATCGAACTTTAAGTCAGTCAGTCAGCAACAATGTAGAACTTCGAACCTATGTACATTAGTTCAAGTTGTCAAACCACATTAGCACAGAGATACAATTGTCTATTCAAATCCCATAGTGGTATAAGGAGCAATCGGAAAGATTAGGATTTGGAGATGTATTAAAGCTTCAAACCGCTTTCTAATCTCTTTGATCTATGCTGCTAGATAGTAGCACTACCCTTTACAAATAAACTAGTGTCAATCAACGTAGAGTATTCAATTTTGATCAGTGAGTTGCACCACCTAAAACATCGTTAATTAGTATCTATTTAGAAAACTAAATATAGTTGTAGTGAATTCATATTCACAGTGATAACCATGTGAGAATAACTATATTTCTTTTCGTATTCCATAAAAGTGAAATATCCAATATTTTCGAGCAGTTTTCCGTTCAATTGGGATTTCTGCATATGTCTTCTATAAACATGACACAACAGCGCATCCAAACTTCACGAGTGAAACAAGTAAATAAAGTAGGAGTGAAAACTTGAATTGAAATTTGTGGTGAAAATTGCACGCTTATGTGCAGCAATCATCCACTAACTGAACGAAATCAATGCTCGTAAACGCTAAATACTTCATAATTATACAAAACTGAAAAGCAGACCTGCTACAATTTTACAGATACGCGTCTCATTCCTGAGAAACTTGGTGTTTGCAAGTCACTGTTATTGAATTTACAAAAAGACATGTACATATGCTGTTTATTCATAATATGATTCTGAAATGTAAAAACGTATACAAGAAGAATGAGAATTACGCTTTATCGTGATAAACAAAACACCTTGAACGTTTCATTTTTAGCGGTTAACAATAAAAATGAGTTTCCATAAATATGCATAGTTAGAACCAATAGCGCCTTATCTTGAATTGTTTCTATCAATCTATCTGACCTTAGTTCATTGGAAAAAAACCGGTTGTTGCAACATTTTTTTGTAAGTAAACAGTGGAATATCACTTTTAATAAAAGTAAAACTGTCTTCTTAACATCACAGTTGCAGTTAAAAAATGAAAATTCTTCACCAAAAAATTTCTTTTCACGTGTATAAGTTATTTTACCCCGCTATAATTAAAACAGGAAGACAATCACTATTATTTTCATTGTATTGACCTAAGTAATTTTTTCTTATAATTAGAAGTTTATCATTCCAACCATTTAACATTTTACTTATTCACCATGTGTTTCAAAAATCTATGAAAGAATCAAAGATTGAATTACACAAAAAGCTCACTGTGTATAGCTCACGAAAAAGTTACGAATGGTTCCTATATTTGAATAATTACTTTGAAACTAACCTACCTGTAATAGTGTAGCAAATTCAACTCTGACTTTTGGTCGGAGATAACCTTGTGGACGTTTACGTGATTCAAAGACAGATCGTTTAAACACCATGGAAGAAAGCTGTATTTACAAATTCATAAAATGTTATCACTTTTTTGAACGTGTTTTATATAAGATAAGGATTATGATGAAATAAATATCATAAAACATAATGTTGTACAAAGCATTTGCTAAATTGTAAAATTTATCATAAAATGGTTTATTATCATTATTATTATCGGAGTTTACTTATTAGTTAATTATTCAATACAATGCACACTGTAAGCTGGGTTATTATACGATCGAATAAATCAGTCGGTTTAAACTAAATAAATACTGCAAGGTTAAATTGCTTCATTTCATTTCAGTAAAATAGTATGACGTTTACAAATACTTGAAGTGTCAATAAAAACGGCTTTATACAGATAACACATTTTGTTATTTTATTCTTTATTCATCTTTCTTAATATTTAATTATCCAGCGTTTAAAGATTCACAACTCACTATTGACTCTTTTAAATTATTCCATCAAAATCATGATAAATAATTTCTCACGTTCATATTCATTCTATCTTTATAATATCTAATCGCGGTTTATGCTCATGAAATAATTTTTCAGCTGTATTGAATTCAGTCAGTTATAATTATGATGAATTCAAGCCGAACTATCACTAAATTTATTGGTTCGAATAAAATTTCAGTAACTAATCTACAGCTGATTTCTTTTACTTAGAAAATTCCATAAACTTGCCTATCTGCTAATATATTTGAATAACAAACTGTTTTCACATGAATTGTATGCACTATCAGCACTCAAGCAAACTGGCTGTTCCTATTTTATAAACATAAATATTAAAATAACTAGACTCTGCCACACTAATATCTTGAGGCTCTAGTAAAACCAGAAAACTGTCATGAATACCAGAGCCTAAAAAGTTTGTGATATCTCCATAATTATATCTTCACAATAAATTTAGCTCCCAAAGTTGCAAAATGTATTAGTTTAAACATATCATTGGAAGAAATTAAATTCTACTGTGTTTACAAATCAGTCAGAATACATTCCATGTATGTTTTCAGGATGGTTTCAATAGCTCATAACACAATGGCTACTTTTAAACAAAACTCCTGTCAAAACTAACATGTCTAGGGATCTCAAAGATAGAACATTCTTCCAGGATTTTCGTGGTTTCATTTGGTAGCATTAGTCATCGAATTGTTGACCAACAGGTTGTTTGATCAATATCATCAGACTAAGTGAAACTAAGGTTTTTTTTACTTCACGTCAGAAGAGGAAACTAATATTTTCAAAAAAATACACATTTCATCTAAGTAAAAATCGTGACCGTGTAAACGAAGTATTTTGACACAATCGCATTGTTCATATACAAACTGCTAGTTTGTTTATGAGTAGGAATGTGTGCAATTAATTCTGTGTAGATATTGAACTGCTTTTAAGGTCAGTTTTCTGACAGAGTAGTAAACTCAAAATAAATTAGCCGTGGTTTTAAACTTTTCAAACTTCCGAACTAAATAAGGTGTTTTTATCATACCTAAAACTCCATAGTTCATAGACTATCTTGTATTTTCGAAAATATTTTAAAAGATTGGTGTAACAGCTTTGGTGAAAATTTTCACAGAGTGAATACCATCTATTCAATGATACCGACTGAATGACAGAAATTGTACTAGGTGTTTAAAGAAATGAAATGTTTTGATATCATTCCTCTTTATGCAAACTTCTTAGCATATTCGGTAGCAGTAATGAGGGTGGAAAAAGGTTAACGGTAATTTATGTTTTTACATACTTCGATAGCAACCACGTGAAATAAATTACTGGAGGTGGTCGACATCAAACTTTTCTCCCGGTCCCGTAGTTGATGCATCTCAGCAAAATCAACCAGCGATTTTCTTGCCAGAGCCTATTCGATCGAAAACAAAGATCAATGATTACCACTTGCTTATAACCGTCTGGATATTTTGAAATGCGTATATAGAGAGAATAAAAAATAACTTCAGTAAACATGCTACTTTCGAGAAATGAGATGTTAGTATTTATATGGTTCGCTCACTCACTTATTTTGTTTTTCTTTTAATTTTCTGGAAAAGTATCTGTGGGTGCTCCAACCTGGTTTATTTTTGAAATCTCTGTTTATCTAAAGATAAGACCACATACTTATTACATCAATAATATATGTGGATGTTTTAAGAACCCCTTTGCATTTTCCATATTTTAAATCTCCTTGAACGCTTAGTTATTTGCGTACGACTTAAATAAGTCGAAAACTTGATTTTCCTTTCTGTTCAAACAGTCTAAATACCTGTCATTTTCACTGATTTTGCAAATTCAGTGCACTTTGCTAACTTAATTCAAGGTAATTTATATGTGCAATCGTTCTGAGGTTTTGCCATTTATTTTTAGTAACAACGTGTGGTACAGAATTCGACTTTCTGGCTCAAGACTTACTTACGCCTGTTACTCCTCGTGAAGGAGCATAGGCCGCTCATCAGCACTCTCCGTCCAACCCTGTCATGGGCAATCCTTTCCAGCTGCTTCCAGTTCCTATCCATCCTTTTCATATCTGCTTCTAGTTCCCGACGTAATGTGTTCTTTGGCCTTCCTCTTTTCTGTTTCCCCTCAGGATTCCAAGTTAGGGCTTGTCTCGTGATGCGACTTGACGATTTCCGTAATGTATGTTCTATCCGGCCAATGGATGTTGAGTATCTTCTGTAGACAACTATTTATAAATACTTGTACCTTCTTGATGGCGGTTTTAGTTCTCCAATTTTCAGCTCCGTACAGTAGAACTACCTTGACGTTCGTATTGAAGATTCGCACTTTGATATTAGTTGAAAGTTGTTTTGAGTTCCATATGTTCTTCAATTGTAGGAATGCGACCCTTGCTTTGCCAATCCTCGCCTTTACGTCTGCATCTGAACCTCCTTGTTCATCGATGATGCTTCCCAGGTATGTAAAGGATTCTACATCTTCCTGAGTTTCACCATCAAGAGGGACTAGATTGCTGTTCTTCTCTTTGAATTTGAGGTTCTTGGTTTGCCCCTTGTGTATGCTGAGGCCTACTGATGCAGAGACTGCTGCTACACTGACTGTCTTTATCTGCATTTGTTCATGTGTATGCGATAGGAGGGCCAGGTCATCTGCGAAGTTCAAATCGTCTAATTGATTCTGAGCTGTCCGTTGTATTCCGTGTTTGCCCTCAGATGTCGAGGTCTTCATAATCCAGTCGACCACCGCAAGAAACAGGAAGGGAGAAAGTAGACAGCCTTTTATGGCTCAAGAGTATGTGGATAAATAACGGGAAAAGTACAGTGAACAACTGTAGCTGTTTCAGTGAAAACTAATCATCCTGCCTTTACCCAAGTCATTAAGTTGTTTTATTTAATTTATTCATAAAAATCACATAAAGTAAGCCTAAAGCTTTGTCATGTTTAGGTTCTAGTTCAATATATCATTGTGACTGTTTGCAAGCACTGAAAATGCTTAGCATCTGAAGCATTTAAAACATCTTTGGCAATTTAGTATAGACACTTTGTTTCTTTGAAACATCTTAGGATTCTTAAATTAAAGTATCACGAATCTAGAGTTTTCTGTTATCTCAATAATTGCATAGTTTTGTCTAAATAGGATTTAATGACACATTCTTAAGCCACATAATAAGTTTTGTCTGGTTGTTTAGAATATATGATCATTGATTAGCCCTCTTACAGGTGCTCTAAGAATGAACAAGCATATCATGTCAACCGAATCAATATATTTTACGAACAATAAAACAACTGTGCAGTGTCTCCGATGTAGCGAATAAGTTTCATTTTTAGGACACAGATAACAGACATATTTGGTTAATCACTTGAACAGTAATAATAATGACTTCTTATACATATTTTAGTTATCATTACGATTTCTTACAGAACCAAATTACTCAGTGAAACAGGTCATGTATAGTATTTAAAATAAAAATTACATTTAATTGTGAATTCAAACACCAGTATTATAGTTTATGAAAATTAACTTTAGTAATATAAATTAATTTACCCTTGAGACCTTGTCAACGAAAAACTCTCAGCTCCAAACATACATTATTGTAGTAAAGCTTTTTCAAGTACTGCAAACCAAAAGGTTTATCATTCAAACCACACTATATAGACCAACTCATTTCAGAACAGCTGCCCCCAAGCTTTTAAAGACAATTTTTTATTTGTTGCTGGAGGTAATGTTCATACTATTGTAATGACGAAAACCTTTGACTTTTTTCTAGCCTGCAGATAATGTGAATAATTCATGAGTTCACAACTACTACCGGTCTTCCCACGCTTGTCTACTAGTGTACTATTCAAATGTAACTTACTATCACTAGCTTGTTCTTTCTTCAAGTGCTGCCAAAACTTTTTCTATTTTATCAATAAAAATTGCGTTGTTCAAAATATCACAAACAACTATAAAATGATAAGTGATAACAAGCAAACCGGCAAGAAAAATCACAAGTCGAGAATGAAAGAATTATCTAATATCTTTGGTTATTTAGTTAAGGAAAATGACTGAGAAACGTAATGAAAAGCATCTTTTAAACCCTCAGAAGAAGCAGTAAATACGAGTTCAACTTTATATTTACTGTAAAAATGGTTTTTCTTTAAATCACTGGAACGTTGCATAGAAAGTCAATGACAAAGAGTCGTCAAATATTAGTACTTTGAACTGCGATGGATTTTCGAACTCATATAGCTAGATACCTTCAGTGTATCAGATCTGGTTACGAATTATGTGCATTTATTCAAGACAAAATTAAATTCTGCTGTTTGGTTACGAATATATAAGAGTCGGAATAAATCAAAAATTACCACGTGACATATATTTAAAATATATGCCGAGAAACGTACTTCTGATGCATCACTGTAACCATTATAGTGAAGCACTTTACTAGCAGTAACGGAAATACGAAACTTCAGATCAAGCAGATGCATTGGATTGTATGACAACCATCGCGATGTAAAGAAATTCATCCAAAGTAACTGCGCGGACAGGATATCAGATTGACTGTTTGGTGCAAAGTTGTCAAATAACTTCAAAAGGTTTATTGAGTCTAGAATAAACATTATCAGGAAAGAGGACCCACCTACCTATCGTTATTAGATCAGAATCAATTGAACTGTCGAACATGTTGAGGAGAAGCTCACGTTGCTTACGGAAAAAACAAAGAATAAACCCCTCGAATTTCCCATCAAATCCGTATTCTGATAAAAAATATTCCAAAGTTCTGAATAGAACTACATGATCAATATTCTGAAAAATTGAAGCAGGTTTAATGAGCAATGTACCTTTATGAATACCCTCAGATAACGCCTTTTTGCTTCATCAGGAAGAAGTGAGTTATTTATGAATGAATCGTTTGTAACCGTTTTTAAGCGACACAGAAAAATCACTAAATCCGAAAAATGTATCTTGTAGACTTATTAAAACCTAATATTCTTTATACCTCTCTACATTTAAAGATAAAAGCACAACTTTCATGTATCCAATTACGTAGTTCAACCGCGCTAAAAGACTGATAAATAGTTTTTAGACAGCAGTAGCTGTAAATAATGCATTCAACCTATTGCAACATACATTTCTCTATCGGAAAAGCATAAGTACTCCTTATTTATTGGCTTCTTGCTTTCCAACATTTTATGAGTAAAATTAAGAACGTGTAACTGCTGTAACAAACAAAGCGGTCAAACGTTGTCATAATGATCGTTGATTCATGGTATCACTAAACGAAGAAAACCAAGCTTTTAGGAGCTTAATGAAAATAGGCAAGTTGTGTATTAGACGGAACAACATCTTAATCTTTTCTTGCTAATGAAAATTTAATACTGTAAGGTATGTGACTTACGCACTATTTAAAAATGACAGAGTTAATTCTACTGTTTCGGCCGTTTATTATGCATCAAGACTACCGTTTTCACTTTAAATCAATTTATTTCAATTAAAGTAACCCCATGAATACCGTTTTTTCGAGGGCGCTTTGCCATCTGTATTTCTGTATTTATTTGCACTTTTGGATCTAACGTTTTACGGTTTATCACATATTTCTGGTTATCACTGTTTTGTCTCCAGGTGTTTTCGTTTCATGTTTTTTGAAAATCTCTGATTGATGACTGAACAGTGCAAGAAAGGTAATTGTCAACGCCCAATCCCCTGATACCCAGTGGGATGTGGAATGCTGTGTGGTGAGTGCAAAACATGGTATAAGTATGTTTGATCAAAACGCCTCGAAAACCTAGTAACAAGGCTAGGTCTGTTTCCAGCAAGGATAACAACAACCTGACTACCCTAGTCATCGAAAGTCATCCAGGATCGTGCAATTAGTGTAACATGACTGCTGATAAACGGGTACAAACTAAGAACAAGAGACGACCTAATTGTTGAGGGGAGGTCAGTCCCTCAAACAATGGTCAAGAAATTGGATTGATCACAATAACAAGTCAGTTGTCTATCAAATAGTCAAGGATAATGAGAGTTCAGGAACCAAAACTCGTTTTGAGCATGACATTGAGTTGATAAATGAGCTAATAAACCATCCGTTGTTTCAGGATATCTCTCAGATCATCCTGCTAAACATTTTCAGACTAGTAAGCCAGACGAGCCCGAAACAGAATCGACACAGTATGCTAAAAGTGGCATTCAAATCTCTTGATGACAAGGACCTATTGCTATAAGATGGACATAAACTAAAGGAGCCAGGAGTTTCTACACATAAACATTTGCAGCTCACGAACCGTACAAAAAGACGATAAACTGGAAATGAACTAAAACTAAGGTTAGGTGCTGGCCAAAAGAACTTTAGCATTTTAAATCGTGAGGGTTCGAAAGAGAACGATACTCAAGCCGCTTGACTTCAAGATGAAGGTATTCAAGTGGTCTACAGATCTGTTACACTAATTCCCGGAGCTTAAACAACTAGCGATCGTAACTAAGTGTACAGACAGACTCTATCAGTTCGAATGCAGTCTTAGTCATAGAAATTTGGTTGACGCAGTCTGCAAGCAGTAAAAACTTGATTTCGGAAGCTTCACATTACTGTGAACTGGCAAAACCCAGAAGACTGAGGGAGGAGAAGTATCTTTGTTCACTAGAAATACTATCCCCCTTACAAATATCGATAACATAACCCGCAAAAGTGGAACGTGTGGATTGTTAAGTTGCCACCTGAATTGTGAAGGACAAGGGCTGCTGATTGTTTCGGTCTACTGAGGTCCAAACTATGAGGTGAACGATGTCTTGCCTGACAATTTCAACACTTGGTCATCGAGTGGTCGATGCCTGGTCTTAATAAACTTTAATGAACTTAGGATTGACTGGAAAAATCTAAGGATTGGATTGTCAGAAAATTCCTTCGAACAGAAACTAGTTGAAGTGGTTATCAAATGTGCTTTAGTGCAACGTGTGACAGATGCAACTAGGTACAACCCAGACCCCGATTCATCTTCTCCAGATCTCATATTGACCTAATGTGAAGACATCACAGATCGTCTTTCACTAAGGAGCTTCTCACCCTCCTCATAAGAGGAAAGAAATGTGTGAAACATTTTGGGCACTGGGTAATGAAAAGGCAAAACCTCACAACCAGGAAGCTCGAAATACCTGTGCTTTGGCGTATTGTAATTCTAGAAGATTGCGTGAAATGAAATCCGTTAAGAAGTCCATGGTGCGCCCTAAAGTCTTATATTTGTACATATCCCAGCTTGATAGGGAGAGAGTAGTATTGCATTTTAATAAACACCAGTTGATTATATCCTCACAACACTGATTTATATCAAAATCATCATGCATAGCCTGTCATCTAAAATACTTTGACTAGGTAAGAAACAATTGGGATGAAGGATATCAAGTTGTCACTCTCTACTTTGACCTGATGAAACAGTTTGATAAAGTACAACACTCTTCTCCCTTATATGAATAAAATACTTTCAGTATAGCTGGCAAAACCTATAAGTGGATTATATTCTTTCGCACTAACTTCGTGTTGTTGGTGTTTTGTGTCATCCTTACCAACTGATAGATTACCGGCTCAATAGATGCAAGACCACTGTTAGTAGGAAAGAGATCGTGAGGTTCTCATTGAATTTGTCATCATACCACGAAAGGCAGATTGTGTTTGCGTATATGTATCTGAAAGGATTTATCTTTCATATTTCTGCTCCATTCTATTCGAGGTGTGCCATTGTTATGTTTGACATTAGTTCTTATGCACAATTCACTTAACATCATGTCACCACTAATTCTCAAATTAACAGGCCGTCAATTAAGACCCATCATTGTAGTCGAGCAAGGTTTGGTTTTGCATCCGCTCACTTTTTAGTTCCTCTATGAGCACGTCCTAATAAAGCAATGTCCTCCTTATGGTAATTGAACAGGACACGAGTGTTTTTCTAAATGTGACCTGATGTTAATACTAAAAACACTTTTGAATAACTTTTCTGACAAATTTACAACTGTTCTAGGAAGAAACTCGAAGTGTGATTATACTTTATTGGCTGTAGAGTATCTTTAGGAAAAGATGCCTAGAGTATCACGAACAGTCATAGTCAGGTGCCCTCGGTAGTATAGGTCGTATCATTAGAACCTCGTAGAACATATAAGGTGGGCAGAGTATTATTATTATTAACCATCAGTGTTCGGGATTCGCTAATGTTAAGAGGTAAGGAGATGTGCTTCTTCAGTTGTGTGTCTTATGCATCATCCAGGATGACTACTTTCCCCCGAGACCTTACGGTCAACTCAGTTAAGGAGATTTTAAAAGTCTACAGAGTTAGCGATTCAAGGTTTGGGTACTAAAGTATCCCGCCCGTCATAAAAACCAATCTTCAGCAGCAACTAGAACTCTGATGGCTTACAATCTTGCAATTTATTTATAAAGTTTGAGAGTCCTATTAATAGACTTCCGTCCATACCCATGGAATCATGATTCTGTTGCAAAAATACGATGTCTTGGAAACAAGAAGGCGGTCAACATGCCAATGAATGTCCGAGTTTAATGGTCACCTATCTAGAAAGTAAACAGGTTTCTGTTACAGGACCTATCACATTGGAAGCCGTTTTGAGTTTTGAAGAAACTGGATTTACTTAGGATGTGGCTGCAAAGAAACTCACCGACAACACTTTTACTTGACGTTCGCTAATATGGGAGAAGAAACATTTCGGTAGTTGGGAGCTTCCTTTTCGTCATTCCGTTATGTATAGATATACTCATCCCTATTTTCAAGTCTAGCGGTAGATAAACCCTGACTGGAACACTTGAAGAAAGTGACAAGAGGTGAACAAAGGAGGTTTTCATGTTCCCTCAGTGCTCCGGGTTGAAAGTCATCTGGGACAATAGGCTTATATGGTTTCAAGCGCATCAAATTACCTTTGCTTTACAAACGTTCAGACTCCACGAAATTTAGATCAGCTTGGGAAGCATTTAGGTAAAGGTCACTGAACATATGTATGAAAAGCGAATAATAATTATATTGATATATAGCGTAATACCTAATTGTATAACACGTCGTCTGGGCCATTGAAGAGGCAACAGTTGATCCAAGTAATGCCCCTATTCTAGATGAGTTTGTGGGTGCAAGAATTTAAGTGTGATTATCAAAGGGTTTAGTTGCATGACTGGCTAGTGAGAATGAGACTATGGACCTATTGGAGAAGATTGTCCTTGAGAAACTTACGTCAATCTTCCAGTTGAACCAGGACACATTTCAGGTTCAGCTTGACAGTGTCCTAATCGGTTTCAAGAAAATCTTTGTACTTACTCTATAAGCCAGATAAAATCTTTACCAAATGGTTAAATGAGATGGGGGTGTAGTTAATTTAGCTGAAGGATTGATAAACTAAGGAGTCTATGATTTCCACTGCGTGGCCAGGCAAAACAAAATCCAGCCTACAGGTCTTTTGTGTTAGATTCATTGAACGACATTTCGTGATAAGCTGTGTTCCTTTACCAAGTCACTAATATCAATGACCAGCTTGAAATTATAGTTTAAGGTGAGGCGTTTTAGAACACTGAAGTCATCAACGAATAAAATGTAAGATCTTTTCTAACTGCTCAAAGTTCTGAATCATGGTGGATCCAAAAGCCTCTAGGTTGTATTTAAAGAAAGCCAAATAGTCAGGATCCATTTGTACCCTTCAAGTTGCACCATGAGGCATCCTGGTGACATTATGGTAGATGAAATTTTATGGACTCTGGTGGAATGTGATTCGTAAAACAAGAGCTCACATCTACAGTATCACATCTGTTACTACAAAATGGATAGAAGTATTCATCTGATCTTCAGGAATTCTGAATGTAATCGTATTACATTATTGTATAGATATAGAATGTGTGAGAAACAATCATTTAGTAAAACAGTTACGAAGTGAGTCATATTTATATAGATATTACTATGCAGCAATACACTCTTAAGTCATTTGAATCCATTGTGGTGTAGTAACTTACAATAATTGGTTAAGAGTTGACTGCAGACATCCTAGTAAATATCAGAAAATTAATGCTCAAGTATTCAGTCACCTTCTTATTTTGTAGAGATTATATTTCCCATTATTCTGTATTGGATATTGAAATGCCTTGTGTGTTCGAAAAGGTAATCTCGTGCTTCACCACATATTTCAGAATTGAAAAATAAAAATTTACTCCATACTATTCTGGTTTTTTGTCGGTAGAACGGAGCGTGTCCACCGACAGGGGAAGTCTACT